ATTGTGAAAAAAAATGGAAATTCTGGTTGAGAATGATGAATTTCAAGAAAATGCCGCCTGAGATACGGTCGAAAAACAAAATTTGGAGTTTGATTTGCTTACAACAGATTAAGCTGCAAGATGAACAGAATTTGGAGGAAATGGGACGAGTTATGCTCGCCATTTGGATGACTCACTGGAATTGCATAAAACAACAGAGAGAATGGTCGGACCAAGCTGCTTTCAACATGTACGAATCAATCATCCTGCCCACTAATGACCGCGTCCTTCAACCGAAGGAAAAGAAGGCATGCAATGGATGGATACCTATATTACGAAGCGTAACAAGTCGAGGCAAAATTGAAGTTGACGTATGGAAAAGATGCAGATGTTTCCAATGTCAGTACAAGGAAGGATTCCCTGATGAACGTCCAAGTACAGACTTCGAACTGATGTTTCCCTTCCACATCATTTTTGACCCAAGACGGACGCAAATGAAAGCTTTGGATTGGCTACTACTAGCTCCATGGCGAGACCTAAAATTCATGGAACTTCAAAATCGACGACTCGATATCTCCAGTGTATAAACCAAAAAAAAAAAAAAAAACTTTCATACAGTATAGCAATTAGTATAAATAACAATCAGTACATCAGTCAACAGAATTTCAGGAAATAAAAGTAACTCACTGAATACAAAAAAAAAAAAAACACCAGCAACAGTCAAGCTCGGTCAGACACAAACCCGCGACCTTTCCGCAGCAGCTCGAACAACAATCGCAACAGCAACCCAAACAACAACCGACCGTAGGCGGTCGCCTTCAACGCTTCTTCCTCGCTTGGGCTCGATTGACCGACAGCAAATGGATTCACTCGGTCATCCGCGACGGCTTCAGAATTCATTTCCGAAGCCGTCCCCCACTATCCCTTACACCCATACCTACTGTCCCATACAACGTCGAACAACGCCGCCTATTACGACAAGAGATCGCCGACTTACTCCACAAACGTGCCATAGAACCAGTCCAGGGGTCGGGATATCCCAGCTTCTTCAGCCGAATGTTCGTCATTCCCAAGAAGAGTGGAGGTTTCCGCCCCGTGTTCAATCTGCGATCCTTGAACCAATTTGTCGAGTGCCCACACTTCAAAATGGAAAACATTCAACAAGTCATCAAACTGATAAATCAAGACGACCTTTTCACCTCAGTGGATCTTTCCGATGCGTTTCTACACATCCTGTACACAAACAGTTTCGGAAGTACCTTCGTTTCCGCTGGGAAGGACAGACCTTTCAGTTTCGAACCACCCCCTTTGGTCTCTCCGTCGTTCCCTGGCTATTCACTCGTCTCACCAAACCGATTCTTCAATGGGCACGACAACAGGGCATACGGATATCCGCTTATCTGGACGATTGGATTCTGGTCGCCGAATCTCAGGAATTAGCTCAGTCCCAAACCCGGGCGCTAGTGAACCAACTGAGGAATCTGGGATGGATCATCAATACGAAGAAATCCCAGCTCCAACCTTCTCAAGTTTTGGATCACCTCGGATACCAATTGGACAGCCAATCTATGACAATTCGGCTGCCAGGCTCCAAGATTCGAGACTTGAGAAGGTCTATTCGGGAAGTCATCAACAACTCCCGGCAGACTCCGCGTCGGATCCACAGTCTGACTATGCGGATAAAAGCGGCCACTCTGGCTATCTTTCCGGCGAATCTCCACACTCAAGCTCTGATGTTCTTCAAGAACAACGTGGTCAAGAACAGGAGAGACTGAGACAAAACATATCCTCTACCTCAGGACTGCTTGACCGAACTACGATGGTGGCTGAACAATCTCAGCCAATGGAACGGACGCTCTCTCCTACCCCAGACTCCCACGCATTGTATCTTCGTCGACGCAAGCGACAAAGGATGGGGCGGGGTGTTTCAAAATCAAGTCGTTCAAGGCTTGTGGACCGCCGAGGAAAAAGAACAATCCATAAACTGGCGAGAGTTAAAAGCCATAGAACTCACCCTCCTAGCATTTCCTCGCCTGCATGGCACCTCCGTGTTGATCCGCACGGACAATACCACAGCCAAGACTTATATCAACCGACAAGGCGGAACTCGCTCAGTAGCTCTGAGCCAACTGGCAACGTCAATTTGGAACAGTTGCATCCAGAGAAATCTACAAATACAAGCACAGCACATTCCGGGGATAGCCAACACACAGGCGGATCTAGCGTCTCGCTGCTTCTACCTGAAAAACCTCTGGAAGTTGACACCACCAACATTTACTCACCTTCAGAAACTATGGGGACCTCACGACGTGGATCTTTTCGCCGATCGGACAACATTTCAAGTTCCTCACTATGTGAGTTGGAAGTTGGATCCTCAGGCGATAGCCACAGATGCTCTCTCAATTCCGTGGCATCCCTTCCAGAATTCTTATATGAATCCGCCCTGGAATCTGATCATGCCAACACTTCAGAAGATCAAGTTGGAATGTCTCCCTCAAGCCACCCTGGTAGTCCCTCACTGGCCATCGGCCATTTGGTTTCCACTACTGATGTCCATGGCACTGGAACCGCCAGTTCTCCTGGATCCGAAAACACAGACCATGCTAGGGGTTCCTTCCGCTCTCTACCCGTGGACAAATCCGAACTGGAAGCTCTCCGTTTGGAGACTATCCGGAAGCGTTTTGAAGGACAAGGGTACTCCGAATCCACCATTCGCTCTTTAATACAATCGGTGCTTCTTGGCTCTGGACATCGCTCCCCATATCGTCATGGCCAGTACCTCTTCCTACAATGGTCCTTGCGGAAAGCGGTTGATCCTAACACATTCACCACTTCTGACCTAATGAATTTCCTTACGGACGCTCTTGCTGCTGGATACAGTCTCAGTACAGTACAGACTTTCCGCTCGGCCATCTATCTCCTCCACAAGGAGCCAGCTCAAGTTCGGAATTCTACTAACTTGAAAGCTTTGATCAAGCATTCAAAACGCACTGCGCCGCCTCAACAGGTGCTCAAGTCACGAGTAGATGTTACCCCTACGTTGCGTTTTCTAGCCCAAATACCGTCAGACTCCACAGCTCCTCTGGCTGACTTAAACAAGAAAGCTGCCTTCCTTCTAGCTATGGCAGCCTTTTTACGCCCGTCTGACCTGGAGCGCATTAGCCTATACCATTGCTCTGTTTCCAGTCGGGGCGACTTGACAATCAAAATCATAGCGCCCAAGGAACTCCGTGCTGGCCGACGAATTGTCAAGACACTGACCATTCGTCCGAATGATCACTTCACAGAACTATGTCCTGTCCGAGCATTTTTAGCCTTGAAGGCTCATCCGCTGGCCACCAAACGTTCTGGTAATAAGCTGTTGGTCAACTCCCAGAACCCAGCTAAGCTTCTGAAGACGACAACCATTTCCACCTGGCTACGCAATCTGATGCAGCTGTCCACCACTCAAAAGCCTGTTCCTTCGGTACGTTCGGTGGCAACAGACTTGGCTTTGGCTCGTGGAGCACCTTTGACGGATGTCGTCACCATGGGTAATTGGTCATCTGCGGAAGTCTTTAACAACCACTACCGCCGACAACGGCTTCAACGCCAGAACATAACCAATTTCGTTTTACGAATTTAGTTGTTATAATTATTATTCATCTTTCTTCTCGTTGTTCTTCTCTTCTTCTTCTTCTTCTTCTTCTTTCTTCTTTCTTCTTTGCTACTACGCTGAAGTAGCATCTCTAGGCTCATGTTCGGAAGTCCGATGGACTTTACGAATTTTCTAGAGAAATTTATTTCGACAGAAAATTACTAGTTCAGTCCGGAGGACTGAACGAACATGAGCCTAGAGGTCTCCCTCCCTCCCACCTCAACACCGGCTCAAGAAATGATTGAGGTGTATTATATCCATATCTCCCTTTATTTATACTTCTTTGCAAGAATATATTATTATTATTCTGGAAATTTCGCGAAATAAAGGAAAATGATTACAGCATCTCTAGGCTCATGTTCGTTCAGTCCTCCGGACTGAACTAGTAAATTTGAAGCATATTGATAAAGGCAGAAATAACAAAGATAATATTTTATAAAAAAACTCTTCCTCTCCACCTTTTCCTACAACTCCTACGTGAATCGTCCGAGCAACTAATTGTCATATCAATAGCTACAAAGCACGCTGACATGTGGGATGAACTTACTGTAGAAAGATTTCGTATAGCTGAAGAATATCGCAACGGGGAAAACAGTTACTACGCGCCATATAATAGATTGTTATCGATCGTATTTCCCCCGGATAGCAGATACACCGTTGAGCCTGTTACCCATCCTATAGGTACTCGCAAAACCATTGAATACATGGTAACCATGCAACTTGGTCACAAGATATTTCCCGTGCTTGTCGTGGAGATAAAAAGTCCGGATAGCCTACAAAGCCTATCAGCGAGACGGGAAGCAAATGAACAAATAGCAAATAGATATGCAAGCATAGGAAACCAATGCCCCCTTGAGATCTTCTATGCTATAATTGCATTTGGAACGATGATATCCATTTACACTCTTGACAAGTCATCTGGAACCATCGCTCCCTCTTATCCACCTGCAGATCGCCAGAGACTCAATGATAATGTACCTGAAGACGCATGGAACATCGATGTATTGGAGGAAAACGGTGCTAACACAATTAATGAAGTTTTTACCGACGTACAACGAATGTGTGAGAATCTGAGAGCCAGACTATCCGCTGATTAACATCAATAATAATACATGTTCAAACCAACATTCATTAATCAGTTTCAGAATTTCACAAGTTGATCAAAAATAAAGATAAAAATAAAAATGGCTCAGACCTCTTGTCTATTTCTTACGTCTGGACACTCGCACTGCTCAAATAAAAGAAAGACGGCTGTGGTATGCCAAAAGAATAAAAATAAAATAAAATACACGGTTAGTAAGCGCGACCTTCTGCTATGGTATGCTTGATACCAGCAGAATATAAACTTGAATAGCTAATTTCATATACACCTCACATTCAGATACATACATGATACTAAAGCTCAATCCATCTTTTTAACGTTTATATATATACTCCTAGGAAACAGCTGGTCTTCATCATCCGAAGTAATCAGAAGCAGCGTACAAGAGCGCATCTCTAATGGCAAACTTTGATTGAAAGGTGTACAGCCAACGCTGTCCACTTATGTAACGACGGAAATTGTATACGAAAGCGAAGGCTTCAATAATAAACAAAGATCGCAACGTGCTGCAGCAATGTTGAAAAGAGCCTTAAGCCCCCAAAGCCGTCCTTTGCAAGTTATATCTACTGATGTAGACCCAACATGATAGTCGATGAAATTGCTCACCAAAATTGGTGAAGTGATTGGCTACACCGATTTCAGTATATATCACAGAGATATGCAAGGATTGATCTTGAAGCTCATTTTTGAATCCAGCGAATTGACTCAGCCTGGGAAGTATCTAGAATCAGCTTTGATGGAATGATCGCCAAAGGCTCGTGTTGGGTAGACGGGCAAGGCGTAAACTGTTCAAGTCAATTTGCGTCTGTATGTACAACAGTTTAGGCACAAACCTGTCATATGCCATGGCGCCTTATGGCACTATATAATAGATCTGCAAATACACATACTCTTGGGAAGATTCAAAGCGAAGCATTGGTAATCCTCGATCGCAGAGATGAAACCTCTGCCGCATACGAGTTCGCTGATTTAGTCAGATTGGTATATCTAGAGGAAGAAGACATTTTTGTACCCGCGACCTACCAAGAAGTTCTAAAGTTTGTCTCCACTGCAGACGCGCTGGACGCGAACGCAGATCTTGCCCTGAACTAGCGTCTGTCCCATGATTCTGCTGCAAAAAATATGGGCATCTACCACGTCATTGCCAAGAAGTTGAGCCGAGAGCCTCCCCCTTTGCCCCTCAACATCAGCCAGAGGACTAACTTCTTGAGCCTGAATCTCTGGTAGTCGTAAATTCATCGTGTTCAAAATGGCAACCGCACCTATCTGGCCACTGTTAGTCCAATGATGACTGAAACTGCCCCGCTCACAGACACTAATGACCAGGAAATATACCCTGTCAATATGCAGACAGATGAAACGACTACAGAAGCAGCTAGCAAAAGCGCTGACCACAGTAAGAGGTGCCGTGTCAAGAAGTGCCGTTTCAAGAAGGACCCCAGTGCTCCTTTTATTGCCAAAGCTGAAGCTGATCAGAAGCGCTACGAAAAGGAAGAGGCTGCTTACCATGGCATGGACGAGGATTGAACCAATTTTAGCAAAATGCTAGATACTTATGATTAAAAAACTAAACGATGTTACTTTCAATTGCCATAGTAGTGAAGAAGGAAATCATTCAGTAACGTTAAAAGTTTTATTAGACATCTCGCCGGTATCAGTTTGTGGTTTTTACCAATATCTTACCTTTGTGATTTTGAGCCTTCCCTATCTCAAACCCGCCATGTCTATTGCTTTTCCTTTCTATAAGTTCTCTTTTGAATTTCTAAATGCTGTATTTGTTTACATTGAAACTAGCGTCAATGTTTGTTGGACAGACACAATCAAAAATGTGTTGCCCTCTGCTGCAAGTATAAATAAAGAAGTAAAAAACCATGAACTTGAAGAGATGCAGCATTGGTATAAGTGTCTCAGATCTAAAGTTCTTTAGTAATTCACTCAATGAATGAGAGGCGGCAATGTCACCTCCTCCTGCCCTGCTAGGCACATATTCATATCTCAATACAACGTTATTGTTCTGCGGCTCAAAAATTTCCCGAGTCACGTTACGTAAAGAATGACAAAGATGCCGCGAATCTGCCGCTCGCCAGGGCTCCGCTGCTGAGACATCACCCGGTAACTTAATCATCCAGGGTTCGTTCACATAAGTATAAATGAGGTGGAAGAAACTTAAGTTTTGTTAATTATACTCAAAGTTTCTCATTATATCTATAAATCAAACTCATTCAAGATGTCTTATGCTAATCAATACCCTGTCAGTTTCAAGAACCATATCGAAAAGATCGCTATTGTCGGAGTATGTTGCTTCTATTGCTTTAATTTTTTTATTGCTTGATTTTCACTAACACTTGTTTATAGGCCAGTGGTCAATCAGGAAGCTACATTGTTGAAGAGCTTCTCAAGACTGGAAAGCACAAAGTCACTGCTATCACTCGTGCTGATAGCAACTCAAAGTTTCCCGCCGGTGTCGAGGTAAAGCGAGTTGATTATGACAATCAATCCTCCCTTGTGGAAGCACTTCAAGGTCAAGAAGCTCTGATCATCACCATGGGTGTTATGGCGCCACAAGATCAACAGACAAAATTGATTGAAGCTGCTGCTGCTGCCAAAGTTGCATGGGTCATTCCCAACGAGTTCGGCGGCGACAACGCCAACGAAGCACTGCTTAGAGATATACCAATCAACGCAGTCAAAGTTCAATACCGTGAACAAATCGAAAAGCTCGGAGTTAGCTCATGGATTGGCATATGCTGTAACTTCTGGTACGATTACAGTCTCAGCCGAGGCAACTATTCCATCGACATCAAGAATCGCACTGCAACGTTCTGGGACGATGGCAACACTCGCATCAACACTAGCACATTACCTCAAGTTGGTCTTGGAGTCGCAAATTTGTTAAACTTGAAGGTGCTTCCCGACAACGAGCAAGATACAAGCCCATGTTTGAGCAACTACAAAAATAAGTTCGTATACATCGCCTCTTTTTGCCTAAGCCAGCGCGAAATGTTGGCTTCCATTCTGCGCGTCACAAATGCAACCGAAGAAGATTGGAAGATTGAGTATCGCCCTGTTGAAGAAGTATTTAAGGAAGGCGTGGAAAGATTCCAGAAAGGCGACTTTATGGGCATGCTCAGTGGGATGTATTCACGCAACTTTTTCAAAGATAACTCTGGCAATTATGAATTGACCAGAGGCCTTGATAACGAAAAATTGGGTCTGCCAAAGGAAGACGTGGACAAATATACCAAGATTGCTGTTGACGCCGTTCTCAACGGTGATGTAGCTCAATTCTAGTTTTAGTTATTGAAAAGCCAACGTTATGCATAATAAAGAACGGCAGATACCAACGGTATCAAGCCGCTTTAGTGAATCCAGAGCTTTTCTCTTCAAAGATTTTGTATCTTTGAATTCGTGCTTTCACTAGAAGAATCAGCCTAACGGGAGAAGGGATATGTAGTGAGAATAACACCTAAAAGAACAAGGGGTCAAATGTGAGCGAGACGATGTACGAAAGGCGTTATCTCGATATACATCGAGCATGCGTTTATAGGCATGTGCTCTCCACTCTTCTTTCATCATTTCATGCTTTTTGCCAGCTTTGATACAGCCGTTACGATGGATATCGTCGTCACTCACTCATATAACATTTGTCGGTAGTATTCATCGTACCAGCTGTACACCATGAACGTTTGGTCTGTTCATATCGAACGGCAAGCGGCGATCAATGTGCCATCACATGACATATTAATGGTAAAGTACCTGGGTGGCCGATTTCGAGCTCCAGTCTGGAAATTATGGCGGGCCCACGGCCAAAGTAGCGGCTAGCTAGTTTCTCATAGACACATTGTGACAGAATGTGGGTATAACATGAACCATCAAAGGTTCGAAAATTTGAATGGAGCAGAGGAACAAGTGTGTTTTTTCACGTTTTAGGTCAAAACGGTTGTAGAAGATTGAATAAGTTTCCCGTTCACACACTGCTATTTGTGCTTTGTCATTTGGTTTAAACCACTGTCATTACTTTCCAGTAGTGGCTAGAAAACTAAGTTTTTCTTTCTTTTCAAAGAAGATACCCGAAGACCATATACTCTTACAAATTTGAGGCAATGCTTGAAATTCCTGACCTCGAGACGTTCGCAATCAAACTGCATTCCACTGGGGTTGCCGAAATCATATTCAATAGACCAGAAAAGTATAATGCCCTCTCCAGCCAGGTTTATGCGGAATGGTTGAAGGCAATCAATTGGGCTGCTCGCTGCGACGATGTTAAGGTGACTGTACTCACCGGTCGAGGAAAATATTACTCAAGTGGCAAAGAGTTGGCTGTTCCTGATCCAGTGAGCGAGTCCCTTACTTATGAGGAAAAACTTGCCTTGTCGAATGAAGGCTCTCGGACGACCAGGTCTCTTGTTGAAGCATTAATTAACTTTCCCAAACTACTTATTGCTGCCGTTAACGGACCGGCAATTGGTTTTGCTGTCACTTCTTTGGCTCTCTGTGATGTTGTGTATTCCGTGCCTAGCGCTACATTCAGGACACCTTTTATGCAACTTGGTATTTGCGCCGAAGGATGTTCATCAACCCTTTTCCAAAGAATCATGGGTCCATCAAAGGCTAACGAGATGCTACTTATGGGACGCCAGTTTACTGCTCCAGAGTTATTGAAAGCTGGGTTCATAGGTGAAATTCTACCCGAAGAGGCTTTTTATGAAGATGTCTTGAAGCTAGCCACCAACGCAGCGCAGTTCTCACTTGAAGCATTGAAGACAACAAAAAAGCTTATTCGGGATGTTGACCGAGAGCTTCTTCTGAAGGTGAACAATGAAGAGTTTGATAGGCTGGCTGAAAAGAAAATTAGCCAAGAGTATTTTGACAGCGTTGTTAGATTTGTCGAGGACGCTAAAAAAAAGAAGCAGCTAAAGAAGAAGCAGAAGCTGTCCAGATTGTGAATTTATGCCACACATTCCTATCAATAAATGTCAAAGTGTATGTACAAAGCTATCGGCTTATGAAGAGTGGGTTTCCTGCTACTTGTCATTCCAACACTGCAGCATTTGAACTTAATACACGTCACATCAAGGCGCGCGCGATTTTTTTGGGGGGATTTTTTTTTTTCAGCACCTACTGCAGCACAGAAAAACCTAGTCGCGTCTCCTTACAAGCTTATACGCGCCAATAAACGAAGAAGCAAATGTCTGCTATGGATGTTGACGATGGAAAATCATCAGCTGAAAATTATGAGCTGCCTTGGTACGGATGAATTTTTAATAGACCATGCCTACCATCGTGATTCCTCATGCCTTAGATTTTAGGGTTGAAAAGTATCGGCCGAAGATTCTCAAAGATATTGTAGGCAATGAAGACACGGTGGAGCGTCTGTCTACCATAGCAAAGGATGGAAATATGCCTAATATAATTCTTTCGGTAAGCTTCGACGTTAAGTCTGCACACTGCTCGTAACTTCTACATGATCACTCACGCATTTTTCGGTCTGCTTAGGGGCTTCCCGGTATTGGAAAAACCACCAGCATTCTTTGTTTGGCTCGGGAGCTACTAGGCGAAGCACACAAAGAAGGTGTTATGGAGCTCAATGCATCGGATGATAGGTAAACTCAAGCAATATTTAGCCGGTTTCGGTATGGTATTTTCTTACGCCTTTACGAGATATTAATTCAATACTTGCCAGAGGAATCGACGTAGTACGTAATCGCATCAAAGCATTTGCGCAGAAGAAAGTAACATTACCACCGGGAAGACATAAAATTATAATATTGGACGAAGCAGACAAGTAAGTCATATCTAATGTTGTAACGTCACTGATCTGGAAAGAATGCACTGAAGTTTATATATGTCAAATAGTATGACAGGAGGTGCTCAACAAGCCTTGCGTCGAACAATGGAGATATATTCGAACACCACTAGGTTTGCGCTGGCGTGTAACCAATCTAACAAAATCATCGAGCCGATTCAGTCACGATGCGCAGTATTACGGTATGGAAGATTAACGGATGGACAAATCCTAAAGCGTCTGATCGAGATATGCGACTTTGAAAATGTAAGGTTTTTAGTGTCTCGATGTTGTGATGATGGCTCTGACGGCCAACATATTACATTTAGGTTCCAAGGAACGACGATGGTCTTGAAGCTTTGATATTCACAGCCGATGGTGACATGCGACAAGCAATCAACAATTTACAGTCTGCATTCTATGGCTTCAAATACATCAACAGCGAAAATGTCTTCAAAGTGTGTGATCAGCCTCACCCAGTCGTCATTCACAATATTTTGGAAAGCTGTAGTGCCGGAAATGTTAAAGAGGCGTTGGCGAGCGTAAAAGAACTGTGGGATCAAGGCTATTCGGCATTGGATATCGTGACGACTTTATTTCGAGTGGTCAAAAGTTACTCTAATTTGGACGAAGGTACCAAATTAGAGTACATAAAGGTATGATTGTCCTCGTGATCAGCCCCTGAAAAAGGGTCATCCCGTTCTGTGCCGTTCCATGTCAAACCTAATCAATATGTATTTCTTGTCAATGTTAAGGAAATTGGATTCGCCCATATGCATATTCTCGAAGGCGTGCAAAGTCTGGTTCAATTGTATGGTCTTATAAGCAAGATGTGTAAGATCACAATGAAGCCGGAGTATTTCATTGTTTGAAAAAAATGAGAGTAGACCGTTTATTAAACCGTTCCAATGACAGAAGAGAAACAAAAAATAAAAATCCTGGTTCAATTGTGACCACTTTTTGCGCAATCCCTTTGAGCATTGCGTGACAGGTTGGATATAAAAGCTATCCAAATATTGGATCTGTCACGACAGAGTATTCCAAGTATTCATAAAACATGTTTTTAGCTTCTCAACCATTGGCAACGTTCGAAGGACTGAATGCTACCACCGATCTACAAGCCGTTTTATCAGAAGACATAGAAAAAGGTTTCCAAAGGCAGGGCGGCACCATTCGTAATGAAACAATCCCTCTTCATGAAGATATTCCAGAGGAAGTTACAAAACAGCAAACGAATATTCCTCACTTGCGCCCCATTGATTATGTTTTCAGTGAACGCTCTTTGAAGTATCTGCACACTATTACTGCCGAATATTTCAGGACACCGCTGACGGAAGCTTTCAATTGGAATGAAGCCGCCGAAAGACTTGGCGAAGAACAAGAAGGAGAATGGTTTATTGTTGCATTCAGAAGCATTCGAAATGAGCAAGCCGACCATAAAAAACTCTACGATGCTGACGCTTTAGCGCACGAAGAAGCAATTCGGAGTGGCGGTTTACTAAAGGTAATTGATCGGAGCTATGAGCCTGTTAACCAATTGCCTATTTGAATACTGAGTTCCTCTTTCAATGTAGTACTGGTATGGAACGTTGAACGAAAATAGAGAGTGCCTTGCCATGTGCATATGGTCTAATCGAGATTTTGCGAAGATAGCGACAACAAAGCCACTACATCTGAAGGCTGTCTCGCTAGCACGGCAAATGTATGAGTCGTACCAACTAGAGCGATACCAGTTAGTCAAAAGAAAAGGCGAAAACCACTTCCATATAGTTCCGCTATAATTCCTCCTATCAGATACAACTCATATAGTTTTAATTAGCCACTCTAGAACCTGTTGTACGTGGTTCATACACTGAATTTACAAAGGATTTAATATCTGGGCATCCAACTTTTTTTTTCAATACATATAACTTACATCTTTCATCCAAAAGTGAACGGTTGTCAAGGCAATCGCTGACCCACTTCATACTGACAAATCGAGGTTGTCGTCGGCTATGGACACGCAGTATTTGCTTTAGCAATATGATTTGAAACCTGATTATCAATTGAAAACTTTCATATCTTTACCCTGTCAAAGCTTTGAATATGCGCTGCATCCCGTCAAGATGGCAATCATCGAGTACGACGTGCGTGATTTCAGTGTCAATATCGCCATCGACACCTAAATATTTGTGCGTCGTCCCGCCTTGTGATTGTATCATAAGGTCTACCACATCTAGGCGATCGTTTCTTGCCGCTTCATCCACTGATATAGTTGATGGCCGGCCTAACGACGGAGCATTTAAAGGAGAGAAATCAAGCAAGGCTGTAACACGCCAAAACAAAAAGCCTGGAACTTCGCTTCTTGGAAAATATTTCCTCTTGATATCATCGATCAGTCTAGCTGAATCATGAAGCTCTTGCTGTCTTATGTTTTGAAAAATCTAAATGAAATATATTAGAAGCATAATAAGGATAGGCGAAGTGATGCTGTGATAGTTTAGTACGTACCTCTCGCAATGACTGTTCATTTACTTGCTCCGTATAGCTGTCTCCCCATGGATCTATGGATTCGCTCATTTTATCTTTCGTTGCCTTAGTCAGGAAAACAGTATATCTACAAAAAAAGGCGTAAATTTTGAAAAATTAATCATTGATTTGCATGTCCCGCTTGAACAAAGAAAAAGTACTACTTTGGCGTTATTGGAACGATGTCCTGGGACTTTACGCAATCCATAATCCATGTAGGTAAAATTATGTCATGCTCTTGGCTTTGGATCAACGCCATTATTCGTACTCCTAGAATAATTGAGGATTTTAGCTGGGATATGGTAATCGTACCCTGTGCAAAATACCTTACCATTAATATTACTACCAGCTATAACGTAGTTAGCATTTTTGGCAGTCTGCTCATAAGAACCTCCGTGTGACTTGATGACTTTCTCTAATTCAGCCTTATTGTGGCTATCGTCTCCGGAGACAACATCTAATGAATGAAATTAGTAACTATGCGACACTGCACTGCTAACTAAAGTTGCCTTACAGAAAGTCATGCCTTCAAACAGGCTGGTGTGAATCTTGATACCACTACTATCAGTTCCAATCTGAGTAGGAATCAATGAGGTCCCTTTTCTCTGCAGGTGCATAAAGTCAGCAGCTAAAATCATTCAGTAATAGACGATCTGGATACTCTACCTTCCTATTGATGTCTTTGATGGCCAGTCGTTTCTTTTTTTGGTTCCTATCAAATAACCGTGAGTGAGGGCTCCAATTACTTACGTACAAGGTACGAAATGCTTACAAGAAAGTGTCTTGAGACAGCGGTCGCCTGCTGCTCATACTGAGATTCATTTGACCACCTTCTCGTTTCATAGTTACCACATCTTACAGCTAAGTGGTTAAAAATTGTCTCTGTAATGCTTTCGAGGTAAAATTGTTCACCTTGGTATGTCATGCAATCTTTCCACGACTTGTCAGGACGGAAGCGGGCGAATCTCGGAAACCTTAGGGAATACCCAGATCCGTAAGTATCTAACAAAATAGTGAGTAATCGATACATGGAACACGCATAAACGTACAGAATAACATACTAGCGTAACAGATTTCGGCAGCTTTGACTTCAACCACAATTGAACTGCGAAAAAAGAATCAGCTTCAGTTATTGATCATTGTCATCGTGATAACAACTTACTTATGATAGTCTATGATCATATCAGGGCTTTCGCTAGACTTTTCTGGATGGACCAGCCACTCAGGTTGTGATCTTGGATTGTAAGATCTGAAGTGTTGTCGTATTTTACTGTGAAAGCATTAGAGATATTGAAACAACCGGCTATTCTTAGTCAACATAACGTACGAGAATTCCTCCAACTCATTGACGGTATACCCAGTGCCAATCCAGGCAAACGTCGCAAATCTGAACAATTACTCATTTTTAGTTCACGTTTGTACACTCAGCAATAGAGAAAAATTCGCTTACTTTGGACTCTCATCACTGGATAATCTATCATCTCGGATAGCGCAAAGGAACTGAGATAGCTTACTACCACGCTTGCCAGTTCCATAATCGGCGCCTTGTTAAAGGGTCATAATAAGTTTTCTACGTTACGAATGTGCAACAGTTCGGTTATTTGCAACATACCTACGATAAGAAGATCGCAATTATCTCGCAGTTCGTCTATATAATCGGGTTTCACCTTCACCCAAGAATGGTTACGAGCGCCTGGCTCGTAGATGGAGCCTGGGTTTTTTACCACAATTCCTTCTTGACTTTGTAATGATTTTGGTTAGTAAATGTATGGTACAAACACGGATATCAATGTATGTACTACTTTAAAGTGGTAGCCTCATCCAATGCCTGAACTATGTGTTGGAATGTTGTTCCTTCTTTGCGAAAGATGAAGCTGATGCAACCACGTCTCTCAGTTACAACTGCCTTCAATACCTCAAGGCGCTGTTCCATAGGATGGTCGATCAAAGAAACGCCGTTACAATAGACAATATCAAAGACGAGAACTGGTATAAAAGTAGATTAACACCAACTATACGTGAGTTCGTGCAACGACCACAATTCTTACAGCAGGGATGAATATCATCAATGTCAAACGGGCCATCTAAAGTGCAAAAGCCATTAATGCGACGGTCGCATTTGCCAAATCATGCGAGTTACTTACGAAGTACAGAAGATTTCAAGGTGCCAAACGGTAAGAAGACGTCTAGCTGTGGGTCGTATGCCACCAGTTCACCATCAAGAATAAAGCTAATGGCAAGAGTTTAAAGTCAACTAAATGTAACGATTTTTGCATCATCTTGCCGTTTACCTGTCGGCTGCTAAGCAGCTCGCCACTTGGCCGGATAACTTATCCAGCGAGTCTTTGCTAGATCCATACAAGTCTGTGTAGTCTGTTGCCTTCCTATACGTCTACTAGTGTCAGTATTTGACGTAAAGACAACAGGCTGTTAGTATTGCTCTCTCACCTTGAAAACCACTTGAAATCTCCTGATAGTTTTTCATAATGCATTTGAGCTCTTTCACCGTCCACCTTTTCCTCGATGTAAAATCGACCATTGTGTGCTAATTGCTTTACATTTTTTGGAACCTGCTTCTGTCCCAATTGTGGCTTGAACGGGTGGAACAGTTGTATAGTCTTCAGCTGATATATTAGAAATATTCTTATTCGGCATCCTTCAGCTTTCATTATACATACAGATTTGCCAATGCGCGCAAATGGATCTTGCAGTTTTTCGCAGACTTTCTTTAGGTCGCTCGTAACGCTGTAAAGCTCTTTCGCTTGCGGGTGATAGACATCGAAAACCGAAGTTTCTGACATGCCAATTTTCAGGTCTATAACATACATTTCGATAAGGTGTTCTACCATAAATACTCCATGTGACGTCTGATCTATACCTTTGAGGATAGTCCTTATCAGCCATTGATGCTCTTCCGCCGTATAATGCGTTACGGCAAACTTAAAATAGTCACTTTGCTTCTTTTCACTTTCAAACAAATAATTTGAGTAACTTCATCTGATCTCTTTGTTTTGGGACTAAATATTGTCACATACTTTCCAGAAGATGCATTGATGTCGTCTAGTAACTCCACAGTTTCATGCACTGTCCTTGTAGGAACTGTGACAGTCGATCGACTTCGAATAATCTCATAGGCTACAGCCGAAAAGTCTCCTGAGGATTTCTATGATCATTATAGTGCTGTTATAATTCACCGTGATACACATGTTTATAGCAATCCCTCAAATTGACGATAGCTTACGCTATACTTCGAACTGGATGGCAGTTTCCATTTCAGCAGTTCGTATGCATCTTCAGAGTCTCGTCCTAGACCCAATGCATCGATATATGCTTTTGCCAATCTAGATTCTTTGAGCCGATATCGATTCTTGTCGACCTAGTTGGGTATATCAATCAATTTTTGGTCTGTTATGAAGCGGTATACTGCTTTCGGACTTAAATACCACTCCATACCTGAGGCAGCAGTAATCTCATTGCTGGTAGGAAGTCACCATACTTGACTCGCCATGTATGAACAAATCTTCGTAACCTCTTTTTTTTCTCTTCAGTTCCTCGTTGATTGCTAAGAGTCTGTAATAGATTGCAGAAATCAGCAAATAGCGGAGAGTCACTCATAAAGAAAGCATATGAAAGAAAGCGGAGTGGAATGTGGTCAATTTTTCAGCAAAACTGACGTCTTTATGACTGACTTTTCTTTGAGCTTGTTATCTAGCTTCCTGTCATATTGATTAACACCTTAGCAAAACGAACGAGTGCTCGGCATTTGCAACAAGCAACTGCTAATTTGAAAAGAAAGAGGTACGCCTCACACGTAATACCTACAACTCGCCTCCAAATGGCGCCTCCAAGAGCGTACTCTATAACCACAGCGGTGTGGTTGTTACTCGGATCAGCAACCTTAGTATCAACCGCCTATTATTACTCGTCGCGAAGGACCAAAACTCTGAAATATCACGATGGTTCTACCAGACGGATGTCAGAAACAATTCAAGCGGTGTCAATTCCTCGTCAACAGATTCCTCTGGCCCGAGCGCTTGGTACCTTGACCCCTATCGCGTATGGTGAACCTTCCAAAACAGTGTTCCCGACGTTCCTTCGTAAAAATGAATCTGATGATAAAACCATGACTGATACCGTATTGACATCCTTTTTTGACTCGGCTCGATCTATGACTTCCGTTACATGGTCCACTCCTTCACTTCCAACAATGGATGATATCACAATGAAGATGTCGGAGCTGTACCAAGCCTTTCCAGAACAGATCAAGAGCTTACAAGAAAGTTACACCAGATTTTGGGAATTGCTTACCATGGATGAATTTCGTCAGATGATGGAGGAAGTGTCTAAAGAAGAGGAAAATGCGGACAAAAATCCAGAGATCCTATTAGACGCAAGTGTTAGGTAATGACTATGTACTGAATGAATCTGTTTTGAGCTATAAGGAACAAGCTACTAACCGATAGTTATATCAATCAGAGAAGGAAACACATTGTCTATGGATGAACAAGCGTTTGTGAATGCTCGAAAACGCAACATGGTGGAAAGTTTTGCAAAATTCATTGGCGTTGATCCTGACGAGGTCCATGAGGACGATTTGCCCGTTGTGGGCGTTGCATCAAGGTAGCCTTAGTGGCATGGAACATTGATGCAGCAAGAGATACTGATGCTTTGTTAGTGGTGGTGGATATAGGGCTATGATTGGCAATGCTGGTTATCTAATGGCCATGGAAAAGACAGGCGCTTTAGATTGTACTATGTACTGCGCAGGTAATTCTCGTTAATTGACATGTGCTACATTATACTTCAAAATCTCTGACATCTCCGTAGCTGTTTCTGGATCGACTTGGACTTTAGCTCAATATTTGAGCCCTCTAACAAAAGCATCGTCGGAAGATCTATTGTCCCATTTGCGTACCCATGCGCAATCACATGTGGTTAACATTGGTCGCTTTCTCGGGCTAATCAATAGTTCGGAACAAAATGCCAAAGCTGTTATGGAAGGTGTTGTTCAGCGATATAATCAACAAGGAGGTACTGTCAGCTTGGTAGATATTTTTGGAATGCTACTTGGAGCTGTTCTCTTGACGAAGAAAGAGCAGAAAATTGTCAATAACCAGAAAGAAAGTACAGAGTCCGGAAAGAAAACAGGTCACGAGGAAAACAATAAGACCCCGGTGGATGTTGATGTAATGTTACCCGGAACTGACCAGAAGATTTCCAAGCAAAGGCAGTATGTCAAAGACGGCCTTCGTCCTATGCCAATCTATTGCGTGGTGAGGCATGCCATCCGCGAAAATCAGAGCATTACCGACAGTGTAGAATCTGAGAATGAGTCGAATGAAAAGCCAGAAGAGGGAAAGCATAATAAGGTTGCTGATTCAAAAGTCGAAGAGCTACCAACTGTCGCTGATGAAGGAAACGATTCTAGCTCTACAGAGGAAGAACTTGGCCCAACCGAGAAAGAAGTCAGCGAAGAACAAGATGTATACCAATGGTTTGAGTTTACCCCATTTGAAGTTGGTAGTGAGGAATTAAGTGGTAAGTTATTTACACATGAATTGTATATCATCGAAAGCACCATAATTGATGTAAAATATCAGCTTGGATCCCCACCTGGGCATTTGGAAGAACGTTTGAAGCTGGAAAGGGCAAGAATCGATGCCCTGAACAGAACCTTGGGATATTGTTAGGGTAAGATTTTGACAAGGTCAAAATAGCCGGCTGTTTCTTCTCTAATTTAAAGGAAAATCCCGTTGTGCAGAACATTTGGATCCGCCTTCACAGCTACGCTTGCACACTTTTACCAAGAGGTCAGGGGATTGCTACCAATGACAGCTCTCCAAAAAGCCGATAGTACCATAAAGCAATACGAAGAATCCGTTACCTCCATACATCCTATCTCCCCAGCTTCCTTCCCAAATCCATTCTACAAGCTTCCACCCACCCCTCCTGTAGCTGACCCCGTCAATGTGCGATCAGAAAGCATCATTAATTCTCCGGATTTGCGCCTGATGGATGCTGGCATGGACAATAATATACCATTCTATCCTCTGCTTCGCAACGGGAGATCGGTTGATGTTATCATTACATTCGATTTGAGCGCTGACATCCAGGCTGCTCCTCACTTTGAGCGTGCTGAAGGTTGGGTAAAACGGAGAGGCGTCCAAGGGTGGCCAATCGGTGCTGGTTGGCCCAAGAAAGACATCGAAGTTGAAACTCAACAAGAGGACGGTGGAGCAGAAAACATCGATGCTGAAAAGGAGAAGGAAGTCCATGGAACTAAATTAGTAAACGAAACGGAGGAGTTGAAAGAGATGAAGCAAGCTCAAGAAGACACCATCTCGCATGCCAGATCTCCTTCCCCGAAGAGCAAATACAGGCTTGGTCATTGTACAGTTTTTGCATCCAGTGCCAGTGAAACTACCATGGATGGTAATGGAAAGGATGAAGCTGACAACAACAGTGGCACAACCATATACCGTGAAGATATCAACCCTATTACCGTAATCTACTTTCCATTAATTGGTAATGATCGCTATGATCCAGATTATGATCCACAAGAAAACGATATAACGACCACTTGGAACTTTGTGTACTCTCCATCGCAAGTCAGCAAGCTTCATGGCCTAGCTGAAGCTAATTGGACTGAAAATGTTGAACAAGTTCGGCAAGTTCTTAGAGGAGTATGGGAACGTAAGAGGAAGCAAAGAGAAGCGAACGAGCCTCACACCATAAACGATCAATTTTCGAGCCCTTAGTTGAACGCGACTAATTACATACATCATACAATACACGCTGCATGCCATAGATCTAGATATTAACTATATAATTATTGTATCTCAATAAATTTCAATACCGTAACAGTATCATAACTGCTTGACCTTCAAACAATGGTAGGTAGGTTGTGCATAATTGAAACTCAGAATTGTGATTGATTTCGCGATGTATAAAATGCAAAGAAAAAAATTGAAATGGTCTGCCTTCAAACCCTCCTGATCGATCACACACCATGCCGCTCATAATCATAACAGGATTCCCTTGCAGCGGGAAAACAAGACGTTCGGAGGAGATCAAGAAGTTTTTTGAAGAGCGATGCAAAGCCGAAAACAAAAAGCTTCGAATACACATTGTCAACGATGAAGTGTTAGGCATAAGCAAATTAGCATACAAAGGTACAGCACAGATCACTCAGATATTCGACTTGTCCTTCGAGACTCACTTTCCCCATAGAGGCAAGAGAAGAGAAGAAAGCTCGTGGAGCATTGATGTCAGCTGTGGAAAGACTTGTGTCCAAAGACGACCTTGTCATTGCAGACGGAATGAACTACATTAAAGGATTCCGGTATCAACTTTATTGCGTGGCTCGGGCAATCAGCACACCACATTGTGTGGTAGGTCTATGAGCAGTTGGTTTCAGTCATGTGAAAGCAAAATTAATAACGTGAATCTAGGTGCATTGTGGAACACCCATCAATATGGCACGCGAATGGAATTCGGAGCGGAAGGAGGGTGCTTATCCTGAAGATGTGTATGTAACTATATGTTTAATGGCTGAAAGCTACATGAAGTTGACATGAATTTAATAATTTTTTGTTTTCAAGCTTTGAGGAGCTAATTACAAGATATGAGGAACCTGATGGCAGGAATAGGTGGGATTCTCCTTTATTCACAGTCATTTACGACGATGCATCTGTCCCACAAGAGAATCTTTGGGATGCTATAATATTGAAAAAGCCGCCTCCACCTAATCTCTCTACTGTAACTGTAAGTGTAGGTGTACTGGATGGTCATACATGCCATTTATATTCATTCAATCTCGTTGCAGAAACCTGTATCCGAAACAAACTTCTTGTATGAGCTAGACAAGATGACGTTGGATGTCATTAACTGTGTCTTAGAGACTCAAAAAAATCAAGGACAAGGTGGATTGCCAATGGTGGTGCCTCGATCATCACATAAGGTCATTAATCCTGCCAGAGCTATCACCATGTCGGAGCTACGGCGGCATCGACGACAGTTTACGACCATGAACAAACTACATACTTCAACCAACATCGATGTTGTGGCAGATATGTTTGTAGACTACTTGAACACAAATTTGGCGAATTGAAATAAAAATACCATCCATAGATACAAGAGCCTATCAGTATGCTGTGTTTCAGGATCTAGGCTAAAGTATATCAATTTATAGATGGGTATGTCAAATGCATGCCTAGGGGCCAACCTTGTTGAGATAGAGTACAAAGCAATGAAAAACTATTAATAAGACACACAAACGAACGGGCTTTGTGTAGATGTGGATGCAACATCTTTTGCTAACGTGATAGCCGTCAGAGAAGTTACTTCAGCCTTCATCATCATGTTAGGGTATCTTGAGGTTTGAGTGCATCTTAAGTGTATAAGAATCATGCCTTTCCTCGTTCAGCGAGTGTAACATGCGTTTCAAGAGTGGATAGCATCTGGTCCCAATTGATGAAGATCTCAGATAGGGTGTTCACCTAGATATAATCAAAAGTCAAGTCAAGTAGTAATCGATTTTAGGCTACATTATCGCTCCATTGTAGCAGATTGTTATTTTCAAAAAGGATACAGTTCCATTGTAGTTCTCCATAAGCTGGGACAAATTTTTCGAAGATTGAGATAGTGCTTGACTTTGAAGTTTGTGCTTTGCCTCTAAGGGCCGTAATTTGATTGCAAGATCGTCCACAGCTACAGGATGTCGATTTGGAACAAATTTGATTCAGTAATAAGGTACATAATGTCGGTATGTTAGCGAATTCACCAACCTGAGATATCTGAGCTTTCTAAGACGTGCTCAAGTGCCTTGATTTGCTTAATCTGATTTGCAAAGGCCTCTAATTCTTCGCCGGCTGCTAGCACAAGCTCTTTTTTGGTTGTAATATCCAAAAGCTCTTGTTCGACTGCAAATGGTGAAGCCATAGGATTCAGGACGTTTTCGTGCTTGTTGTCTAATAACATTCAAATTCATGGGTTATTGCTGTTCCATCACTCCTTCCTTTCGTAACTCTGCTTACATTTTTCCACAAAATCTCGTAATGCCTTGTCATCGACTAAAACACTTTCGAGTTCATTCTGTAATTTCGATATTCTTTCCGATAGCCCTTCGTTTTCGTACATGCTTTCATTATTAGCACTATCTTTGGATGGTAAGTCTACTAATAGCTGCTCCAGTCGCCAAACGCGAGCATCAAATCCTAAGTCATCCATGTCGGGGGAAGGTAAAATAGTAGCTTGGCTGCCATCGTGTTTCATTTGCCGCCAAATAAAGGGCACAAACTGAATTTTTTCACGCGACTGAGCCAAACTTGTTCATGGGCAAAGTTACTTATGCCATTGGATTTAAAAATGAACTTCCATTTCAGAGCGAAATAAAGCAGCTAAAACGACTCTATGCGCAATACCATAGAGTAGACGATAAGCTACCTTTAGCTGAAACAGCAACACAAATAGCAGATACTTTCTTAGACCAATGGGAAGAACTCAATGCAACAGGTGAAGCTGCAGAAGAACAGCAAAAGTCTCTTGAAACTGCGTTGAAATACTGCGATGAAGCGAGATACATTTTTAAGAAGCTGGGAAAAATGAAAAACGTAGTCAGGTATTGATTTTCGCAACCATGCTTACGTTAGTTTTCTGCTGCTAATATCTGATCTAAGCGTGGATCTCCTACGCATCAAATGCAAGCAGAGGTAAGAAATTATATCCACCCTGCTCAATAAAAGTCCAATGTCTGATTAAAAAGAAACAGATTGAAGGACTACCATAGTGCAATTGCTGTTTGTCATCAACTGGAGTCGCGGGTGCTGAGTCATATAACTGACGACCAAAGTGTTCGACAAGAGTTTTACAAAAGCTATGGAGACTTGTATTTCAACAAAGGGTCAGATAAACTAAAACTTCCATCAATAAGCCAGCAGGATAAGCTTATTAACTCACGGCATCATTAACAGAGCTGACGAAAATGAATCCAAATGCGATGACTTTGGACATGCAAAACACTATTACGAGATAGAGCAGCGTATATTGCAACATCTTAAAGGTAAGACTAGCGGGCTCATGTTTTCAGAAATTAATAAAGTACATATTACATCTAACGGAAGAAACTTAAGACGAGGCAAAGCATGCGGATCAGGAAAACTTGCAGGATTTAATCAGAGCGAATACTTTTAATCTTGGAGTCATTGAATCCAAAATTGGAGGAGACTTGTCGTGGGCAGAAACCCTGCTAAAGAAGTCAATTGAGGATGCCCGCCACTTATCCGACCTACAAAGCGAAAGAAATGCTTGGTGGGAACTTGCAAACCTGAACAAATTACAAACCAATTTTCAAACTGCATTAGAATGTCATTTAAATGAATTGAGGCTGGCTCAACTGGATGATTTACAAGAAACAGAGCTACTTTGCCTGTATGATATAGGTATTAATGGATCTGCGGTGCAATCATAATGGGTTTTTGTACTGACAGAGCCTCCCTTGACAGCTGTCACACATTTAGAGATGAATAGCTTTGAAAAATGCAAGGAGATTGAAAGCGATATTATGGGTTGGTTATTGATAATTTGTCACTTAGGTGAATGCATATTTTTAACTTTTCTTTTTCTACATGTGTCTCAGAACTCGCCAATGACCAGTCTTACGCTGTAAGTAAATAGACGTAAAAAGAGTGCTTTGGTCTAATTCTAAGTTCAAAACTCGCTTTCGCACCGTAATAGCAATCCCTGATACAGCCGCTGAAAACCATTAGAGATAGCGAAGCTACTGCTACAGAGTTTGAAAATTTGCATTCGACAGATTCAATTCGCAACGCGCAAATATATTTATCCCTAGGTAAGTTAGACTTGTGAAGCCTTTGCTTTAAGCAATAGTCAGTTCACCAAACAGATGCAGCTAGGGCATATCTTCAAGTCTCCATGAACAAGAAGGCGTTGAAGAATCTCGACAAAGGGTTCTTGGCAATAGAGCACGATGTGGATGCTGCTTCAATGGCTTTGAAATTGGATAATCTTGTTCTGAAAGGCGATGTCACATGGCAAATAAAAGTTGGAGTAAGTTATTGATTTCTTTATTTCTTTCGTCTTCTAAGCCATTTACTCACACCTTTGATAAAGGATACCAATGCGTTGGCCACTCCGTACTTGGATGCACTGTCACTAGTAAATAGTGCGAGTGATCATTTGTCAACTGGGCATATTCTCGAAGTGAAAACGGCTTGCATGCAAAAGTTAACTCGAATATACGATTACTTTCATGTTACTCAAGAGAGTGACAAGTGGTCATCGGAATTAAAACTTTTGGAATCGACAAGTCACATAACTAATGTAAGTTAAACGCTCGGAATCAACGGTGCAGAGCAAGATAATTTATTATCTTGGTACGTTAGCGCTTTGGTGAAAAGTATCTCCCATCTTCGGACGAAGAGTACGACGAGGCAGCACCAATGCCTAGCCAAAAAGTAAATTCTCAACTTTCACTGGCGCTGGGCGAAAGCGTAGCTGACATGGAAATCAATAACCCTGAAAGTAGCTCCATGGTAAGTGGTCACTCGAAGGAATACCTGCGTATTAATGCCAGTAGCACAACATTCTCATATGCCCTCTTACTAGGTCATTGAAGTCCACGTTACTGATATAAACCAAGATTGGAAGCTTCTCGTCCCATGGACTGATAAAAGCAGCACAGTTAAATGGCTGAGCCATGAGATAGCGAATAGATACTGGATAGCGTTCGCAAAATTGGTTGGTATTTGACTACTGCCAGCCGCTGCTGTGACAATGCTAACTCAGTATTCATTGCTAGCCACATTTCAGCCATTTAGAGGCAGGGGGTGCCGTTATTCTTGCGAATGATTTACTAGCTCATGTTCTTTCGGATAGTAAACCGATTGTAACGGCAACGATAGAACGTAAGTGGATGCCATAGTTTAATCTCACTACGTGTATACCTAATTTCCAATTTTAATGGTGTAGGCTATGAACCAAAATCTCTGGAAGAAATCTATTTGAATATTTGTACCAGACACGAATATCCGCCAGACAATGACATAAAATTGCAACTTGGTTCCTCGGATAATGACAAAATTTTTCTGACGGGTCTAGGTAAGGCAACCTATGTTGAATATTGAGTATCTTAACTGGTAGCCGAAGACTAACGTATGTGACAGGTATAATTCCTCATTCCTTCAAGCCGCTGGCGCTAACGATTGGACTGTCTGAATCCTTGAGCATACTGGATCTCTCAGCAAATTTATTAGGTGAACAAAATGCTCCTTTCATTGCCTTTCGTAAGACGTCTTTTCTTTTAGCTAACTTTATTGCTAGATGACTCGGCCATTTCAACTCTCTTTGCGACTGCTGTTAACGGCGGTCATCCAATTATGCCAAAGCTCAAAGGCATAAACCTTGCTTCAAACTTGATAACTGCAACTGGATTTACGCTGCTTGTGAACTCCTTATCACAATCGCTAGAAGCGTTAAACATTTCTTTCAATCCTTTGGGTGCAGGTGCAATACTCAGTATGTCAAAAGCAATAACAAAGTTTCCAAATCTGACGTCTATCAGCCTTGACAATTGTGACATTGGCGATATCGCCGATAATGGAATACTCTTTACACAACCTGACGAGCTCAACTTATCAAGTAAGAGATTGAAGATATTTAAGGTAAAGCCAGACAGTTTAATAACCTTGAATGTGTTGTCAGAGAGGTGCTGTGGACTATCTGTCAGTATTGCCAACAATCCCATGGGCCGTCGTACAGAGAAAAATTTGGAGGCAGTGCTTATTTGTGTTCCGGACTTGCAGTCACTAGATTGCTCGCGCATAGCGTCGCTTGGTTTGGGCTCACTTTTAACCTGTTTGTCGTCGCTTAAAAGGTAAGTGCTACTGATGACAGCTCGAATATGGATATATATACCCTTCTTTAACACTTTATCAGTCTTCAGCTTCTAGATGTTAGCAATACAACTTTAGGTGATGTTGGCGTTAGCGGCATCTGCAACCTGTTCAAACAAACATCATATCTGAAATCTATCAACATGAATTACTGTGGTATAAATAGTGGACGTAAGTTGGCGAAACAATAAACAGTGTGAAACATGCTGATGCTAATATGTATGCCAAAGACATGGATCTCATTTCGGCAGCCTTACAAGAAAACAAAAGCCTTGTGGAAATGAAACTTTCTGGAAATAAGATCATGGATCAAGGTATGTCTATGGATGTTGTATATGATGGCGACTGACAATAAGTTTGTTCTAACGAATATACGGAATTAGGAATGAAAGCTCTAATGACCTGCTCAAGGGCTGGTCAGCGTTTGGTTTTGGACGACATTCATTTGAATGATTGTGCTATTACAGCAGACACCGTCGATATATCTCGATTCATAAGATGTTTTAAACATGTTGACATGTCCAATAATGTCATTATAGATAGCAATGCTGATTTCGAGTACCTCCTGAGTGCTATGTTGGAGGAAGCAACATCCGAGAAAGTTACCATTGATACTAGGCTTAACGACACAGACTTGGACCGTGTTTCACAGACCAGACCAGATTTATGGAGTCGGTTTTCTGTCAATAGACATCCTATAAGAAAGCTACAACTTACGATAATAAAGCGCATGGATACCTAAATACCCGTCCATTCCATAAGAGCTCAACTTAGAGATTGAAAGTAGCAACGCCCGCCAGTTTAGGACGATTTTGGCCGAAGCCCTTTCTTCCATAGCAGAAACCCATAATTAATGAGCTGCACGTCCTATTTTTGATTACGAATAGGAAGACAGCAAAGGCTCATCGGCATGGTTATTTTTGGGCATTCAAGGAGGACGCATCTGGCTGAGAATGAAAATTGTACCTTTTCCGAAAGCAACCAAAATTCGCCACCCGTTTTTTTATATTTATATACCCTATTTAGCGAAATTTACTGCTTTTGCCCTCATTCACTACTTTTCCTCCATGGTGCACAACGCAACTCCAGGTATCGGTCTCCTGGGCAGCACCGCACTGCTCGTCTCCTCTATCACAGTAAGTAAAGGCTGCTATGAATAGTTCAGACGCAATGACTATTCTAATAAAACGTTTCAAAGGGTCCTGGTCTGACCACCATTTCGCTAATGTTCCAACAGGTGACATTTTGGGCATTTTGACATTCCAGCAAAGAATGGTTGCTAATGCTGAAAATATGCACTCTTTTCATTTAGTCTGGATGGGTGCTACCAACTATAGTTTTCATGTTAATGGCTTTCCTATCCGGTTGCTCGGCGTTGTTCATATGCGAGGCAATGAGCAATATTAGAGGAAATGAGAAGTTCCAGGTAAATTGAAATACCCACACTAGTTACCACATATATCTTTTACTTATTCATTGCAGGCCAAGGTAGAGTTCACTACGATTGCTCAACTCTATTTGGGGAAGAATTACCACATGGCACTGCAAGTGCTATTATACCTGGCCTTGCAATCTGTCAATATTGCAAGTATAGTCATATCAGTGCAGGTTACTATCCAGATTGCTTTGAATCAGTGAGGTCAAAAATTTGGTTTTTAACTTTTTTCATAACAGACGTTGGACGATATGTTCATCGCATTATTCAAACGGACATGCGGTGTGGGTTTCTCTCCCGCGGGTTGGATTTGTGTCACCGAGCAAACAGCCAACAACTCTCCATTTCCAAGCGGATCGTATTTTTTTTTCACCTTCGGCCTTTTGGCTACAGCCGTCCTTGTTGTACCGCTTGGATTCTTCAATTTGGTGGAGAATGTTAAAGTACAGATTGGATCATTCATTCTCTTGATTGGTATCCTAATAGAATGGGTAATATCCTTTAGCATACACGGCTTGGATCCATCCATGGTGCCTGCCGCTTCTAATAATTCTAGCCAAGTGGTTGGCACGGTCCTGCTTAACTATGCATTTATCACAACCGTAAGTTGAATGGTTAGCTTTTGGAACTTCAATGCCAAGCACTAATAATGATTTCCAATCTAAGATTCCATCCTGGATTAACGATGTTCGACGGGACGTATCTATACATACTTGCATTTGGTTGTCCCTCGGCATTTCATGCTTCTTTTACATCTTGATTGGTAAGTTGATGGACGTGCAAAATATGCCCTGTCACAACGAATTTCGTGCTAATGACAATCGACTAGGTATCACAGGGGCTATGAGCTATTCTATGAATGGATCAAGCAATATATTAGACTTCTTGAGGACAGATGGTAATATTAAATCAGCAGACGAAATGGATGCAGCTACCAGATGACTGAACAGCATTTATAGGTTCAATTGCTTCCAAAGTAGCCGTGTACATGTTTCCGTTAGTGGCACTTGTCACATCAGTCCCAGTTTTCACAATTGTCATTCGCTCAAACCTATTGAGAGGCCGGGTCTGTAACAAGTACTTGGCGCATTTCCTGGCCAGTGGCGCTCCATGGTTCATTGTAATGTAAGTTAATCAACTTTAGTCAAAAGGCAAGTAACGTATACAACATCTTTATTAAAACGATCTTCCGTACAGTTTACTTCAAACCAGTGATTGGCTAAATATGTTCTTGAACTGGACAAGTCTGTTCCTACAATCGGTAAGCACTTCAATTTGAAGAAAGCTAGTTTAAAATGCAAAAATAGCTAATTTATACATCGCAGACGGTTAATTTCGTACTGCCATTTGCGTTGTATTTCATTTCTAAAAGATACGAAGCGAAAATTGAAGATCCTCCTCAGCATGACTCTGCAGCGGATCATGATACTTTTGTCATGTACAACCCCGAGGAAAATCGGTCAATATCCATACAGAGAATACCATCTACTCACATGTCTCACGTCACGAATCATTCGAAAATGGAGCAGCCAGCCGACTTGGATGTCCCCGCGTTTTCGTTGGATCAAAAAGCCAAAGATATCTCCACACAACATCCCATCATTCCCGATATCATCTTGACTGACACAAACCACTCAGATCATCATTCACTTCCTTATACCAGTAACAATGTCGAAGGAAACTTATTGACGATCCCACCTAATATACCCTATGCCAACAGCTCAAATGAACCAACCAAGATAGTGTCAAAAGACTTGATGTCCCAAGAAAGTGACAAACATGAAACCCTCTTTCATTCTTCCAATACGGTAACTTTAGACCACAAGGAAAAGCAAGGAGGAAGTATCCATGAAGAGTATATTCCACAGCCGCGCAGTCGTGGACCGTCTGTGACTTTGTCGATTGAGACAGGTTACACTTCCAGTCATATCCGATCACGACACTCGGGTTCCGTGAGCCCTACGCAGTCTTTGGCAATTGTAACCGTCGATCCATATAGCCCTTTGAGCGTGCGAACGGCCACATTTGTATCGGGATCTGCATCGCATACCAATTCTGTTTCTTTTTTCAGGGATGGACAGTTCAAAGGAAGATTTCAAGCTTTTCCTGCTTTAGGCAGCGTTAAATCATTCCTGCTTGCTATATTGGCATTCACATTGATTACCTTGGCTGTTGTATTTACGATTATATACGATTTTGTGCTTCTAGGAGAAGGAATCAATGTGTATGGATCGTAGATTTGTAAAAGTGATATAAGTGCAGCTTAACTAGTCTTTGAAGAGATACTGTAGATCCAGACTTTTGAAGCCATATAAGCACTTGTACTATACTGTGTCTTTTGTAAATATATCAACTACTTGAAACCATGTATTATCCATTCTTATTTTGCTCAACATGCTGCACTGCTTAATTGACGCTATTTCAGCGGTCGTGCAATGTCGAACGAGGTGAGGATACCCAGTTACAATTTTCACGTGACCACTCAGTAAACAAAATGGCCAAAAAAAAATATTGACAGGAACTTTGTGAATCCCTAGCCATGTCGTCTGCTTCTGTTCAAGCCAACCAACGGTTCTACAAGGCAGTGTTCTCTAGAATACCTGTAAATCAGTTACTTCGCATTAGCCGAAAACCTATCACCGAAGCCGATGTCAAACCCCAATTTGTCAAGAATGAGTCCACCGGCAAATCACACTGGAGAAAGCCACGACTGTCCCTACGAGTTCAAAGCGACTTGCGTAAAGTTGCTGAATTGATGGGCGAGGATACAGTCGCCTTAGGACTCCCAGAGAAGTCAGCTAACAAGGTACTTAGAGCTCGACCCAATAAGCTTGAGAAGCATGAGCGTAAGCGCGCCGAGCGGGAAGCTTCTATCCGTCAAAACATGGAAAAGATGAACGAAACTATCAAGAATTGGAGAGAGGTAAACAAAGGAGAAAAGTTGCATGGCGATGTTCGGTGATGAGCATATTTTTATTTACTGTTTTTTCACTTTTTCAACAGGAAAAGCTGAAAGAATCTTCCAAGGGCAAGTCCAACATGCCATTCTAGAAACTGTACGCATCTCTAATAGAGGAAGCTTACAACCCCCCTTCTGTACAATTACCCTATACAACCTTTTTGTTTTCAATTGATAAAGAAAAAAATAGATACATGCTTTTTATTTTAGACTTGTTTGGTAGCGACGATCCGACCATGCGGTACGATGCAAACAACCGAGGAGTATTTTCAACACCGTTGTAAAGATTTTTCGATGTGATAGTAAGGTGGACATTGATGTGAAGCCATATCTCGTGTGGAGTGGAAAGTACAGTCGCAGGCCACACAATGAAAGTTTGGGTTAGGCACAGGCGGCGGTGGACGGTGTAATGAGCGGTGAGACAAATTGGGTTCTGCCAGGCGAGGAGGGTCCCAGTACACTTTGACTTTGCGGTGGACGAAGGGAACTCGAAACGCCGTGATATTGAGCTTTCCAAAGATTTTGTCAAGCTTGGAGGGAGTAGACATCCATATAGAGGGAGTAGCAGTCATTGGAAAACGACGACGGACAACAGCAAACAAAGGGTTTGATGAAGATAAAAATGAATGGTCAAAGCCCAAGGTCGGCTCACAAACGCAGTCACAAATACGGCCCAAAAAAAAAAAAGAAAAGGGAACTGTCAGTTGCCAACCAAGGAAATATCCTCTTTTCCGAAAGGTAATTTGATCGTACCATCCATCCATCCATCCATCCCACCCATCATGCTAATCCATTTGAATACAGGCTCATTAAAAGTCCTCGAACAGATATTATCATGTCGAAGCGTGAAGCCAAAGAAGCCTATTTCTCCAAGCTCAAGTCTCTTCTTGAGGAGAACAAGTCCATCTTCATTGTCAATGTTGACAATGTCGGTTCCAACCAGATGCATCAGATTCGTCAATCCCTCCGTGGCGAAGCTGTTGTCTTGATGGGTAAGAACACCATGGTTCGTCGTGCCCTCAAGACCTACATGACTGAGAGCCCCGAATACGAACGTCTTCTTCCTTTCGTCAAGGGTAACATCGGTTTCATCTTCACCAACTGTGACCTCAAGGATATCCGTGAGAAGATTCTCTCCAACCGTGTTGCTGCTCCTGCTCGTGCTGGTGCCATCGCTCCCGTTGATGTCGAAGTCCCTGCCGGTAACACTGGTATGGAACCCGGTAAGACCTCTTTCTTCCAGGCTCTTGGTATCCCAACCAAGATTGCCCGTGGTACCATTGAAATTGTCTCCAACGTCAACCTTATCGCCAAGAACGCCAAGGTCGGTGCCTCCGAAGCTGCTTTGCTTAACATGTTGAACATCTCTCCCTTCACCTACGGTATGACTGTTATCCAAATCTACGATGAGGGTACCTGCTTCCCCGCTTCCGTCCTTGACGTTGAGGAGGAGACTTTGCTCGCCAACTTCATTGCTGCTGTCAGCCAAGTTGCTTCCATCTCTTTGGCCACTGGTTACCCCACCCTTGCTGCCGTTCCCCACTTGATCGCCAACGGTTACAGAAACCTCTTGGCTATCTCCGTCAACTCTGACTACTGCATTCCCCAAGCCGAGGACCTCAAGCACCGCATTGAGAACCCCGAGGAGTTTGCTTCCGCTGCCCCCGTTGCCGCCGCTGCCGCTGCTGAGGAGTCCGCTCCCGCTGCTGTTGAGGATGAGGAGGAGTCTGAGGAAGATATGGGCTTCGGTCTCTTCGATTAAACGCATTGATGGACTTTCCATTTTTGTTTGTAATAAACTTATGACGGCCATTGTGCCAGTTTAAACAATCAATCTTTGTACAAGAGTTGTGATGACGGAAAGACATGTTGGCCAATATTGTGTTTTGGGAAACAATGGTACCTGATCCATCAGGCCATACGTTTTTTGAGTACCTGCCTGCCTTAATTTTTTTTTTCACACCAGCTGTGGTATTATTGTTTTTTATTAACACTTTGTGCGGGAGTAGCACACGTTTACAAATTACATTCACTTCTAGACTATTGAGATGCTGTCTTACTTCTAGCTCGAATGGCAGCTCCGTATCGATAAAAGGCAAAAGGAATTGGAACCATGGCCAAACTGATAAATGCTAGTAGTGTGCTGGCCCACTGGAAGCCAAGTCGGTGATACATTTGGGTAATGAACAATGGGAAAGCTGCGCCAAGTCCACTTCTGACAACCGTCTTTGCCGCAAGTGCGGAGGCACAGTACGTAATGAAGGTATCAATGAGGTAATTGTTCGCTGTGTAGTAAATCAAGACCATTCCAAAGCCGAATGGAATACCACTGATAGTAGGTCCTATCCAATGCACCCATGGGTACGAAGTCCAGGCAAAGATGAACAGAGAAATAGGCACAAAGGGAGCTGCAAACATCATTCCTGGAAGACGATCCTCAGGGGTAGGGTCACGGCCCAAAGCATTGTATCGCTTTTCCAGTTGTGGGGTGACAACCAGAGCAAAGCCAGTGCCGATGAGAATACCAATAAATGTCAAACCAATTTGGCCATCATTGAAACCGTATAATTCGCTAAATACCACGGGGTAAGCGAAGAAGAAAGCGTATAAAAGACCATAGATCAAAGCGATGTAAAGCGACATCAGCACGAGGATGGGTTCACTTATAAGCATGGTGAAGGGCCGAACCATGGTGATCTTGACTGTTTGCATGAAGCTTGCACGGAAGCGTTCTTGTTCAGTCACATAAGCCTGGTTTCCCGTCTCCTTACGAAGTTTAGCAGCTCTTCTTGCAAGTAAAACGGGGGCATACGTTTCGGGCAACAAGGATACCATGATCCACATGACACCAGCGAACATTAGGTTGACCCAGTATATCCATCTCCAGCCAGCGCCCATACCAATAAATCCAGATACGAGAGCACCAATGACAGGGCCACCATAGGGAGCAGCAGCGAACCATGCAATAGCGTTACCACGCTCCGAGGCAGCAAAGATGTCGCTAATGGAGCCACCCGCCAAAGTCAAAGGAGCAGATGCAAAAACACCACCGAGGAACCGAAACACCAATATAGTACCAATGTTTTTAGCCAGAGCACATGGTATATTGAAAATGGTGTAGACTCCAAATGCAATGGTATATATGGGACGACGACCGTACAATTCACTGAGAGGACTCCAGAGGAGAGGGCCAACACCAAACCCGCAGACCATAAGAGAGGTTTGGAGGATGGAGACTTCCATAGAAACATTAAACGTGTTGGCGGGACCACTTAAATCACCAGTAACGCAAGATGAGCCGAATGCAACGCAGACCACCAAGGAAGCCACAACGGCAGTATGTATGAAGCGATAGCCTTTTGACCAATTTTGAGGATTTTCAGGGTCATCAATTCGCCACGTAACCAAAAGATCCTCCTGGACCTTTTCGTTCACAATTGATGTCTTTCGCTTAAATCCATCTCTAGTTTCAACTGTGTATTCATCTGTGAATCCAGCGCGATTGGTATCCGTAGTATAAAGTGGAAAGGTAGTGTCAACGCCATTAGGGAACTCGGTGTCGTGGGCATTATGTGAGGCTACTGCAGTATTTTCTGTGGCAGCAGATTCTGCTTCTGAAAGGTTAGAAGCTAACATGTTTAGATTTTAATGTGACTAGATTTGACGAATGGCTGGCCTTTTTATACCGTACGCGAGACGGGATAATGGGATTTCCGGTAGTCAATTGTTCAAACGAACAGAGCGGACTTTCCCGATCCACAATTTGAGGGTCTAACACCAAAAATTTGTCGCTTTGTTTGGTCAATCATAATTTCCAGAAAACTGGCCCGTACATGGTCAGCTTGAGCGCATACTCTGCTCAAAATTACCTCCATATCACTTTTATATACATCATATTAGCATAGGTTGTTCGTTGGAATGGTAAACAAATCTGGAAGTACCATACATCCGGTTACGAAAATCGGACTTCATAGTTGTCAATTCGGAGTTTCAAGTTGAAAACCTGGAACATTACCAGCAACTTGGCGCTCTTGAACTTAAAACATAGCTTATGCAATTTAAATAATCAAGAGATTTCAAAAACATTACACTTTTATTATATAGAATGCATCATTAGTGATCCATGGATGCGGTAAGAAGTTCTGCTCGGGCTGTGAGCCAGCAAAGGAAACGGGGCGTGCTGCAACGTCTGACTGCCAACGCCATGATGAGCAAGTAGAAAGGCTTTTTTACTACATGCTCTTTGTTCAACATTAAGTAAAATGAGTCCATGTGCGTTCGTCAGTGCTCCTACATAGTTCATGCTTCGAAACGAACTTGATTAACCGGATTGTCTTCAAAACTCTGAAAAGCCTCAAATCACATAATACAGCAACCTGACACCACATGTCTAGCTGCTATGGCCAGCTACGAAGCGACCAGAACATTCGGTAGGCAATCGACTAGTGAGTCATGTGAGCTTGTAGTCAATAGAAACCTGTTCTGTTTAAATAACATAAATAATGATAACATTGTATCTCGAAAACAGCATGACTGCCATAGCAAATAGATTTCAGCCATCTTCCCGGCCTTTCCCTTGCATATAAACTCCTACCGTCACCGACATCGATGAATCCATAATTAGGTCCACATGCTTCGATCACATCATTTTGCAAATCATCTTGCGCACCTGGCTATCGGAACAGGTTAGTAATGCATTTGTGGCCCAGGCTATCATTCAAATTTGAACGCCTACGAGGCAGTAGATCATTAAAGGGAAAGTCGCTGGTATCGTTCTTCCAGAGGTGTGCATCAATCTGTTGACTTCTATCCTAACTGCTCCTGCTTGAAACATGGCCTATAAAGTTTCCAATTGATGAAAATAAATCAATCGGCTATTTTGACAAAAGTCCTAATGTCAAGAGGAGCCGTACTGACGTGGAGACGGAGGACACATGACAAATCAGCGTATACGAAGAGTGAATCAAACAGGTGTATGCGACAAATGCCCAAGTTCAAGCACTCACAAAGGCTTGGTTGGAGTACTAGCTGACTATTCAAAGCTGCTCAACTGAGTTTTCAATACGACAAAAAATCCCGCATTCTCCCATTGAATTTTGGTGGCTATGGGACATCAGGGGCTGTCATTGACAATATGCGGCAATTGATCTTCGTCCCTGCTTTATCATATTATGTTCAAAGTGTTATGACAGCTCAGGGACTGCAACTCATAAACATACATCCATTTCGAAGGTATGCAAAGCTTTCAAAATGACATCATTCACGAGTCTGGCGGATCTCCTTTGAGCGGATCAGTATTTTTTTTAAAAGATGTTATATTTTCAGCATCCTGTAATTGTAGTGACTATGTTTACTACAGATGGGGTATGGCTTATATGTATTTAATCTAATGGCCCTTGCGGCAAGTGTCGTAGTTTTCAAGGAACCAGGCAACGGACTCTTGGACGGCTATGGTTGAGAAAAATAAAGGAGTTTAGCATACAATAACGCACGGTTATGCTTCGCATGCATCACTTACCATCGTTGAAGGGAGTGAACTCAAAGTCAGGAATATATTTGAGAAGCTTGTCGTTGCTGGCAGTCTTCTTGAACTGACCATCGGAACGAGTGGTATCGAAGCTGTATTCACCCTCGAAACCAACAGCGCTGACAATAGCATCGGCAACATCCTTGATGGAAACTTCATCCTTCTCACCAACTAAACATTGTGTAAGTAAAAGAGGTCAAAGCTACCATATGTATCAAACACTACTTACCGGAGAGAATGATGGGCTCAGTCTCCTTGTATTCACGAAGAGTCCAGATGAAGAGCTTGGCGAGATCGCGAGAGTAGATGAACTGACGGAGAGGCTTGCCAGTACCACCAACGATGAAAGGAGTGTTGTTCTCTATAACAGACCAAATGAGTCAGCAACCAGTATAGATTACAAATGAAACATAGGGAAATAAAACATACGCTTAGCCAAGTAGCACTTGTGGGTCAAACCAGGCAAGACGTGAGAATCCTCAAGATCGTAGTTATCGTGGGGACCGAAAACGTTGGTAGGGATGACGGAAGTGAAGTTGCATCCGTACTGCTCGTTGTATGCCTTGTTTTGGACATCAATCATACGCTTAGCGTGAGCATAACCGAAGTTAGACTCGTGGGGAGGACCGTTGTGGATCATGGTCTCGTCAATGGGGTAGCTAGTCTTGTCAGGGAAAATGCAGGTAGAAAGACATGAAACAACCTTCTGGACCTATAATCGAAAAAGACAGGAGATCAGCCATAAGTCTCCCTTCCAATGCCATATAGCTCAACATTGGGTACTTACACCAAAGACCTTGGAGGTCTCGAGGACATTGTCATTGATAAGCAAGTTATCACGAAGGAAATCAAGCTTGTACTTCATGTTCTTGAAGAGACCACCGACAAGAGCGGCCAAGTGAATGACATGGGTAGGCTTGTACTTTTCAAAGATAGCCTTAGCATCCTCTGGCTTTCTGTAAGTGCATAAGAGAGGGGGGTATTAGTCATGGGAGGGGATGATCTCATCCAGCTTAAACTATGTGAAGGTCACAATTCCTTCGAGGAATTGGAAACCATTCGCCTTTCCAACCCTAAGCGACATCGGTTGAAGTACAGATGTAGCCCATCATCTAGAATACTTGCCTAAGATCACCATCCTTAGAAGTAAGGAAGATCCAGGTTTCGCCTTCCTTCTTTCCGTAGCGCTCAGATTTATCGTTTTCAATGACCCATTCGATGGCCTTACCGACCAGACCAGAGCCACCGGTGACAAGAATGACAGAAGACATGATGTGATGAATGTGTAAAAAGGGAAAAAAAAGACAGGACCCCCAATTTCCCGAGCCATTTGTAGCGCTTGTCGATAGCGGTGCCTGAAAATATACAAAATAGCTGGTTTTTTTTATTTTGGCTGGCGTACAGAGATCGCTATCAAAGAGCTTCTATCAAAAGTACTTCGATGTAGGAATGATAGCTGCTTCATCTTGACTACAGCTTGGTGGAATTTTACCATGGCTACACTCAATGTCGGCTTATATGTGATGTTTTGGCCTAAAGAAAACAAAATAACAAATTTCCTTGGCCTGCCTGCTGGCTTCAGAACCCCAAAGTGATGATGCAAGAGCTGAGACTTTCATTATCATCGGACACTACGAGCCCTACTTTGAACATCCATCATGACAAGTCAAGTCAAACAATCTTCAGTTGCTGTGAAAAGCCTTCCACAAGACTCGCCTCGCTCGCACTTTAACGACTGCGCCAACTTCTGTCGCAAAGTCAATTACACGCCATTCCATATGTTACATGAAAGATTTATTGAATGCTAATAGGTTATGTGAACGTTGTGGGCCACGGGGGGTTTGGACATGAAATATAACACAATCGAAGATCGATCACAACAACGCTATAATAGTGTGGCCGAACTGAACATAGTTGGGTGGTTGATGGGTCGATCATCCTCAAACTCGTGAAATTCCCAAAACAGTGAGATTAGCGAGCTTCAAACTGAACCATACGTCTAGTTCTCTTCTTGTACATGATTCTGTGTCCGCAATCCTGGCATCGTATAGGCTCACGAGGTTTGATTGTGTTTTCGCTGCCGCAGGCTATGATCAAACGGGCATACGTAATTAGATGCGCTGCCATGATTAATAGTTATGCAAGCTGGTAAACCATAACATACCGGCACAAATGTAAGCCATTTGCTGGACAGGTTGTCGTGGCTGTGGGGTACCGTAAGCTCCAGCGTTCATGACAAGCAACCAAAGAGAATGAGATTCTACAAATGTCCCAAAAAAAAAAATCTCGTAAAAAAAAAAAAAGGACCGGTCGCAGTAAGTCACGTGGTTTATTCTCGGGTTTCATCACGCATTTCATTTATAAAAAGTGTCTAATTCTCTCTCCCAAACGTTTAAGCGCTGGAGAAGTATTCCTTGGACTTGGCAACATCAGGCTTGATGGTCTTTCCTCCCTTTTGCCATCCAGCAGGGCAAACCTCACCATGCTTGTCGGTAAATTGGAAAGCCTCAACCAAACGGAGAGTCTCATCGACAGATCGGCCAACGGGCAGGTCATTGATAGTGATTTGTCTGTTGGAATCTGTGTTTAGCCATTCTGGCTGGTTATACACTACTTCATGGTAGGACTTACCTGACAACTCCCTTGGGATCAATGATGAACAAACCACGGAGGGCTACACCAGCATCCTCCAAAAGGACGCCATATTCGCGAGCAATCTTCTTGGTCTTGTCGGCAAGGATAGGAATCTTCATTTCACCAAGTCCACCTTGCTTGCGAGGAGTGTTGACCCATGCAAGGTGAGAAAATTCTGGTAGTAGTAAATAACAATTAACAATTGAATTGTGATACGCTCGTCACGAGATTTCGTTACACACCGCTGTCAGTTGAAGCAGCAATGACAGCTGTATTCAACTGCTTAAATTCCTCAATGCGATCAGAGAAGGCAATGATTTCAGTCGGGCAAACGAAAGTGAAATCCATGGGATACCAGAAGAAGACGACGTATTGTCCCTTGTAATCAGTGAGGGAGATTTCCTTGAACTCGCCGTCAACAACAGCAGTGGAAGTGAAATGAGGAGCAGGGCCTGATTGAATTTTTAGTTATTTACATCCCATTGTATTTCCCAGTGAATAGATACATACATTGAACAGAAGCACGCTTGATCTCGGGGGCGACTGAAGAAGTGTAAGCGCGCATAGCGGATCCGAAAGCAGGCATGGCTTTAGCGAGTGAAGAGCTGTAGGCAGGAACCAATGGTCTGGTAGCTGTAGGTGCATTTCGAAGAGCGACACGGGCGGCAGTACGAGGAAGTGTGGAGACAATAGAGCGCAGCATGTTGAATTCGACAATGGGTTAAAGTGTTGTGGAAGTGGCCGGGAGGGTCAAAATAAGTTCTCGTCATAGTTTTGAAATTCCGCACGTTAATGCTACTCACGATTGATTGTCTAGTAATGGTTTTATTTAAGGGTAATATTTTTCTAATAAAGCTTCGGCCTCTACAGCAACACCATCCTCGTCATTACTGACCGTCACTTTGGTAGCGACGCTCTTTGTGCGAGTAGAGCCGTTGGACATAACAATGGAAGTACCTGCCCAGGCCACCATTTCATAGTCGTTCATTTCATCTCCAAACACGACCACTTGGTCTGGCGTTATTCCTCTTGATTCGCAATATCTGCTCAACGCACTGCCTTTGTTAATTCCTTGCGCTGATATTTCAAGCTGAAACGAATTGCTGTAGGAGATGGTGACAGGGCTGTACTCTCTGTCCAAGTACTCTTTGGGACACACTGCGTACATTTCTGCAGGGTTCCATCCTTGGCATAGGATCAGAATTTTGTTACTACCGGCTACACCGTCCAGCATCTTGAGAGAATCCTCAAATTCTTCAATCTCATAATAAATGTATTGTTCTCGAACTCGTTTGAACTCATGATTGCATCGGAATTCCGTTCCAGTTTCTGTTGTGATTTCACAAGCTATTCCAGCATTTGGCAAAACTTTGAGCATGTCTTGGATGAACGTTCTGGCCACATCAACCGATATCTCGTCCTTTTGTAGGACACGTCGTTGTTGGGCATCGTAAATAATGGCTCCGTTGCAACATATCGTCAGATCGGGAACGAGGCCGCCAAGATGATCGATCACTTTGTGGACACTTCTAGGTGATCTTCCCGAGGCTATCATAACTTGGATACCGACTTCTTGCGCTCGAGTCAACGCTTTGACAGTGCGCTGAGAAATGGTGTGATCGGTGTGGAGCAACGTTCCATCAAGATCTAATCAATCAGTCGCATGAGTTTTCAAGTGGCTCCCAAAGTCATCAACACTGCAGTTGTACCTGTGACGAACAGAACTGGTTTGGAAGCAGCCGGTCGGTTCATTGTCTTTGTTCTGTGCCTTGAATCGAGCCTGCCATCCATCTATTCCAAAAAATGTGTGACGTCACGCAAATTTTCAGCACTTTCCAATTTGACTATGGGCACGCGCTGCTGTTGCATAGTCAAAAACGCTTCGACGCTGCGTATAATTCCCGTGGCCATCCCTTGAATTCGACAAATGTCCTCCACGGAAGGAGAGGCCCAGAAACTCTTCAAAGGTGAGATTGCTATTAGAGCAGCGTCCGAAGGCCAAGCTATGGCTAAACACTCTACGTAAACCTTTCTAGATATGGAGCTTGAGGCGCTTCTCAAGCAAAGAAATCAACTAGAAGAGATTTCTGCTGCAGAGAAGAAACGTGCCGATTCCCTCCGTGAGTAACCGCTTTTAATCTTTTTGGATCTCGTGTCCTGCTTGCTGATCATTTGCTAATCGTGTTGGTATTGTTTCATCGCATATGTAGAATCGGAGCTGTCTGTCATCCAAAATTCATTCCAGGAACTCAAGCTAGCTCACGAAACTGCCGAAAAAGAAAAGCATGAAGCTGAACATCAGGTTGCATCATTAAAGCGTAGCAGTGCTGAACATTTGGCGACCATCAGCAGTCTTAAGCTGGATCTGGCCAGAGTGAGAGGTACGATTTACGACCCAATGGTTGTTCATACCTATGATCTTACGTCTAACTTTCGAGTTTACAGAGGAGAACATTGATGTCAATGGAAAACTTCGATCGCTCGAGCTTACAAAGGTCAAACTCGAAATCGAGAAACAAGAACAGAGTTCAGAAAAGATGACTGCCCAGGTGCGTATACGCATTGTACAGTAGGAAGACATGGTGTATACTGACTTCCAATTGCTATCAGCTCATGAGTCAAGATCTCAAATCTAAGCTCGAGACACTTACCGAACGAAACGCCTATAATCAAAAGGAGATGTTTAAATTAGAGCAGGAGATGAACATCCAGCGCGAGAGACAAGTAAGCATTTGGTGATCTGTAAAGCATCTTGTAGACGACCTATACTGACAAATAGAAACTTTGTGTAGCGCCTGACTATCACCCAACTCCAAGAAGAAAATATCAGTATGAAGAAGGAAAGAGACATTTTGCAAAGCCAATTGAAAGATCTTCGAGAAGTGGAGACCGAGCTTGGTCCCAAGTTACGGTCGTCTGAAGCAAAGGTCAAAGATCTTGAAGAACGACTGGATGAACTCAACCTTCAACACCAGCGAGATCGTAAATCCAATGAAGAAATCATTACCGTTAGTCAACGTCACCGTAGTGTTCTAGAAGCAGAAATCTCTCAAAGTCGATCCAAGATTAGCCAAATCGAAGCTCAGGCACAGCAACAAGTAGATAACCTCAGGGCCGAAAACGAAACGCTTAAGACTAGGATCGTTGAAATTCAGCAGAAACTGGAACTAACAAGAGCACAGCTTCAGAAGCTTACTGGAGTATCCACTACACCTCGAAGTCCAGATGCAGCTGTTGTTCCCGGCGAGCCAATAGCGAGCAGCAACCTATTGAGATTGATTCAAGAATATGAAAGCGGCGGAAAGCAATGGGACGATATTTACGAAGATTACTTCAAATTGAGAGGCGATTACAACAAGCTGACCACTCAGAGTGAAAGCTTACGCACCTCAGCTGATCGTCTTTTGCGCGAGAAACGTGATGCTCAGCAGTACTACTCTCGCCTTGAAGACGAACTGACCAAGTTACGATCTTCTCTACATACTGCTAACCAACGAGTTAAGAAGTTCGCTGATGAACATGAACAGTATGATACTGCTGTAAGTTGAATACAAAAGAGAGCAAGGGATAATAACGAAAATCTGCTTTTGAATCGCCTACTAACGCCTGCTGTATTCTAGAAATTACATATGGAGACCACAATAAAGCATCTGCAACAACAAAAAGATGCTCTACAGGTATCGCTGGATGATACCAACTATCAGCTTCGATATCTTCTCCATGATGTTGCAACGCGTGGCGATCCCTACTCATCTGTCATCAACCCATCCAATGGATTGGACTCTGCTCCTCCCTCCATGGCTGAAGGCGATTTAGTGTTTAAAAATATTGCCGAGCTGCAAGAGCAGAACCAAAATCTTATCAACAAGCTACGAGAAGCCCAGCAAGCTTTGGCATCAAAGCAGCAACAGATGGATCTAGCCAGTAATGAAGACATACAATCAACCGCCGCATTTGATTCAGCCTTTGAAAATGCTGGAACGCTCATCACCAAACTTCGCGAACAATCCACCTCCAGCGAGCTAAGGTAAATTATCATTAGTTATACAGTCCTTTTTTGACGAAACGACCCTACAAACTGAAACACATTGCTTTAATTTTATAGACTTCAAGCCGCTGTTAGTGAGAGAGATATGTATAAGAAAATGATGCGCGAGGAAACGATCGGTAGGACCGACAGCGAACAGTTGCAGGCTCAAATTAGCAAATATGAAGAAACTGTTAAATCATATGAAGCGACTTTAGAATCCATTCGACTGGAGACTACCCGAGACGTTGGCCATCTCAAAACAGAATTAGAAGAATCTCAAAAGGTAGCAACGTCTCTTCGTCGAGATATAGCGCAAGCCAACGCTCAAATTGCCCACTTGCAAGAGAAGTGTGAGAAACTCGTCAACACGAGCGAATCTCGAAATGCTCAGATCAGCGAACTTCGACGACTTTCTACCGATTTGGAGCAACGCCTTGCCGCTCGTGAGAACATGATCCACGACCTTAATGAGAAGCTTATGGCTAGTCAAACTAAAGAGGAGCTGATGCGAAATGAGAACACTTATATCACAGCAGAGAAGAACGCCCAACAGGAGTTGTACGAACGTTTGAAGGCTGAAAATATGAGACTCGAAACTGAGCGATCGAATAGCGCCAAGTTACTTGGGGAACTCAATGCTAACCTTAGAGCCAACACGAGCGAATCGTCCCAGTTTGTCGATCATCTAAAGCAACAGGTCGAGCGCTTGGAACGCGATTTGCAGCATGCTAGAGATACCATCCAGTCAACAGAGCGACAGCTTCGTGATGCACAACCTGCCGACCTCCATCAATGGCAAAAGCGATACGACGAGTCTCAAGTCGAACTTCGCTTGCTTAAGGAGACCCATTCCGAAACGACGACCAAACTTCGAGCGGCCAATGAACAAGTCACTATCCTCACTGTTCGTTTGCAAGATGCTGAAAAAGATATCCAACGATGGAAGAATCAAGTCGAACTTGGTACGGCTGCGACGACGACGTCCGGCGATGATTTGGTGGCTCAAGAACGTGATGATCATGTCAAGCGACTTACCGCTGCACAATCTGAAATTAGTTCTTTGCAACAACGCGTGGACGAATACAAAGCGGCAGCTGATAGCAATGAGAAGGCACTCCAAGAATTCATTGAGACCCACAAAAATTACTCTGAGGGTATGGAGGCAACACTGACTAAGGCCAGCGAAGGCATTGCCCAGCGCGACGCAACTATCAGCGAACTTCGTTCAGAATTGACCAGTGCATTCAAAACCACGCAAGAAGCGAATGAACAACTATCTCAAGCGCAACAAAAGTGGGAGAAGGAGAGATCCGAGCTCATGGAGCAAACCAGTCAAATCGAAGAAATCAAGTCACAGGCTGCAGCCTCCGTGGAAACCATTCGAGCAGAAATGGATATTCAGCTTCGACTTGTACATGAGGCTGAACAGAAATACCAGACCGAGCTTGCCTCTCGCTCACAAGATCAAGAAACCATCCAATCTCTCCGAACGGACATTGAACAAAAGGTGCTTGAAATCAATGAGAGAAAGCAAGAATCTGAATTGGCTCAAAGCAAGCTGCAGAATGCTGAAGCGTCATGGCAGAGACAGAAGGAGCAATTTGAAGCCACGCAGCAAGAACTTTACACCAGATTCAAGGAGTCACAAGAACACGAAGACAAACTGGCCGTACAAATCCAAGAGCTCATGGCGTCCCTTTCCACCAAATTCGATGCATCCACCAACGGTGTACCGAATGGTATGGACATTGCGTCACTCTCCGATAGAGTGGTGCAAGAACTTCGAGAAGTGAATGCATCTTTGCGCAGAGATAAGGAATTGCTCGACGTTCGACTGACGGATGCTAGCCAAGAGTTGCAGCGTACTAAAGGTGACATGGAATATGCTCAACGGCTGCTCAAGCAAACACGCGAAGCCTTGGAAGAAGAGCGAAAGCACCGTGCAGCTAGCTCCGCTGCCGATAGATCCAAACTGGAAATGCTTAACCAAGCTGCTGCATACAAGGATAGCAATGACAAATTGCGCGAACTTCTCAAGAAAATGCGTTCTCAGATTCAAGATTACGAGCAACGCATCCTTACCAGTGACAAGGAAATTGAGCCTTTGAAACGTAAGTTGTGTTACACGATTAGTTTGGAGAATCCCGTATAGCAGCCATAACTCATGTCAATGCTATTTGTAGTCAAGATTCAGACGCTGGAAGCCGACTATAAACGTTCGCAGGATCATGTTCAGATGTTGGAACAGAGCCAGAAGGAATGGACTGCTCGCACCACTGAGATCATGACACGATACAATGTGAGCTTCTTCATATTTTCACCCCTTTACTATGAAACAGTTTGTTAACCCCATTATTTTATTTTTTAAAAAAAAAAAGAAAACCGATCCAGCTGAAGTTGCAAAGTTGAACGAACAAGTCCAAAGTCTTGAGACTCAAAAGGCTACAATGGAAACTCAGATCACCCAACTTCAGGCACAAGTTAAAGAATTAGAGGAGAAGGCAGCTAAGCTCGAAAAGATGAGTGCTGAACGCGGCCAGATGGCTATTCGATTCAAGCGAATGTACACTAGTGAAAAGGAGAAGAACGATGCTATGAATGCGAACGGAGCTAATGTGAGTTGTGTTATGTATGAGGCGACGGACCATTTTGGATACTGAACGGTTTCTTCATTTTTACAGAAGGCATCAGAGGAGAAGCAGGGTCTGGAAAGTCGCATTGCTAAACTCGAACAAGAAAAGCAAGCGCTGGAGGCCACCATGGCTATCTTTGAAAAAGAAAAGAAAGATCTTGAGCAACGAGTCAGCGAGATTGAAAAGGAGAAGGCAGAGGCGGAGCAGAAAGCAACGACTGCCACGACTCAACATAATAATCTTAAGGTAAGGATTTGAGAACTACCGTTAAACTCGATAAAGCAAACCATGGACTCTAACTCTCCTATCTATCTAGACCAAGCACCATCAGCTTCTGTTACATGCTCGCGGCGCAATGACAGCTAAGAAGGCAGCGGAAGAAGAAAAGGATAAAATTGAAAAGGAGCTTAATGAACTCAAGTCCAAACAAAGTCAAGGAGCAGCAGCTGGTATATCCGATGAAGAATCACAAAAGCTGAAAGAAGAGAAGGACGCGGCTGAAGCCAGTCTTGCCCGCCTCAAGGTTAAGCTGTCCATGTTGGAGAACAAGAACAAAAAGCTTGAAGAAAAACTTGGAGCTACCACTGTGACCCGCACTCCGCTTACTTCCACTAGCAATGATAGTAGCGTAGCTGTTACTTATTCAGGAGAGAAACGGGAAGCAGAACAGATTGTTCAAGAACCAGCAGCCAAGAAACAACATACAGAATGAACAACCTCTTCTGTTTGACTTTTCTTGATTTTGTAAATATTACCTGCATTTACAATGTTTTTTGTCACCACCCACTATTAAAGCAAGATATTTGGCGATACATAGAGTAGTTTGTTCATCACGATAAAGCGTGTGTCAACTTGAAAGCTTTTTAAAGTAAAAACTAGACACCTTGAGCATGTTTTCTTTTAAAGGGTGTATGGTTAGCATAACAACGAATGAGTTAGCAAGCAGAAAGAGGCTACGGATTATTTAGCCTGGTATTTTTTGGCAGTCAGAGAAATTAAAGCAGTAGAAGCACCTGAACTGTGTTTCAAAAGATTCTTGGCCGTACTACGCACTTGGCTGACATGCCTGAACAAGACAATCACGACAAGCAGCCTTTGCTGTCTGAATACGACAATAAAGCCAATGTCGCTGAACCAGCTGTATCAAGTCCAGACGTGCGCATAGAGCTTTCCGCTTCTCCTCATGGTAAGGTCCACTAATGGTGCCTGACCTCGTCTTGAACCGGTAGTCAATCACTTACTTAAGCTGCACATCTCCAGATATAACCCTTTTCGAAGCTGCTCAGCGTGGCTCCTTCCACGATGTTCGATATTTGCTAGACAACGGAAAGGCTACTACAAATGACTTGGATCCCCAAGGCATCCCTGCCTTGCATTATGCGGCTCTGAGTAACCAAGACGTCATTATCAAGTATCTCATCGATAGAGGCGCTACAGTCGACTTCGAAGCCGGTGATTTGAAGGCTACAGCTTTGCATTGGGCAGCAAGGTATAGGATGTTCTATTTTAACGTGGTACGGTATGAGCTAGCAAGACTAATGTAGTACTAGAAATGGACGCTTGGCAGCCGTGCACAGACTCATCAAGGAAGGTGCAAACCCATCCATCAAGGATGGACAAGGCTTTAACGCTTTGCATTTGGCTGTTCATTCGTCTCAGGCTATGCTTGTCCTGTATTTTCTATTTCTTGGCATGGACATCGACGCCATTGACACTGTAGGCGGACATACACCATTGATGTGGGCAGCGTATCAGGGCGATGCCTTGACTGTGGATGTTCTTCTTCGATTTGGCGCCAACATAGCTGCAACAGACAATACCAAGCTAACACCGCTCCATTGGGCGGTTGTGAAAGGCAACAAAATCTGTATTCGCAAAATGTTGGAATACGGTGGAAACCCAGATGCGCGAAATGAAGATGGTAAAACACCGCTCGACTTTGCCAAAGAAAAGAATCTATCGTATGTTTGGGACCGAGCTGTATTGGAATTTGAAGTGGCCGCAGAAGAAAACCCCAACATGAGCTCACGGATAGGTCAGATCCCGGGATCCAAAGGAAAACGATGGTCAAGGGTATTGTATTCTTTTTTGAATAGCGTAGACATCTCGTTCCTTTTATCCATAAACCTAACCTCTCTCCTCGCCAGACGACTGTCAATCGCCTCATATATATCCTCCCTTTCATTGTTTTAGGCATTATCTTCCGCACACTCGCTGCTTTTCCGTGGTACTTTGGTTTGCCACTCAGTATTGTAGAATTCCTTGCTATGCATGTTGGAATTGTCAAGTTTGTCATCCCGGTTCCTACTCCGGACGCTATGTTGAAAACACCCTATTTTTCAAGTATATTCCAGGCAACGTCTTTCTGGGTCTTGGTCACCTGGCTAGTCGTGATTGCCAAATGTGAGTATACCTTCTTGGCATGTAAACAATCTGGGCTGATAGGGAAACTAATCGATGGATTTTTAGCCACTTCGCACATGCTCTTTACGAATTTTGTTTTCATTGCGAGCTATCTCATTGCTATGACTGCCTTCTATAGGGCCGTCTTGGCCGATCCTGGTTTCATTAGCAAAAACCTCTCCAGGGAGGAGCAGCGAGCCGCTGTATTTGACCTGGCCGAGGAGCAGCATCTGGATATCAGACATTTCTGTTTTACTTGCTTGGTAAGTTTTATGAAGCTTTTGTTACCTCAACAACGGTAGGAGTATACCACTAACCGGCATCTTCCGGGATGTAGATTAAAAAGCCACTTAGATCCAAGCACTGCAAGATGTGCAATCGATGTGTTGCTCGGTTTGACCAGTAAGCATGTTCGTGTGTTTTTTGGTGGGTTGACAGCGCCTATATCTAACGCCATGTTGTAGCCACTGCCCATGGATCTTTAATTGCATTGGCGTTAAGAACCATAGACCTTTCATGATATTTTTGGCCAATATGATTATTGCCATTGTTGCCTTTGAGCTCTTGGCTCTTGAATGTAAATGTCCAACGGTCTTTTAACTTGATGTACCTGTCCATTCGTTTTATTCACACGCATTCTTGTTTGTAGATTTCAATGTTTACGCACCCATAATACCACTTGAACCAGAGACCACATGTTTCCTAGGTGAAACTGCTTGTAGCTACTTTGCCTACGACACTTGGACCATGGCGTTAGCTGTTTGGGCTAGCATACATCTTAGCTGGTCCTCCTGCCTTTTGGTTGTCCAAGCCTATCAAATATCAGTGGCCACCACTACCAACGAAAGTGCAAATGCCCATCGGTACTCTTACATGAACGGTAAAGATGCGGGACTTGTGGCCAAGATAGCAGCTGGAGCTGGAGGAGGCGTTGCTGGATCGGATGGACCTGATGTGGGACCTAACGGATTCGGTGATTTTGCCGCCAGTGGAGAACCAGAGCCCGACCATGCCGGTCATCATCATCATAGAGGCGGCGGCGGTCTGTCCGCTATTCCTTGTGTACAAATGTTTGCTGGTGTTCGATCGCTTCGAAGACAACGAGGTGGACGTCGGCAAAGAGGCAGCCCTGGAAACCAAGCTTCTGTCAACGCATTCGATTTTGGCTGCTGGAGCAACTGTTTAGAATTTTGGACAAAGGGTCAAGAAGGTGCTTTGAAGGACGTCAACTGGTATGCTCTATACGATGTTGATGAAATTCGAAGAAAGCCTTATAGGATGAACCCCAACGGCGACGATGACGAAGAATTCCAAGTATAACATGATACATATTTTTTTCCTGCTAGTATATGAACAATCTTTGTACGGGTCGAATTCAATGCATTTATTTTCCTATTACCTTTTTTTCCTCTCTACGCCATACTATTGTTCTTCCTGATAAAGCATTCGCGCACAGTGTTATTAAATTCGATGGGTTTGCATGCCGCCATGATGGTGAATATTTCTAGACGCCAGGTATTTATTGACACAGTGAAAGCATACTTTGCTTTCTTAAGCAGTGAATAGCAAGACATTTAAAAATGAAAGAGACTGGTCCGTTGCACCACATTTATGTCTGCCGAACACCATCGAGACAGCTGACTCCACGACGTCCACCTCCAGCCACCAGCTGAACTTGCGTGCCGAATTCAAAAGGATTTCCATCGTAAGCTACGAGTTCTGCAGGTTGGCCGGCAGCGAGGATACCAACGGGAGAGCCATTTGAGTGATGCAATCCAAAGATTTCTGCCAAGTTCCAGCTGACGAAGCCTACAGCATCTGCATCAGTCAAGTTATTGTTGGTAGCGAGGTTCCAACCTAAAAAAAAAATCAAAGAGAATGAGTGATCTGACATAGCTTTACGGCGTGAACGGTTCAAAAGGTCCAGGAGGCCAATGCAAAACATGAAACATACCTGCGTCCCAAATCAAGTTCCTAACGTAGCCGTCATCAGCATCCAGACTAGCTACACCAACAAGCACGCCCTTGGCCACCAAAACATCCAGGCCAGTAGCATCTTGCATAGGCTTACCGCTAAGGCAGTGTCGTTGGCCCCAGAAAGCAGGTCGGCATCTTGGAGGAGCTAGAATGACAGGGATTTGCGCAGCAGCAAGATGATCGGCCACTAGCCAAGCTTCTGCGCCGCCTAGAATAACAAATCGAACAAGGCTTCCACCATGCAAGCTTTTGATATGTTGCTTCATCTTGATGATTTGAGCAATCTCATCCTTGTCGTCCGTTTGAATCACCACAGGGAGTTGTCCTTTCGCTGCACGCGCAAACACGTTATCATTGGTGTCCTTATCAAGGTTGGACACGAGCAAACGTCGTATTCCAGCAATTTGCTCAGACTTGGCCGGTTCAGGAACAATGGTAAGCACAAAGTGCAATGCTGCTTCCTCCTTGATGATGATGTCGTCTGCATCCAGTACTTTCAACAGCAAGAATAGGCAAGTCAATACTCTGCAACCAAGTGCTATCAGTGTGCCAATTTACTTACCGGTATTCTCAGCTCCAATCTTGAAGGCTACAGATACACCAGCGACCACCTTATCTCCCATCACAAGCGGCTGTGTGATGGAATGAAGAACACCTGCATCAAACAGCAATATCAAGGTCAGAATTGGAATGTGGATGAAGCATAATCCAAGTGATGTTATAAGCTACCCGCTCTATATGGCTTTTCAAGATGCTCTGTTCCGAACTTGAGTCCATCAACGGCCCTTGTGATGGTCTTGTGCAGATCAGGATCGTTCAACTTGTTATCAGCAAAGCCATCATGTGTGCTGGGCTCACTGATCATTTCAACGAGACCAATTCGAGCACCAGTTGAAATCAATCCCTGTCATGAAGAAAGATTAGTAAAGTAACCATGTGAAGGAAAGAAAATCCACCCGATCTTGGGGAATGCACGTACCGGAAGAACATAACCGCCATTGAGATCAAAAACAGCGCTCTTGTTAGGCCAATCGATCTTGTCTCGACCACATCCTGCACCAGAGCATATGATGGTGCCATTCTCCACAATAACATAGAGCTCATCCTCCTTACGAATAGCCTTTGTGTTATCGTAAACGGTATTTTTGGCCAAAAACAGTTTTCCAATGTTACGTAGAACAAAGCTGTCTGTATTGGGGCTGCATGCTTCGGTAAATGTAACCGGATTTTTGGAGCCATGATCTTCAAGCTTCAAGCTCTCGCCATTGACAATAGGAGCACGATCTTTACGAGCATCTTTCTCAGACTGGCTAGGTGAGCCATTGTTCAGGAGAGAAGAGAGTACATTTTGAGGAATATCAAATGTGCTGTTGAATTGTTGCTTGATACCGTCAACAATAACATGATCAGGACGAGCTCCAAGTCGAAGTGGATGTCGTTCCCAGATAACAATATCTGCATCCATTCCAGGTGCAATGCTAAGAATCTGCGGTTAGACGCTGAATGGATGGCGTTTCTTTATCTATTTTTTCGCAGTATACATACCTTCCGATGCGGTGCGAAAGACCCATGGCAGACGCTGGGATAGTAGTAACAGACTGTAATGCCTTGTGTTCTTCAAGTCCGTAATGGTATGCCTTAGCAGCCTCGTGCACAAGATCTTGCTGTTTATGATAAAGTAAAATATGCTTCAGAAACGATACGCATAGCGTGAAGGTGACAGTTGGCCAAACTTACAGCAGTGAGGACGGGGTGATCGCTTTTGAAAGCGACGGGAATGCCTGCTTCACCTAAAATCTGAGCTGCTCGAACATTGCCGTCCATAGCTTCAAACTTGTAGCCCCACATATCTATGAGATGAATAGAATGATGGATTCAGTGATAAATATGAAAAAGGCACTATTGAACAGCATATCAAAAGAAACATATAGCTTACCGGAAAAGGTTGCAATGGTAATATTTCCTTTCGCTCGCTTGATGACTTCAGGAACCTTCCAAGCTTTCAAAGCATGGTGGAAGGCGGTGATCTCGAAATCATATTCAAGCGAATGGCGTACCATCGCCTCAAGATCATGCGGTTCATAACAGTGAATGTTGAGCTTTGTATCTCCGCGCAAGAGAGCTACCAGGCTCTCTAGTTCCAGGTCCTCTGGGAAGGGAGTAGAAAGACGAGTCTTTTGATGATGGTGAGAGGATGAATTGAGGCGTTCGGCAGCTTCGCACCAGTCGTCTTGCTGATTCTTCAGCTTGCTAGCATTGTTGAACCATTTTCGGAACAAGTATCCTTCTCCCATTCCTAGCAACAACAACATCAATGTTCAGCCCTATATTTAACACTGGCAAGTCGGATAGCTTACGTGTGAGTGGCATAGCGCCTTCGGCATAGCCATAGGACCATTTGGGATTCTCGCCACAGGCCATCTTCATGTATCGCCAAATCTTCTCTTCGCTTTCATCTGCTCCAGCTGAGACTTGCATATCTTCCACTGAAAGAGTCGACACTGGCCTTAACTTGATAGCAAGCGCTTCACCGCCCATGAGATTTCCAGATCCAGGCAGAGCTAAGCTGGTAGTAACACCTCCGCTCATAACGATACCTAATGCGGGATCACTGGGATTGAAAGCTTCGAGAGCACGGACCTAAGGAAAGGACGTTGTAGATAGGGTACGAATTGATTTAACAGGATGTTATGGGGTACATACGTAGGGAGTGTTAGGGTTGGTTCCCTCATTGCCGTCGGTCGTGGCTTCCAACATGGGGAGAGACTCGACGCCGATGTGCGAATGCATATCAACTATACCCGGGGTGATGACGCGCGACTTGGCGTCAATGATATCGTATTCAGGCAGGGTTTCGATATTTTTTTCGACTTTCTGAATGAGGCCATGGTCGACCAAGATATCGTATCCATCGAGGTACGAATTGCCCGTCCAGATATATCCGTTTCGAATCAGCAAGGGAGGGGTATTGGGAACAGCTCTGGGGTTCTTTTCTCGTCTCGAGGATGCCTTGCCGGCTGTTTTGCGAGCTTCAATAGCACTGCATTGTTGAATACCGTGCTCTAATGTCCTTTCCGAGATACCGGGGCTTTGAACGGACCCAATATCATGGCTATCGGTTGCGGTTGGGAAAATAGCAGTTTGGCTGACTGAAGGGGTCAGGGAGGCGAGATAAAGAGATGTGGCCAAAAATACCACAGCAGCGGAAATGAGGGTAATCTTGGAGCGCGTTTTGGTTGACTTCCTTGGAGAAGCCAGCAATGGCTGGGATGCATTATCTCCAGGCATTGTGAGAAAGTTAGCGAAGAGCTGACCAAAGTAAAGAAAAAAAGGGGCAGTGTAAAAATTTATGCTTTTTGCTCATTTTATTACTTTTCCATTCAACAACAGCTACAACTTCGCCTTTTCCTGCTGTTGACGACGTGCAGCAAGCATTAAGGCAGAGCCAGCTCTTGAACCAGTTGGACGACCGAGCTTCTGGCTAATCCAGTCGCCAATATGAATCAATTCCTTAAGATCGATACCGGTATCGTACCCCGATCCATGCAACATATAGACCACATCTTCAGTGGCGACATTACCCTTGGCTCCAGGGGCATAAGGGCATCCTCCAAGACCAGCGATGGATGAGTCGAATGTTCGAATACCGTAGTCCAAAGAGCACAGAATGTTGGCCAGCGCCTGACCATAGGTATCGTGGGTATGAACAGCGAATTTATCGGCTGGCGCAACCTTGAGAACCTCGTCCAGCATTTTCGCAATAGCGCCGGGAGTTCCCACACCAATAGTATCGCCTAAACTAATTTCATAGCATCCCATATCAAGAAGACGTTTGGAGATATCGGCGACGATTTTGGGTGATACTGGACCTTCATATGGACAACCAACAACACACGAGATGTATCCTCGAATCTGTACGTCCTTTTCACGAGCTACATCCATGATAGCCTTTACACGCTCCAGAGACTCCTCCAAAGTACAATTGGTGTTTTTCTTGTTGAAAGTCTCGCTTGCTGCGCAGAAAATAGCCACTTCCTTGGCACCAGCATCGATGGCTGCTTCCAATCCCTTGAGGTTGGGAGCTAAAACAGGATATGAGATGTTGGGCTTTTGAGTGATCGATGTCAAGACTTCGCGGGCATCAGCCATCTAGAAAAGTTGTGTTTAGCGCGACGATGGGCCAAAATCAAGCATGAACTGTGTCTTTCTTTACTTGAGGGACCCATTTTGGGCTAACAAAGCTAGTGGCCTCAATAGCCGTCAATCCAACGTTGGAGAGCTTGTTGATGAGTTCTATCTTAACTTCGGACGGGATGATTTGCTTTTCATTCTGAAGACCGTCTCTGGGTCCAACCTCTACGATTTTGATCTTGTTCGACGCTGATGCAAACGATCGTTGAATCATATGGCGCTGATGAGTAAGAAACCGTTAGGGACAATGAAAGCGCTAGCCATGAATGAACACTGAAATCACATACTGGCTGCAAGGCAGCTGTGCGCGCTACACTAGCAAGTCTCAACATAAGGTTAATAAGCAAGTCTTTGACGGACTTGTCCTGTCGAAAATATCTTTTATAAACCATGGGGTAGTCGGCTATTAATATAACCTGAAATCCTCACGATCAGGTGACATTCCGATCTGTTGCAAAGACGTTCAAAGTATACACACTGAAGTGAGGTGTGCTCATTTGAAGAATAGACCTCTCAAAGGTATTCTTCAATGGCTACTAAATACATTTATTCTCTAATTACAATGATAATATTTCACACTAGATTCTCTGCACTATTTATCAATGTCCAGCTTGTACCATATGAGCAAGCCAGCGACTAGCAGGCCGACAACCATGCTCACTCCAGTCATGACTCTATTAAGCTGCTGAAAGTTTTGCTTCATGGTTGATTTAGCGGTAACACGCTGTTGGTGGATAGGTCTAATTACAATGCTAGGGGAGGGTGGTAAGTGTCGGGTAGTTGAGCCGTAGTGGATGGGATCGTGGTTATATTGAACGGAGCTGACGTTGTACGCTTTAAGGACATCTGGATCCGAAGGAGCAAAGGCTCCTATCCACCAGCACGGGAAAGCCAGAAAGCCAAAGAGAAACAGTATTGTCTGTATGCTCCAAAACGCATCCTCTGGCGGGGTTGAATTATATGAGTAACCCTTTTCAATGGCATCGATGTCAATCATTTGTCGCTGTGAAGATATGATATTTCTCGTGGCTTGAGCAATTGGACAGGATGCTTCGCTGACTGATAATGAGGACACTGTGGGAAGCCTGCGATGCATGCCAGTACCGATCCGCATGGAACTTGGAACTGACGACGTTTCAGTTGAAAAGCTTTTCCAAATTTCTAGGGCTAAACCTCGGTGCTGCTGAATATCAGGGCTATCCCTCAGAAATGGTTGATAATCGGTTGATCTCGGGGTGGTCGAATACTGGCTGTATTCTTCCTCCATTGACTGTGGATCATCACAGTCTGTCCAAGTGTGTCGGGTGAGCACGCGCTTCAGGGGCATGGGTAGAAAGTATGGAAATGACCATGGCCTGGATACTTCGTGTGACGGGTGAGCAGCATACGGACTTAGATGTTCGGCATCGCTTGGTCTGGTTTCTCTGAAGCTGATGTAAGTTTTTTCGTCTTCGGATGCATGCTGGATGGTTACACTATAGCGCTGAGACGCCTTTTTCCCATCCACCGAGAGTTGGGAAGAAGTCCTTTGGGAAGAGTAGCGATACGGCTGTCCAATGGATAACTCTTTTGTTATCGTGTCCATACTCGATCGTCCAGATGTTGGAACCAAACTATCATACTCAGATGATGCTGGGGTATGACGGTATTTTTTTCCAACAAACAAATGAGTTTCGTGGTCTGACTTCCAAGTCCTTTGACTGTGAGGGCCACTTTCTGCAAAAGACGAAGCCGGTCGTACTTTGCCTGATCGAAAATATGAAAAGGTGCTTGGCTTGGAAGCTCGATACAGCACAGGCGGTGCGGAAGAACCGCGAAAGCCTGCCAGAGCAAGGTGTACAGCCGAAGGAGGACTGGGACTATTAAAAAATGCATCATTTTCACTTTTGGCATTATCGGTCAATGGCATCCAAGCATGAAGAGCCATGATGAGACCAAGTGAATGAGAGACATGACGAGTTGAGAAGAGAATGGAGCCATTTATTATATTGTTAGTGAGCTCATGTCCGTGACCAGAAAAGTTAACACACGGAGAAAGGCGCCACATTTGGAAGGCATGGTGTGTGCGTGTTTTTTAAAACAAAGCTCTTTTGGCAGTTTAGGAACCTTCAATCTTCCATGTCCATAAACGCTTCTGCAGCCGTGCGAATGCGCAGTTCCTTCTCCATCATCGAACTTAATATTTGGTGCAGTTCCTGTTCGTTCATTTCATGGTATAATACGTCAAAAGCCATCAAGTACAGATCTGTAAACGATGATCAGGATTATTTTTTTTAGACTTTACAAGATTGGAGCTGCCGACACAACCCCCCAAGTCAAGAAATGATCTGCAAATGACGTCCATACCTTTAGCCCAAGGACACTCTCGAATAGCGCGATAGAATACCACTTTGGCTCGATCATGGTTTCCCTCCCGAAGTTCGTACTCAATATAAATCTTCCATAATGCAATGGAGCTCCGGGTCCTGATCATCATAGCAAACACACGATTAGAGTAGGTCCCCCATTCTAGTGAACTCCACCGCACGAGGTCAGTTGATGGGGACTTACCTAGGACATTCAACTGCCCTTTCAAACAGGGAGCGCACCATGTTGGGATTGTAAGGCACATGATGATGAAGCTCACTATAGATGGCAAACTCCCATAAAACATAATTCGGATCGCTGGTGTCAAGTCGGTTCGGCTCAGTAAATCTGTAACCTTCTTTGAAAAATATCGACATTCACTTACCGTTCAATGGCTTGGTTGAGATGCTGCCTGACTCGATTCTCTATCTTGGTTCTGGCTTCGTTCCACATAAACAGCGACAGCAGGATAGTATTATTTGGGAATAATTCTAAACTACGCGTAAGCATATCACGCATGACCGATGGTTTGTACCCGCCGCGTTTCGAGCTGTGGCGATAAAGCATTCTTCCGTACGCCACGAGTAGCATTTCATTGTCGATGGACCGCTCGACTCCCCGGTCTGTATAGTATTTCCAGAGGCTTTCAAACACTTCACACGCCGCTTCAACGCCCTGTGTGAGATATTCAAACAGCCCTTGGCAAACAAAATATTGATAGGCGTTGTGATAATCATGTTCCGTGACGGCCAGCGTCGTCAGGTATGATATTTTTTGCGCGAAAAACTATGTCAGTGCAAAAAAGGCGGTTAATGCATACACGTTCGCTTCAGTCAGGATAGGTAGACGATGCCACTTACGTTTCTTGCTTTCAACACTTGAGTAGTACTTGGTACACTCTCATCATCAACTAAAAACGAGTGTTAGCAGTGCTTAATTTAGCAACATGGGCCACTTTTTTTTTGGGGGGGGGGAACAGTACTCACGCCTAGGGACGTCTTCAGCCATACTGAGTAAAATGTTGAGTGCCACCTCCAAGCGGTCTAGATCGAACTCTAACTCTGCCAGCATACGAAATAGCAAAGGAGCATTGGCTCGTTCAGCAGCATTAAGGCCATTTAACATGGAAAGTGCAGTATGGTACACTTTTCGGGCCTAGTCAATGACACCGTATTAGTATCTCGTCTATTATCACTGGAAAGTAAAAAATTCCCCCAAGGTCACTTACCTCCGTAATGTTGTTGTGACTCTTTTCATGTTGCGCATAAGCGTTCCACAAAATGAGGTTATTTCTATCGTCTTTCAGAAGACTTTTAGCCAGTTTCGCTCCCCTACAATTTGATGATGAGATATTTAGCTTGGACGTGTGTGTACATCGGCTAAGTCAACACGTGCGATTCACTCTTACCATTTAATATTCACGGATGAATTAAACGACAAATAGCACAGTCGAAGATGTTGATCATCGGAAATAGCCAAAAGCTGATCAAAGGCGTTTCTGTGGCACAGAACAGACATGTGTTGTTAGTGAAGGTTGAATAACTCACTTACGAGGTTGATTGTATCAATGGCTTACCGGACAAAGTTTATATCCACTTGACTATCTAAACGGTACTGTGGAGTACATGAAAACCATTGATCGTGTTTGGCAAAGAGTTCATCCACACCTATGGGAAACGAGCAGCTAGGGACTCCAAAGGGAGTCGGTGAGCCTGTTTGTCTCTCTGGTTCCATGGCTATGCCATCGATGTATGTCAATAAACGTCCAGTGTCATGTGACGTTGGTGGCCAAAACTTTTGTGAAAGGACTGGACCAGCCAGGTGATTATGAGTAAATGTGTCGGTGGTAAATGGCGTATTGGTTGAGATTTGTGGTGGAATGTAGGGTAAATTGAGGAAGGTGAAAAATGTGTACATGAGGTGTTGAAGATTTTGCCGCGTCTTCAGCTGGAACATCAAAGGTCGTATATCATCGAACATGACGATAACGTAAGGATCTTCGTCGATGTCTTGTGCTTGAGTATCTGTGAAACGTGGGGGTGTCAGTAGATCAATATATATTTTTAGCCATGACTCCTACTTCACGTACTGTTGATTCGTAGAGGTGTGCGTCGGTTGTAGTCCTTTTTCTTTTCAATGCTAACCCATTCATCAAATCCTACTCCTGTATCGTCGTTCTCTACAGAATAACCTTTTGGAATATCCGATGGTGATTCTCCATCTGATGAAAAATGTACTCATTTGAATTAATTAGAGTATAAGCTTTGCATGAAATATCTCGATTGGCATCATCCAACTTACTGCTTTTGGCTCGGTAGAAATCTTGCCACCCTTTGGCACCCTATCGTAAAAGGAAATGAATACCGATGATCAATTTTTCGCAAAGGATAACGTGCAGATGACGGTACCTGTTCTCCGAATCGTGGTATCTCACTGTCCCAGAACATCTCAAATTCCATGAGCATCTCACTGAAAGTAATCTGGAGATTCTGCATGGTAAATATCCGAGGAGGGAACAGGTTTATCTCCATGATGGCCTGGAAGCATCCAAATGCACGTTCAATGTATCCTGCAAGTTGTTTGTTAGAAGGCTGTTGGTGGTGGGGTGGAAAGTGCAGTGAGATGTAAGTAATTTAACCATAATTTGAACTAACCTGATTGCTTCAGAAATAAGCAGCATCGCAAAAATATGTATATCATGATAGATTCCGCATCTTCTCGCTCTATCGTTTCCTTGTTAGTGAATTCCTTTCCTTTCATTGATCCTTTTCTATTATATCTTCCAATATAACTTACCTGCATACGTGTCTCGAGATTTATCGTTCTCCAATCTTCGTACGATGTTGCGTAATCCGCTCAAGCACTCCTCAAACACTTGCAAACACTGCTGGAAGGTGAAACTCGAAAAGCTGGTCTGCCGAAAATTCACGTATTCCGTCCATAACGATATGGAATTGGTATTCTCTCCAAGCACACTATCCCACTTGGTCAGGATCGTTTTGGTACTGGATGCAAGATAGTCGTTAAAACACAACGTTGTAGATAGTTTCCCTTTTTACGTTTGATACCTACTCCCAAATCTCAGATGCACAACGCATATATGGTAGCAATAGTTCTTCACAGCCAGGATTTTTTTGTAATGCCTTTTCAAATATACTGAGTTTCACTTCCGCTATACTTGCTTTGGTGGCCTTGCTTTTGGCAGTAGTGCCTCGTCCTGCTGCTGAGTTTAATCCAGCACTGGCAGTATCTTGAAAAGCTATGAAACTGAGCCAAAGCTTGGCATTATTTGGTTCCTGTAAGTTAGATTTGTCGTCAGTCTCTAAACTGACAAGGAAAAAAGGCGCTTATACATTGTATCCAGTCGTTACCTTGTCTAACTGACGATTGAGTTCTATGGTTCGGCGTTTAACATACTCTTCAAAGCTCTCGCCTATGCTTTCCTCCTGTTCCTCCTTCACCTCAACGACATCCTGAGGTTTCTTAGGTGTTTCGATAGATCGGTAATCGACTTCGTTAGGGTCAGCTTCAACTGCATCGGTTGCATTGGTAGCCTTAGGTTCTTCAGTCAGCTTGATTTCTTCATCCAAGGTTATATAGTCTACCGAATCTCCAGCCATGGTGTGGTTTATACTCTCGGGATTGAGGTTAACTCTGCTTCCTTCATTAGCTGCTGGTACGTTGACATTGATATACTTCTTAAAGGCACTCACCGCTTGAATGCTTTGTCGGTCTCCATCCACGTATACTTGGAATCCATGTACCGCTGTACGCGCTATTACAAATTGAAATTAGTGTTTGTTAACTTCCGTGCATTTAAATAATAACATGATAACTACCTTCTCTTTCCTGGTATCAACCATCACAAGCACTTTGCCAGCCTTCGCACTGGCATGGTCAATTTTTAGCCATCGAGGCATTCCTAACACTCTACCGCCTGCAACGTCGACCTGTCAGTTTCACATCACTTTAACTAACGTCTTCTTGAGATTGAACTGCTAATACCTCCGGATCGTCGATATGACGGTATGTCGTACCTATTGGATTCCCCGTAAAAAAACGCATCTTTGTCGCCTTTTTTATCAATGTAAAAGATACTGCCGCCATCTACATACGAACTGGAGGATTTGCCATGCTTCCCTCTATCTTTTTCCTTCCCTCTTTCCGGCTGTTGATGTGTATTTGTTAGAAATTATGTGGTTAAAGCATATAGAGTTTAGTACCAGCAACCCTTACTTCGCTTTGTCGAGATCGCTTGCTGTGCGATGATCTGTCGGGCGATCGTGATCGTTTCCGGGAATGACGAGAGCTTGGGGATCGTCTTCGTTCCTTGTGCGATCGCTCTTTCCTAGATCTATGCTCGGATTCTTTAGGCGATCGAGGCTTGTCTGTACACCTTGTGAGTAAACGGCTATAACGCAACTAGAGACAGCACGAATGCACCTACCTTCTACAGTTGGAGCTGAAGAGAAAGACGGAGGAGGCGCTATGTTAGGAGCGCTCCTAAACGTTGGAGCTGGTGGAATCGGAGGCGTCGGCATTCGCTAAGAGAGCTCTAGGAAACAGGGACACCGCAGCGGTTCTTTGGCAGCGGTATCAAAAATGCGGACTCTGCCCAACCCGCCTGCAAGTCACAATGTCTTTTGTCCACCATGATGCAATAGCTCTGACTAATTCTATTCTAGCCGAAATCGAGGAAACTGGTGAAAGTAAGAAGAATCTAGCTCGAAGTCTCACAGGTGACATGAATTGACTAGTTTGTCTTTAGTTGACGATGCACATAATCGGCAATTATACGCACTTTTCGGCGCGTCGTTCTTATCGGCACTGAATCTCATTGACAGACAAGCAGGTAGGTTCTGAATGAGTTGGTAAAGAAAAGATCAAGCTTCCATCACGCATGCTTATGATTGTGCCCTTTCGAAAACTGTAGTTAAAAAGGTGGTGTGTCCTGCCCAGCGAAGCTTTATCACCATCGCAGAGATATCAGCCCCAGATCCGAACGTTATTCACGCACCCAAATGTCCTACTCGATGCTTTCTGAAAAGACCGTATTGCACTTGCGAAATATTCAGTAGCAAAGTGGTATATAAGTCTGAAATAACTATGGTAAATGCGTTGCTTTTATGTTTTACATGTACATTATTGAGAAGTAGAAGGAATGCAATATTAAATCTGATACATTTTTTCATTTTCCTTATTTTTTGGGTTTTGCAGTGCGAGCACCTACTTGCGGCAAATCTAGCAGAGAGACTGAAGATAATACCGCAAGTTCAACTTACGGACGAGGAGTTTGGTGAAGCACTCTACCTTTTAAGAACGCCATGATGTGCTCATTTGATCTCGTTCACATTTACGGTGACCATCTCCGCTCGAGTTGGAGGGTTCAATAGCCATAGTCATCGTCGCTGGAAAGCTGTTCTGAGGAGGCTAGACACAAGTACGTTGAGCATTTGGAACTCCTGTTAAGTTGTCACAGGATTTATGCTATGAAACCCTACCATATTCATCATCCAAGACATCATCATAATCCTCTTCTTCGGGGTAATCGTTCTGATAAAAGTCTTCGGCTACAGAGGATGTTAAATAAGCAAACTAATTTTAATGTTCATGAATAAATTTTTTATGTGTACATACCATTGGAGTCTTCATCCTCTGAGTCCCCGACATCACTATCGTCCGAATCATCATTCATGAGTTCAAGCTCCTCATCAGCCCAGATACTAAATGAAAAGTTAACTACGTTGAACATGTATAGCAATGAATGAGTAATGACACCTTAAACTTACAGAGCTCCGATATTATGGGACGGAAATGCGGATTTTACGGCAGTGTCATCACGATAGTACACATCATATACATATCCGTCGTCGTCGTCGACGGGAGTTTGTGAGAACTTTTTCGCCTCTTCGTCACGCTCCTCCACTGTACGTGCCATTTGAGGATCAGTAATTTACCAGCGATATAATAATGATGCTAAATGATGATCATCGTACCTGTAAGATATTCTTTCACCATAGAAATGAAGTTACACATAACAGTATCGTCTTCTGTCTCGTTCTCTAATAATATGCTTTTGTGTGAAAGCGGTAATGAGCAATAGATCACAAAAAAGTTTATCTATACCATGTCACTTACTTGGCGTTTGAATCCTTTTCTTTGACAGCATCATAAAGTTGGAACAAATCGGCCGACATCTTATCGGCTGCGCTTTCAACTCTGTTGAAAGAATTGAGTTAGGGCATCCTTGACTAGCAGTGCAAATGCAGGCAATAGTAAACATACTGTGGAGGTCCTGCAGGCTGTTCCTTCTTGCGCCGGTTTTGTTGAATGACTCTATATCGTGCAGTTCTGGCATCCACCTTTTGGAATCCATCTTGTGTAAGACATTGCTCACGCAAATGATCTAAAAGCACCTTATATTACCTGTTGTTTTTCTGCGCGTTGCTCTTTTCGACTTTCCACATCAGGTGTCATTGGTCGACTTCCAGGTTGTATTCTTCGGGATATCCTCTCTTTCAGCTTTCTGGCTTCGATGATGTTCTTGAACGATTGTTCTCCAACCGTTTCCGCTAACCTGAACAGTCGGGGTACAACAGGTACTTCGCCGTCTTCAATCTGATAAATACTCTGATTGATATTTCGAAGTTTGCTGTATAACACTTACCCTTGTCGTTGAGTTCAGCATTCTTGCGTATTTTCCTTTGACCTCGGTTGTTCTGGCGCTCAGCTTCTTGCTGAACCACTAGAGGAAAAGGTCAGTCTTTTTTTCTTGCTTCTGATTATTTTTGCTGATTACAGATCCTTACATAAAGCTTCCAAAGGCTCTTCATTTCGCTTGCGTTTGATGCGAAGGATGGTCAACTGAGGCTCACTTGACTTTACCGTCGCCGGTCGAGATTCTTTCCTGATCAAATTGCCTCCTTCAACATCATTTGGCACTTTTGGTCGAACAGGTGATTGCACTTCAGTGTGTAATGACATGGAAAGCAGAACTGAAGTTTCATGCTTTGGAGATAAAAAGTCACGTTTTTAATCCCGGCTGGCTCCACATTGCTTGCCCCTCGATCTCGCTTTCTTTAACCTATTACTTCTCTATAATCTCAACTACACCTTTTGTAAAAAGAATATCTAGCCTTTAACCGTAATGACTCTATTCTTTTGTCAATAATGCTTAGGTATGGACCTCCAATTTTAACTGCACGGTAAGAATCAGCTCCCTGATATGGTCTGAATGTAAGACATGATCTGGTGAGACACTGTCTAATAAGGACCGCGCAGTTATTATAACTGGTCCTGGTAAGCTAAAGGAAGTTGTTAAATAAGTGAAATGGATGATTTTTCAAAGAGTATAGTCGGTGTAAATGGAAAGCCCGCTAAATTCCACGGTCCTCGGTTCTACACCTCCTTTTTCCCACATGATCCCAATTGAACCAAGACCGACTTTGGCCGGACGAAATGCCGTGGTGACTGGAGGTGCATCGGGCATCGGAGAAGCATGCGCAAGAAAGTTGTTCTCATTGGGATGCACTGTAGTCATTTCGGATGTCAATGTTGAAAGAGGGCACGCTGTTGTGCAAGAACTTATGGGTAGCACTGAAGAAGGAAGCTCAAGTAAAGCCATTTTCATAGAGACGGATATGTCACAAGGAGAAGAAACCAAGCAATTCGCGCAGACGGTCTTGAAGACGTTAGGCACTGTAAATAGACGTCCTTATAAGCATTGTGGTATACTTGACTTTGCGTACTGACATTAGTTTAGGTCCATATTTTGGTCAATTGCGCAGGTATTCAGACTGTATCACCAATCGAAAGCTTCCCTGAAGAGAGATTCAGGCTTATGAATGAGCTTATGCTGGTGGCTCCATTTTTGCTCACTCAAGCTTTCTTGCCATCCATGTACGAAGCCAAGTGGGGTAAAGTTTTATATCGATATATCCACAATTTAAACATGTTCAGTTTCTTTTATTAACCGCGCGTCTCCACATAGGTCGCATTGTCAACATAGGCTCCATCCATTCCCTTGTTGCTTCTCCTGCAAAGGTTGCATATGTCATGTTCAAACATGCTCTTGTCGGTCTGACTAAATCAACGGCAGTCGAAGGCGGTCCACATGGCGTTACGGCAAACTGTATCTGCCCATCCTACGTAAGAACACCGTTGGTTGAAAAGCAAATTGCTGATCAAGCCATCATTCGAGGCATACCAGAAAGCGAAGTCATCGAGAAGGTCATGCTGCCTTCCAACTGTGTTATTCGTCGACTCCTAGAGCCAAACGAAGTAGCGGAGCTTTGCGCCTTTCTTTGCTCGGATGCTGCTCAGTGTATTACCGGTAGTGAACAGAAGATCGATTGTGGTTGGACATCCCAGTGAGTGGCCTACTCCTCCCATATTAATTATCTAGTAAAAGTATCATATAAGCATCAATTAGTAGCTTTCTCAGATATTTGATCTGCTCTACATACATGCATCGTTTATTCATGACTATACAATTGTACCATTTTCAACGTTATTCTGAAAGCTCATCTTTCAAAAGGCTTTAGTTTCAATGTTATTGTTTATCTACAATGACATTTGATTTCATTCAAGTGTGGCGGTATAGCATGTATATAGCAGATTGTACCGAAGCCTGTGATACAATCTGTACGATTGTATTTATGAGATGCTTCATAATTTAATGCATTGTATGGCTGAACGCAGATGTATTGGCTTGTAGAAATAGCTTACTATAGCGCTGCAACGCCAAGCAGCATCGAGCAATAACTACTTGACATCGCATGCATGTTTCGAGAAATATAAGCTGCAGAGACGATATTGCGCTGGACAATATCTGCAAATGTGGTGAATGCTCAAACCATATGATGCCAGTAACCTTGGCCAGTGTTTATACTGTGAGATCATTATGTTTTCCTCATGATAATATGAAGATACATAAGCAGGCTTAGAAAAACATTAAAGGTACACATTCTGTCCTGGCCCGAGAGTTTCTGGTGATGATGGTTCTATTAACACATATGAGGCGCATTAAAATAGACACATAACAGTGGTCTAAACCACAAGCATGCCTCGATTTCTTCTTGTCATGATTTTTTCCTGCGTGGCTTTTCCAGATGGCTCTCTCTTAGTCGTATACGTTTGGGATATAAATATAGGCTACTAGCTGTAAGTGATGGACTCACTTTGAACCCATTATTAGGATTTAGACTCCAATATATACATTTTAATGAGAGAAATTTTCAGTTATACCACCAGATTGTTATAAATATTGTTCCTTTTCATTGCAGCCGCTCTCAAAGTCATACACAGGTTATTCCACCAACCGAATCCAATAATTAACCAATGCCAGTACATTTTTAATATTTACATTATATCACGCTATAAATTAGAAGATATATATTTCAAAAACACAGAGTGAAATTTTTAATCTCAATACGAACAAATATGCCTTTTGACACATTTACATGAGTGATCTTTTTATGGGTTCAACTTTTGTAACTCGTGACTTGTTAAATATAGAATTTCAAATTTCAGAAATCGCTTCCGTGGCGCAATTGGCTAGCGCGTCTGACTGTTAATCAGGAGGTTGGAAGTTCGAGCCTTCCCGGGAGCGCATTTTTTTGCATTTTTTCTCCCTGCAGTCATTAAGAGGAAATACAACAAATCTGGTTTCGACTGCATTTGCTTCTATTTTTCAACGTTCTGAAAATGAGAGTTTTCTTTTTAGATATCAGAGGAAGCCTTCCGGCCGACATGAGCGATTTTTCAGGCTGTTGTATTTGGTTCGGACTCCTTCGAACGCAATTTCAGGCGCTTTTTCGGCATCCATGCGCAATGAAAGCAAGTGCATTTTTTAGGTATTCTTGGCGAGTGATGCCTACCGTAGACAATACACTGCAATCAGTATACGCTTAATCTTTTTCGCATACTTTTTTTAATTTCTTACTCTCGTAACTTACAGATTACAGTTGTTTATAAAATAAAATTCCTCCATCACAAGAATGACTTCTCGGTACCTAACTACAGAGAATACATTAATGAAACTTCTTACCAACATGCAACTTTCTAATGATTACTCAAAAAAAAAATATTCCATTTTTTCGATTCTTTAATTAACCTTTGCCATAATATCATTTGCGCTAAAAATGACATTGTATTTAGCAGCTCATCTTGAATATTTAAGCTTTTTTAAACCTCTTTTTTGTGGGACATTATCCTTACATACGCTGCAACAAGAAAAAAGCAGGGAATAAACAAATCATAAAGCGTTGATCTATAGAATCTTTGCTTTCTACATCCCGTTTGCTACTACTTTGATCTGAGAAAATGGAACAATCAGAGTCATTAGCTCATACTGAAACAAAACCCTCTCGTAATTAAACCAATGAGATCTCGGCAGTGGGCAAGATCAAACCATGGAATGCAAAAGGTACAATTAGATGGCTCTATGTTTATTCCACAAGCTGCTCAAGCATCTCTTTAGAGTTTCGTAGCAGGACAGCGCTGTATCTGAAATAAGCGTCGGTTTTCCTTGGCAAAAAAATTCGTACGTCATGTTTGCCACCGAATCACCGCCTACTGCCTTTTACCCATGATTAGGTGCTACTGTGTCTTGAGCACCTTCGCTTAACAAACTTTAGTCAGTGTGCATGCAGCCGTAGGTTAAGGTGCGCGGGGCTATTTATACAGTGCAGTGACGAGGAATTCTAATTACATGAAATGCATATTTCATGTATTTATGAATACAGAGGTACAAAGGCAAAACGAATAGCCTCTTTCCTGGTCTTTTGCATACGAAATTCCGATTATACAGATCGCCTTCTAGTCAGGATGATTAACCTCGCTGGCTGGCCGAGAATGCATTAATGGGGTTCCGAAAAATAATATATTGTAACAATTCAAGAAAATATACAAAGATAGGTATTACAAGGTTGTTAAATGTTACTGGTGGGATTTACATGAGATAGGGGGGGGTAGTTGCATATGCTTCGTTTTTGGCCGGACTAGTTGAACAAGATTGTAGAAAAATGGCACATTGCATATGGAGCGTTTAAACAGGTTTAGGCAGTCTCAGATCCTTCGAATGCTCCTGATATGACGGAGGAGGTATATCGATCACCGAGCTGCTGTCTGGCTTTTGGTATGCGGAGGACGAAGGAGTTGCATTGTTTCGAAGTGGTGGCTGGGGGTATGGAGCCCCATAGTACATGGAGGACAATGGGTTTGGTTGCTCTGTCGAGTCATTTCCAACGACATAGCGCGGAGGATAAGAGCCTGGAGACGAATATACTGTATAAGCCGCTGCTGGCGATGCGTTTCTATCTGGAAAGGAAAGGAGTTTAGTCAAACGAAGACAATTTTTCAGCAGTCGAGGTGAACGTACTGCCGATGGCTCGTCGAGCACGCCTAATAGCTAATAGAATAGCTATGATGATGATGATAACCCAAACGATCCATAATATTCCAAGGTAGTCAGTCATATTGACTAAGCGAAGAAAAAAGAAAGAATAAAACGACTGGAAAGGCTCAACTGCTCAAATTATTTTAAATAAAAAAAAAAAGTGTCATCAGTGCATGACCTCAGATGAGCGCCGACATTGCCCTAACCCAAATTTTTTCTTGGCTGCTCGGTGGCAGGTTTTGCCGTTTGAAATGCAACAGCTTTGAGGAAATCCCACTTTGACACTCTCTCTACATCCATTCAAATCCATTATGTTAAACACTGAATTGAATGCAATCACTTGTGTGCTTCAATGGCGCCATTATATACCACAAGGCAACGATGACAGCAAATATTATTCAAAAGTACATTTTGTCATAATGACTGACAGTCTAGTTTGGAGACGTTGCCGAAGTTATACAGTTGACTAATTACAATGATGAATTAGTTTAATGTGTCCACGATATTTCATATCGGGAGTTGGTATACAATTTCCACCGCGCAGCAGGTGCGACAATGTTTTTCTTTGGAATATGTCAAACTTTCACACAGGGTATCATCTGAAGAGGGAGCGTAAAAATCCGGACCTCTTACTTCGACGCTTGTAATGATCGATGTAGTGTATTTGCCGCTTATTCAATGCACCCCTTCTATACTTCCTGACATGAGCGATAGCATCCTGCAGTCCGTGCGTTAGACGTCAAAAAGTCCGCATATAGAAAATTCGATCATGCTCATTAAATTACTGCGAACTTACCAATGGATCCATTCCGTTCTCAATCAAGGAGATAGTGACCAGAACCTAATGATAAAATAACAGAATGAATATTGGATTTTTCCAAATAGAGAAGTTAATTAAAACTTACTGGAGCTCGTCCAATACCAGATACGCAATGCACACCGATAACGTCTCTACTCTCATTTGTCAGCTGAAGCCACTTATCCACTGCAGGTTGGTCTGGCACTCCGCCGTCTTGAAATTTGATCTCGTCGTGGACGGTGATGCCCTCGGATTCCAGTTTTTCGGCGTCGTAGGTATTGTCAGCATCACAGATGCGAACGACATGAGTGACATTTTGTTGTTTGAAGATTTCGAGGTATTTGGGTAAGGTAGCTTCGGTGGGGCAGTCTATAATCAAGTATCTGTTTTGAATTATAGAGTACATGAATGGAAAGTAATAGCCTTTGGTGGTTGGAGAAGATAGAGTTTGTTGGCTCGCAGCACGTGATACAAGAAAAATGGGGATACTTTAAAAGCCTGGCTGCGCAGGAGAGAAAGGTCTGGTTATGGCTAGAGAAGCCAAGTTGGTACGACTTCGCAGCACCTTCAAGCTTTGTAACGCGTAGTAAAAGCAAAGGAGTCAAGTCTTTTAAATAGTCTCCACTCCTGTGGCCGCTCAAAAATGTCTGAAGCTGAACACCCCAATATGCTCTTGCCTCCTGGAAAAATTATCTCTCACACTAATTGCACCATTCCGAACAATGCTGCTCGACCATTATCCGTCATGGTTCTCGGAAAGCCAGGGGAAGGCAAAAGCAGTCTTCTAAATGGCATACTGGGAGAACAAGCTTTTCAAGCCAAACTCTCTGTTGCTGTAAGTTGGAACTGCCTTTCGGAGCTGTGAAATACTGGGGGTACTGACGTTATTTTCCCTCCACAAATTGGTTTTATAGCAAGAAGTAACTAAACATGTTAGCTGTAAAGAAGGCTTTTGGCTTGGAGGAGAAACAGATATTCCAATACGATGCATCGATACCCCTCCAATATCAGGACGACTAGACGATACGAGCAGAATATCAAAAGAATGCGAACGAATGCTCGAGATGACTTTGCCTGGTATCGATGCCTTTTTAGTCGTCATTAAAATGACTCGCTACCGGTAAGCAGAAGAGCATTGCATTTTTTGCAAAAAAGCTTCTTTCATATCTAACCTCACGATTTTGTTTAGATTTGATGCCAGTCTTGAATCTACGTTACGAGTATATGAATCCATGTTCTCTCGAAGGTTCTGGGAAAATGTCATCCTCGTGTTTAGTCACGCCGATCTCGAGAGCGTTTTTGATTCAGATGATGAACCACCACCGGGAGAAGCGTATGCCAAATCTATTGCTACAGCATTTAATTTACCACATCCGATACCATATTGCTATGCGTCAATTGGTCGGAACCGAGGCCGTCGCTTAGCCGCGGACACTCGAACCATGGACGACATGAGAAAGCAAACCCAGGCTGATTACATGGATACACTTTTGGAGTTGATCCAGAGTCATGAACAAATGCCTTATACCCCGTCGCATTTCCATGATTATGTCCAAATCCACGGCGGCCTGCCTCTGGATTATACCGCCAGCGTTGTACTACCTCGTGCTCAGCAAGCTGAAAGGCTGATCATGAACCGAAAAGACTCTCTTACGTCTCCACGCTTACTACATACTTATTCCAACCCTCACGAACAGCGAAGCGCCTCACTATCCCACTTACCTGATTATTCGCGATCCAATCGAGAGCCTCCCATGATGCGTCGAGATGCTGCCAAACGAGGACGACCACCATCTACGTATTCATGGGCCAGTTCAAAAAATGATTTACCACCGTCTGATGAATCCAAATGCATAATTTCATAATACCCCCCCTCCTTCCACCTTACAATTCTTGAACTTATCATCACCGAAATTCTATTTGTACTCTAGTTCCATAATTATGTATCATAAAATAATGCCAACCGAAATATGACTATGGAATGGATGGGACTAAAAAAAAAAAATATGGGGAAGTTTGTCTCTTTACCATATGGATGGTGTCGGGTACTTCCGACCAGCGAAAGGACCTGGGGGCGAAGGTGGAACAGAGTAATGAAGGAAAGGAAAGCGTTACATGAGATGAAAATGTATACGTGAAGGGAAGGGGGGAATATTGAGCACAAAATAGTTAGCTATAAATGATTTATATGTAATCACCACCAGCTCGTGGAGGAATAGCTGGAGGGACGATAGCACGTCTTCGATCATCGGATGAGGCTGCCCGACGATGGCCTTCTACGGAGGCAGTAGAGACGGCAGGGCTAGAAGTCTTTGGCGGTTCTTCTTCAAGCGATGATCGGTTAAACAGTACATACATATGGTTGAGAATGAATTCGATGACGGCATTCTTAAAGTTCATTTCGAGTAGATCTCGGTTCTGATCAATGTCTCTCATCAAAGTTGGGCCAAACACCACTGCAATGTTTTTAGCCGTCATGAGGTTATCCGCACTATTTTGTCGCACTCTGAAGAGACACGAGAAGAGATTACGAAGCGTGGTTAGTTATAAAGTCGTGGCGTGGAAGCTGGGAATACACAATGGTACTTACTTATCCAAGTGAAGCATCAAATACTTGAGAGTATTGTAATTTTCAGCAGGAAGTTGTTGGACGAGTTGATAAAAGGTTTGGATTTGATCATCCCGAGCCTTATTAGCTGAAAAAAAAAAATGTTGAAATGAGGTGAGTGAATTGCCACAAGTGTTGGGTTGTCTCGTTCGCCCCTTGACTTCAACTTACTGATAGCGTCAATGAACTTGTTGTGAAGTTCATAGGTAAGAAGTGGATTAGGTAGCTCGCGGAAATACGTCTTCAAGACACTGGTAATGGCGCATATATCATTGAATTGATCATCGTCGGTCAGATCGATAGCATCGCCTTGGTCAAAAGCCTGTTGGATGAATCTCATCTGGCTAGCACCACCTGATTTACGATAAATGCCTTCGAAATCCAGTCCACGCTTTTCAACTGCTTCCACACATTGTTTAACCAGAAGGGGGAGCGACCCACCATCGGATCGAACTTGGTTAGCAAGCTCATTGCCAAACATGGATTGTGCCTTATCGCTCGCTAAATAGGAATAATACATAGTTAATATACCATAGCCCTCGTCCAATCCACCAACAACTCTTACTTACCATCACTTCCTTGTTGCTCCGAGAAAAGTTTGCGATTGCATTTGTTGGGAAGATGAGGCAAACATTTCTGATGAATAATGGATCCACAAGCTTGACACTTGAGTTCATTTCGTCCCCAAATCTTATCTCCGCAAATTTCGCACTTGACCGGTCGTAGGAAAGACGCTTGAACAAGTTCATGCTGTCCTTGATATTGGGTAAAGAGCTGAACAGAAGACTCGCTATTGGGCGGAGGGGATCCCATGGTACGCTTGTCTCGTCGAATACCGGACGATTCCGAGATGGAAGGGGTTGGCATGGGTGGGCCCATAAGTGTATTGTTGTCGCTGCCATACGAGGAAGGCTCGCCATTCATCAGAGGAGGTGAACGGCCTTTTGGATGACTGCCCGCAGTAGTATTACCGAGTTTGCCAAATCGATTGCCTCCCTTGTTTTTTCGAAAGTTGAATTTGCGAGGTGCTTGTGTGCCATTGAAACTATCTCGTTGTGCGACCTTTTTAACCGTAGTCTGATTAGTGGCAAGTTCATTCGATGATCGGTTGGACGTCAAACTGTCTTGATGCTGATGGTGAGGGTTATGCTTGGAAGGTGGAGATAGCGTGGGGTTGAGGAATGCCGTTCCAGCCATGACCGCAGCAGCTTCACGTTCTCGCTCCGTCACTCTCCGAGATAAGTCGTTGTTCAAGTCGGTCAATTCGGCCATCTTGAGGTTCAGCATGACGGTTTCATGAATAACCTCATCCCTCAATTTCGTGTGTTTTTCAATGTCATTCTTGACCATCTCTCTTTCCAGCTGAAGCGATTTAATTTCCTGTTGTAATGCTTGTTGGTGGTGTTCGAGGTGTACGGAAGGGCTGATGTAGCTAGATTCACCAATTTTTTTTTTTTTTTTGTGTAAAAAGGGAGAATAGATTCATTAGGTTGATTGGTCTGCTGTTGAGTCTTGCTTGGTTCATAAGACGCTACACATTTGCTTACCTGGAAAGACCTGTTTGATATTTTTCTGAAAGCTCTGAAATTTCTCGAGACAGAGACTCCCTGACAGTGCGCAATTGCTTGCAAGTAATATCCAATTCATTGCGAGTCAAACCCAAGTTACTGATTTCCTCTCTAGAAACCCGAACATATTCAGTCTTGCCATTGGCATCGGCATCCTGCAAAGCTTTAAGTTGAGCCATGGCTTTTCTAGAGGATTCTTCGGCGGATTGCCTAGCCGACACTTCATATGCAAACTCCTCCTTAGCCAAGTTGAATTCATTCAAGGCATTTCGGCTGACGGACTGAGGTTAAAGGTAGTTCCATAAGATTGATTGGTCAGCTCAAATGGGACAGGCGGCATAAAACAACTACACAATGAGCGTATCTACCTTGATTTTTGAAAAGTTGGTCTCCACTTCTCGTAAGCGAGTCAAGGTGGCTCGTAACTGTTTTTTAAGGTTTTCAACATAAGCTTCATCATGCTTCGTTCCATCCAGCGTTAGTTGCTCTAACGTATCGTCCTCTAAAGAATGATAAAACGAAGTAGGCGGTGAAGACGAGGGCGGTGATTCATCGTTCCCATTAGGGTTGTCCAGCAATGTGTTGAGCTCAGATAATCGTTGTGACTCTGTTAGCCAAAGCAGAGCCCGTTAAAAAAGATATATAGGATAAATTTAAACCAGCAGTGTTTCAAGCACCGATGTGCAATTTAAAAATATTTACCTAGCGACATACGGGACCTAATCTTAGAGGTAGTGACCCCTTTAGATGCGTCGGAATATGAGTTTAGGATGGAGCTTGCCGAGGCTTGGCGTGAGGCAGCAAGGTCTTCTGGTCTGTCAAGGAAGCCAAGCTTAGGTCTTTGCGAAAGCTGATCCACCGATTCACTTCGATTACGCCCGCCTTCTCGTACTACGTTCAAATCGCTTCTGTTTGGAACGTCCATAGATTCTCCTCTTCGGCCGTTATAGTCCCGTCGATCAGGGCTCGGTGACTGTAGATAATCATTAATTAATTGTGAGTCCAGAAGCTGGGTAATTGGAACAGGTCGATTCGATGACTGTGCTGGCGGGCATTAGTACAACTTCGCTTGCACCATGGGATGCGAGTGTGAGAACACTTACGTGCGAAGGGGGGTTGGGAATCTGTGGCAATTGTTTGTTCATTGCATATTCCGCCGAAGTGGTTTTGCGAGACTTGTCTTCCTTTCGTTTCAATTTGAGTTGTTTGCGTATTTCATGACAAGCTGTACAGAAAATACCCTGGGAAAAATAAGGAACACAGAAATGGAGTTAAGAAATGCATCGAATGCAAGGAGGTTTCTGCAGTGGAAAGGGTAACCTCACCTTGCTGGTCTGAGTGAACACCAGGTCTTCAATCTTGTTACCGCATTGTACGCAGCGGAAACAATCAGCATGATAAGCCTCTTCGCCTGCAAAACAAGAAAAGTGGACCATTAGAGCTCGGAAGGTGTTCTAGAAAGAGACAGTGGGGGTTGATCTACTTACCAGTCATGATGGCTTCATCACGAATGGTCTGGTGGCATACATGACAGTTGTAAGAACAGTTTTCGCATACAGGACTGCCGTCAAAGAGTAGTAAGAGGTTGGAGTCGCATTCAACTTGGGCATGACATTTTGCACAACGGAAGCTGCGAAGAGAAGTTATTAAACTGGTAGTCAATTGTAGCAAAGTTCACGGACATACCATTCAAAATGCCAAATGCCTTCTCCAAATTGAACGACGGACCCTTCTTCAATTAGACGATGGCAGCCAACGCAATAAGGGTCCTCTTGAGGCTCTTCCTCGTCATATGAAGAATTCATAAGGAAGGATTATAACGTTATGTGTGTGCAACTTGTACACCGGCTGCTTTTCAACTCTTTTTTTTTTTTTTTAGGGTGTCGACCCGCTCACTGTCTTAAAAATGGCCCCCAGCCAATCAGATGCACTGACCAGTGACCAGCCTAAAGCAACGTCGGTTACTGTTTCAAAAAAATATAAATTACATCCTTAACGCGCTAAGCACCCTGCGGTATCAAGCGGTTTGATGTGCAAACAAATGTTCTTTCAAAGTAAATAACCTCATAAACAAATATAATAAACAGACGGTCAATAAGCAATAAAAAGCATACACATTGTTACCATGGAGTATTCCATATTTGAGGAAGGTGGATGAGCTCATAGCTTGCATCCGCGTGAGCATCATTCGAAAAAAAAACGACTATGTTCTTGGAATGGATTAGTGTGGTAATACGGCTATGACGGACTTCTTTGATTGAGGATCCCATGCTATTGGCTAGCAGCAAACCATGGATATCACGAAAGCAGCGCTTGCTTCTATCACCGGCAAGCGAGCAAGAACCCAGCGCTTTGGATGCACAATCCATTTGCCGCCCGCTATATATTGCAAAGTGGCAGAAATGGGCCTGATCTGGAGCATATGGAGGCGTTCTTGTTAAACCCAGTATTGGCATTCTAGTGAAAGATCCACGTTGTTGTTAAATCGTTCATTTAATTATTTTTTGGATTTATTTCATTATGTACTAGTGGGCCTTCCTTCTTTCTATCTTTCTTTCGTTTCCTACATGTCCTATTCATCTAACACGGTGTATTATGCAATGATGGTAGCTATTGCTACTATCGTGTTATGTACCATCGCTGCTTTTCAATGGGAGTTTGGCGAATCAGCGTACGTCTACAAACACACTCAAGCGAAAAAGATCGACCTTCAAGGCGAAAAGTTCATTGCCTATTTACCACATTCTGGTCTATCAAACCAACGCAACGAACTTGAAAACGCATTGCTGTTAGCAGGCTATCTCAACCGCACCCTAATATTACCTCCGGCTTTTCTTGGACACATAGGTGGCTGGCAATCCAACGACCACCTGTTCGAGTACATGGATACTATGACCAAACCTCAACCTTGGTGGAATCGATGCAAAGATAAACTTGGTCTGGCCGACGGGCCTTGTCATGCCAAGAGCGGGTACGCTTCAGTACCTTGGGAATACCTTCATTCTTCCATTTTTGAGCTGGACATACCCATGCGAAGTATCCGGCATATCTCACTTGACAAAATCAAGGCCATGTTGACACTAAGTGACGACGAAGTTCACATTCAACACGACACGAGCTTGTATACTTGGTTTCTATGCGATATACCCAACGAGCAATGTCCAACGCTAGATCCTACGATATTCGAAACAGGCGGTCGACGTAGTTATGATGAGCAATGGAATATCGAAGATCTCAGAAGAATTGAAAAGCCGCTGATCCAGTTGCAAGGAATATTTGGTACAGACCGAGTCGGTGTTAGTCAAAAACAGCATTTAGAACTACGCAACAAGATTCGCGAGGCGTTGGTGTATCGCAATCCCACGTTGGAAAAAGTGACAGACACGATTACTGAGCGCTTAGGCGGCAAGCAGCAGTTTCTATCTATTCATGTTCGCATGGGAAATCGACAATTCTTGGGACCTTTGCACAAGCATATTGAAGAGCAAATAGCATTTTTAGAAACGGCCCAGCAGCGGGGTCCCGGGAATTCCACTTTCTGCGAGCCTGATGACTTTCAAATTTATGTGGCAACCGACGCCAAAGACCCACGCAAAAGTCCTGAGCTCGTTCCTGTTTTTGAGCGCTTTCCATGTGCAAAAGTGCTAGGCGACTACAAAGACTTACTGCCATCCTTGGAAAGCGACGACGCTGGAGTCACACTGTTCCAACCACCTCAGCAATCGATTGTTAATTTCCTTATACCCGTCATTGATGCCATGGTGGCCGGACACGCTAAAGATTTTATGGGAAATCCTAGTTCAACCTATTCGACTTACATTGAGCAACTTCAGTTAGCATATAGCCAAACTAATTCAATAGCATAGACGTGAGGATGGAATGTTATTAGCGTATTCTATCCTCACCCATTAACCTCATTTGTATAAACCACCCAATCCCCCTTGTCCAACCTAATTAAAAAGAGCTTTAGTTCCATGTTGCAATATGACAGAAATGATGGTTGTTTTTTTGGCCTCGTCTCTATCATAACTTCCATGCTTTCTATTTGTCAGTCGGTTATTGGAAGAAATTTTTTTTGCGAAGTTCGTACCTGAATTTAATGGTTTGAAACGCCGTCCAACGCCCGAGTCGAATGTGGTTGGAGGGTTTTTTTTGGGGGGAAACGCACTCAGTGTCGGCCGTGCTTAATACTATTCGATCGAACGAACTGGGAGAATGGACAGGAATAAGTATTCGAACTGTTCTGGTAACTGATGCACAGACATGCCTTCCCCATTAATTTAAGACTCAGGGGCCGAGAGATAGGAATGTCTCCAGTCACTGCTAGCGAGATGAACGTTTAACGGCAGAATAGTGACGGATTTAAGTAAGGAGGACATTGTACTTGAGTGGCCGTCTCTTTTATGGTAGATTCCGCCATAGAGGTAGTACAGGACGCTCTCCTTTCGCTTCCGAAATAGGGTTTTTAAGGCGAGCTGAAAGAATGCGCATGCTAAGAATCATTGTGGCGTCACGGCGTCGACTAAAAGCCAAGAGGTTGACGAATAGCTTGCCCTCGCATTTCGATGTATGTACGCATAATGACTATTTAATATGGACAGAAGCAATTGGTATCATTAGGCCGTCCAGCTGTGAGGCGTAAATCATTACATTTCCGAGCGCGAAGGACTGTTCTTGAAATTTATATTTTTGGCATGTCTTGAATGGTTGCGTTGATCTTGCCATGAATCGATCAAAGCGATCTGGTATTGCTGCCAGAGCGGGTTTAACTACGACGTGTCTATTCGGGCGTTATGATAGAGAGGTAGCGAACAGAATGAAGCATTCGATGCTCGCTTTTGTATCGAGGCGGTCTTCCGGAATTTTTAAAGTTGAGGTTGTGGTGTTATGTGTTACCTGGGGCCACGAAGTCAATGTTAGAAGGGTAGAGATGGGCCGCTTCAGGATTAATAACCTTGTGCTAATTTCGACTCAAACCTGGCCATAAATAACTCTTGAAGTATGATCTATTCGAAAAAGAATTCCATGACCGGAGCACTTTGGTATTGGCAACTCGAGTGGGGATGTTCAACCCAATTTTTTTTTTTTGTATGTGAACTCCACTCTCCTTGTGGCGCTGGAAAAACGTGGTTCGTCAAACGGAAGATCCTATCTGGTGTCTTCGTAGTTGTAATAAAATTTCAAAAAATACAGCTCAGAAAAGAGAGTACGAGAGAAATGAAGAGGAGTTAAAATTATTCCACACAACAAGGCAAGAGAGTGAATGAAAATAAACAAACATGCCTCTGGAGAGGATGCCATTTCCTCAAGGCAAATACTTTAAAACAATTCGTGGGATTCAGATTATTCCCGGTGCACGTGCATTTTCTGCTCAATCGTTCACCAGCCAGCCTTGCTGAGGTCGCTATGCACAGGTTGCCAGGAATAGTACCGTACACCACAGAGAACAGGCAGTCCGGCTTCGGCAAAAAATAGCATGCAGGTCTTTCGCCTCGCTGTGGCTGAGCCGTTGAAAGTGGACCGGGAAGAACAGCTTAGCAGCCATATATCCTAAAGTGGCGAGTGATGCTCAGGCTAGGAGGTCTACACAAAAGGGAATGAGCATCTTGATTCTGAGTGTCGCGAACAAAGATCATCTTGGTTGACTACAGCTCTCTTTTTGGATACCTGGTTAAGCTGACTTGATAAAAGTGCGGATAAGCAATGAGCTGTAAAAGGAGTAAACAAGAGAATATCACTATTTTTAGACAAATGGCGTTTTGCCATGGAGCTCATTGGGATGAAAGAGTGATACGATATAGCTGCCCATGCTATGGTGTGTAACCGAATTGAATGCCAATATTCTCTGTGATGCCTTCCTATTCATTGTACCAGGATCGAGTCCTTTGGGGTACAAAGGCGTGTGCTTAGTGATAGGCCGATTAATTTTGGGGGGAGGGTGGAAGTGAAGAGCAGGCGGTTCGCTTCGGGGGAGGGAAGATTTTGCGTTTCAACACCATGATCAAAACAGCCAATTCCTACTTTTGTCCTGGCAAAACAGATGGCTAAAATTGAGTTTCAGTGGATCCAAACGCTTTTTAAAAAAAATCTTTGATCCTGGCTTCATAGCAAGCTCCCCTTCCTTCTGTCTGCTTCTTCTTCTATTGTTCTGAAAAACCGCTCTGATCACCAACCAATGTTCATGTCTTGGTCGTCCAACACTGTTCGCAACATGATGATGTTAGCAACCGCCACTATCTTCCTGCTCTCCATGAGTGCTTTCTTATGGGACTCTACAGTTTCAGTAACGGTATACAAATATAATCCAAGCTTAAAGATTGACCATAACGGCGAGCAGTTTCTCTCTTATTTACCGCACTCTGGCTTATCCAACCAACGAACCGAGCTCGAAAACGCATTGCTTTTAGCAAGTTATCTCAACCGTACCTTGATTTTACCTCCAGCATTTCTTGGACACATCAGAGGGTGGCAGCCAAAAGACAATCTGTTCAACTATCTGGAATCCCTTACAAAACCTCAACCTTGGTGGAATCGATGCAGTGATAAACTCGGTTTGGCAGACGGGCCTTGCCATACTAAGGATACCTACGCAACTGTTCCATGGGAATTTCTTCATTCTTCTATCAACGACATAGGCGTGCCTGTACGAAGTATCCGACAAATCTCGCTCGCTAAAACCAAGGCCATGTTGACCCTCACGGACGACGAAGTCTATGTCCATCACGATAACACCATGTACAGCTGGCGACTATGTGATAAACCCAAAGAGCAGTGCCCAGAGTTGAACGCTGGCACTGGCCATGTCTACGAGCAACAGTGGACGATTGAAGACTTGCAAGCCATTGACAAACCTCTTCTCCATCTGCAAGGAATATTTGGTACAGGACGAGTGAGCGTCAGCCGACCTGAGCACCTGGCACTGCGCACTAAGATTCGACAATCCCTAATATACCGCAACTTAGCCATGGGACAAGTAACAGATAACATAGCCAAACAATTAGGTGGCAAGCAACGCTATTTTTCCATCCACGTCCGTATGGGAGACCATCAATTTCTCGGTGGTTTGCAAAAACATCTTGACGAACAGATTGCGTTTTTGGAAAAATCCCTTGTGGACGCTGGGAACCCAACCACTTCCAGTTGTGAGACGGAAGAATACAAGATTTATGTGGCCACAGACGCCAAAGATCCCAGAATAAGTCCAGAGTTAGCCCCAATCTTTTCACGCTTCCCATGCGCAAAAGTACTAGGAGATTACATCGACTTGCTGTCCCCACTGGACGCTGAAGTGGACACGTTTCAACCCCCTCAAAAAACCATTATCCGATTTCTCATACCCATCATTGACGCTATGGTTGCTGGCAACGCAAAGAATTTCATGGGAACGCCTGGTTCGACGTTCTCGGCTTATATCCGGCGTCTCCATTCCGCTTATGCTCCTAGCAAATACCAACCATGAAAATTATAGATCGGCCCAGTAGACTACTGCGGCTGTAATTGACTTGGCTGTAATCCTCATGTGTACAAAGACTTTTTTCTCTTGATTATCTTTTTCTCTGCTTCCATGTAAAATGTAGATTGTACTCAAAGTGCTATTAATGACAACCCTATGCTCAATACACCACATTGTGTTTCATAATTATATTTATATTTTAATTGGGCCATGGCTATTTTGGGTGAAGCAACACAGCAAAGGAACTGGGGTATTTGTTTTGATTTTTCTTTCTTTTGCTCTTTAATTTGGTTTTAGAATGAGTTCAAATTTTTGATTTTCCTATCCTTATCTCTCTTCTGAGGGTGGGTGACAAAAGGGAGTGGAAAGATTTTTTTGTATGTTTTGAAAAGAAGTGTGCGGGATAAAGGTGTAGAGAGAATAAAGGAGGAAAAACATCAACCAAGAAGAACAGAAAAACCAAACATACACTCTTTTGACTTGGTTGACAAAAAACATCTTCCCTTGTCTCGAAAAAAAAAAAAAAACTCTATTATGCGTAAAATGTATCTCAAACAAGTGGGAAGGTGCAAATGACGGCGGATGAGGGGATTTTTGGGTGGGTTTTTTAAGAAGAAAAAAAAAAAAAGGCGTGAACAAAATAACAGGTCGAAAATGTTACAAACCAAAGAGTTTTAGTTGTCCATAAACTCCTTGGGATCGAATCCAGCGGCGGTGATAAGCTGTGGGACGTATTTGGGAGCAAGAGGCACATCGATTCTCAAATCTTCATAGATCTCGTCCATGAATTGTTGGATACCCTTTCGGAAGTCATCCTTGCTAATCAATTCGCGCTCTTGGGCACCGCTGAAAACTTCCTTGACCAGTTCAACATCCTCAGCCTTGGACTCTACAACACCCATACCGTATTGCACCCACTGAGGATGATATTCGTTGCTTCCCAGATCTTTGATACATTCATAGAGTTCCTGTGTAAAGGCGGTTAATAGGGGCAGCAAATGACAAAACCACTTTAGCCGGGGTTGCTTACATTTTTATCCTTGATACCATAGAATTCCTCAAACATGTTTTTGATCTTTCGCTTGGCGTCATCTTCAGACATCTTTGGAGCGGCAGCATCATTAGCAGTAGCAGCAGCAGGCTCACTAGGGGTCTGAGCAACAGGGCTAGATACGATATCACCACTGGCAGTTGCTCCACGGGGCAAAAGTTGAAGTCGCTTGCGTTCCAGAGGAGCCTTTTCGTCTTCATGGCCTTCACCACCCAATGCACTAAGGAACGGGTATTTTAAAAATACACATCAGTCATGAACGACAACAAAAACCACTGGTCAAAAGCCCTTACCTGAACATGTTGGCAGTTCCAATAGAGTCAGAGCTGGCGGAAGCACTGGCCTTTTCCTCAGAAACGACCTTCTTTTCACCACTCTTGGAACCTTGTCGGTTAACCGCCGACAAGCTGGCAAATGGACTGCTTCCAGGACCCAAAACACCGTTGCGTGACTTGCTACGTTCAATCTTGCCAAAATTGGCCAAATCGCCAGCCTTGCGGGCAGGGCCAGTGGGACTGGCATTGCCAACTGTACTCCAGCCATCAGGGCCAACGCTGGAGGAGCTACCTTCACGTTGCATTTCCTTGCCACGATGAGAGCTGGCACGAGACATAGGGTTTCCACGGGATGATGGAGTGCGCTTCATAGCCTCCTTCTCTTCGCGCTCCTTGGCCTTGGCAGCTTCCTCATGGATCTGAGCAATTGTAGCTGGGCCACTTGGGCCTTGGCCTTGTCGCAATGTCCACTTGCTCTTTCGTAGATCGATAACATCCTAAAGGCAAGCAAAGTGTAAGTGACGAGCAAAAGAAGATGAGATGGGAGGGGTTTTTAAAGTAAAAGGATAGAATGTGCATGTATACATATATAAACAGGCGCATACAATCAAAGGTATGCTGTCCATAAATTAAAAATATTCAAAAAGAAAACTTCGCTAAGCTTACCTGGATCATAAATCGAATACGGGAACTGAGCTTATCGTTGGCTTGGAGTTCCTTGATACGTTCAAAGTAGATATCCATCCATCCCTTGGCCTTTGGATGATCCAAATCCTTACCAACCGTCGTCATCAATTTGCAGAGTGACTCAGTTTCCTCTTCTTCAGGATCGCTGACATTGCTGAGGAGTTTCTTGATACACTCGTGCATAATACGCTCCGTCAACATTTGCAACTTGAAAAGTTCACCAATCAATCGAATCAAACCAAGACCTTGACGCTTAGCCTTGACAGCAGCGTAATATTCATCAGAAAGCACACCTGAATTGGTATCAGGCATTTCAGGCAACTTGCCCTTCCAACCACGTTCGAAATCCTCTTGACAACGATTGAGAAGATACTTTCGGAACAAGTTGCTTCCAGTAACATATTGACCCTTGTTGTCCTTGACGCTTTCGTCCCGAATTTCCGAAGAAATGTTATCGAGCATCATGCGGCAAAGTTGTGCCCACATAGAAGCAAATTGAGATTCATCGGTGGCCTTTTCAAAAACAAGTTGAATGACCACACGAAGCGTCTTGCCATCGCTTTCCTTGGCGGATTGGTTGGCATATTCCAAAATTTGTTTGGAGATCGAATCGAATTTCTCTAATGTCAATTTGTTCAACAATGACTTGACCTTACGAATGACAATATCTTCAGGAATGATTTCAGCTTCCAAAGCAGCAGAGGCAGCAGTGTTGGCCTGGTCATCAAGTGTAGTGGGAACCCATCGGTTTTCGGATTTTTCCAGAGGAACGACTTGATCCAAAGGAATGGTAGGGCCACCCGGTTGTTCTCTAGGAGGATGACGACCCTTACCACCACGACCGCTACGACTGCGACCACCGTGAGAACCGTCCCGTTGCATACCACCAGGCGATCCAGGAGCAGGCAAAGCATGACTTCCACTGCCTTGACGAGGAGCCAAAGAACGGCCACCAGCAAACTTGCCCATTTCGAACTTGCCATCCTTGCCCATTGGGGAACCAGGGGTGCGAGGACCACGTCCTCGTTCTGAGGTTTGACGGCGTTGCATACCCGGTCTTGAGCCACGATCATTGGATTCATCAATGCCAACATTTTCAAAGGCAGAGAGATCTTCGGCGGTATCGGTACAAAGCAAAGCAAATTGCATCAAGAAAGCAACATCGTATTGTTGCACACCAGGCTTGGATTGAACAGGAGGTTGAACTTCCTCAGGATAGGTAACGGTGGTAGGATCCACGGTACGTGAGATGAGGGAAGGAACCTTGGACTTGGGGGGTTCAACAGCACTGACAGGGGTAGGCATTGCTTGAGCAACATGGGGAGGAATAGCACTGAGATCAAGACGACCAGGGCCACGGGAAGATTTGGCAGCAGCAATGGCAGCGATGCGCTCCTCTTGCTTCTTGTCAGCCTCTTCCTTATCTTCGGTGGTGGTGGTTTCAGACGCAGGCTCTTCTACAGCAGCCTTGGCAGCAGCTTCAGATTCAGCAGCCTTGGCAGCATCAGCAGCAGCAGTAGCCTCTTCTTCAGCAGCCTTGGCAAGAGCAGCAGCCTTTTGAGCTTCCTCATGTTCCTTTTGAAGTTTTGCTTCTTCTTCAGCAGCAGCCTTCTTGGCAGCTTCCTCCTTCTCGAGACGTTCCTTTTCTTCACGTTCACGAGCCAAGCGCTCTTCTTCCAGACGTCGTTCCTCTGCTTCTTCCTTAGCTTTTTGCTCAGCAGCCAATCGTTCCTGTTCCTTTTGCTCAGCAGCGACACGTTCACGTTCCACTCGTTCAGCTTCTTCACGCTTTTCGCGTTCTTCTCGCTCAGCTCGATCCTTGGCTTCCTGTGCCTCGCGCTCCTTCTCTTCCTGAGCCTTGCGTTCGGCATCCTCCTTGGCCTTTAATTCAGATTCCTCCTTTTCACGCTTTTCACGCTCCTCGCGTTCCTTAATAGCAGGATCAACAATCTTAATGGCTCGGGATGGAGAACCGGCAGGCTTGACTTCAATCTTCTCCTTCTTTTCCTCTGCCTTGGGAATGACAGGGCTAGCTTCCTTGCGGGATGGGGAGCTAGCAGTAGAAGGTGTATCGGTCTTGACTTGAGCCATGGTTTCAGGATTGATGATAGGAATAGCCTTGCTTCTAGGAGGAGTGCTATGGATGAATGGCTGAGATGGAGAACGTCCCCCTTGTTGACCTTGAACACCCATGTTCGCATAGGGCGATATAGGCATGGTGGGATATGGAGCGTAATAATGGTGAGAATCAAAGCCTTGTTGCATATACTAGGATGACGAAACAGGGTTTAGCAAACAATGTACCTAAACAATCAAATAAAGTGGAACTTACGAATTGATTTGGTATCTGGTTCGACCATTGCTGACCCATAGGAATATTTTGAGCAGCTGCAGACATGGAAGGAGATGGAGCAGATTGTATGTGAGGAGACATTGATTTCTTTTGATGATGAGGTACAAATGGCTGGGAATGTTGCATGTTTGGTGAATGATTCACGCCAGCGTGTTTGTTAGATGGATTGTAGTGATGGCGGCCTTGATAGTGCGAATGACGCTGTTGATAAGGCTGTTGTGGTTGTTGATGAGGAGATGGCACTTGCAAATCTTTGGCTGACGACTGTGAATGGTCTGATTGTACCGAGTCACGACGTTGGGATGTGATAGAAGCAGGGACAGTGGTGGCAACAGGAGGAGTAGCAGTAGCCTAATGGGGAGAAAGGGGGACCCAAGGTCAGAAACAACACATCCCAAGATCGAAAGAACATAACCGATCTAAACTTACTGGCTCTGCTTGAGGTGTCACTGGTGCGTCAGAAACCGATGATCGGCTTGGAGAAGATGGAGCCGGTGTATGATTGATGGAACCAAATTGAATTGGAGCTGAGCAACAACAAAAAAAAAAAAAGGGCATGAATATTTTTTTGGTTGGGGATGTTTTGTTGAAAGTGATCTGTAGAGGGATACTTACAGCCACCGGATGAAGAAGGAGCTCTTGGCAATTGAACCGACGATCTATTGCGACCAGTAGGCGAGGCCGTAGCAGGTGCAGTGGTTGCGGCAGCTAACTGCGGCGAAGATCTAGAAAAGATAAAAAAAAAAACAAGATGGACTAGATTAACAAGAGATCACAAGCACAAGATGCCATGACTGTCCATCACATACGGATTAGAAGACTTCTGCAAAGCAGCTGCAAATGAAGGTTGCTGCTGCGGTTGGGTCTGCTGTTGTTGTTGTTTTACTCCACCATTGACAGGAGCAGGTTGGCCATTCGTGTTCGCTGGAGGATTGGATTTCCTTGCAGCTTGAGCGTAATTGAAAACCGCTTTCTGTTGTGAGGAGGTGGAGGTATTATGGTTGGTGGTATTATCCGATGAAGGTTTACTCATCACTTGTGAACTCAAACGGACATGTATTGAGCTGAACAAAAGTCTCCAACTGTGTGCGTTTGAACCAAACGGATAGTCGGATTAAAAAAAAGAAGGCTGGAACGAGATTTGAATAACTGAAAACTTATTCTTTCCCTTTTCCGTTCTTTTTCGTTTCTTCTTTCTTTTTTACGGTTGTAAAAAAAAGAAGATCAGCAAAGCGAAGTGAGCGACGATAATATTACAAAAAAAAATATTTGTTGGAAAATTTTGGGTAGGTCAAGCCTCGACAGGACAAAAATGTGACGTAAGCGTTCTGTTTCAATAGCGTTGTTTATTTATCCTCCATCAATGCCGTCTTCGTCTTCCAGGTTCTTGATATCCTCCAAGTCTACTAAGAATATCATTGGGTTTTTTCTTTTCTATTCTTCGTTTTCCTAGTCGACTATTGATATCTTTATTAACCCCATGTAAAAGGTAGTAGCGACTGCGCTCACGTGCTCCGCGCTCTTTGACATCCCATTCGCTGGCTAACCGAAGATGGAGATTGTTGACAGTACGGCCCGATTCCATTGTGTAGACTTTCGCTTTACGCAAAAGAGTGTGATTGATATCGCTCGTTGGCTCTAAGAGGAGGTCTTGGATAGCCTCCTTAGCTTGTTCAGCAGAGTCAAACACAGCATTACCTAGTATCCATCATGAATTATTATTTTAAGAAAATAAAATGGGACGGGTTCAACCTTAACCGATATAGCACTTACAACTGGTGTCATTGATCCATTCTATTTTGATGGGCTTTCGATCCCCAAAATATTCTTCAATGTCTTTAGTAGCCATATCATCTACTCCATGTACGTGCACGGCTTCAGCTCGAACTTGCGGTCCTGCTTTACTTGCAGTTTGGTCCTCGTCATCGGGGGTGGTGGATTCCGCTGTTTTCGTGACTGCAGGAGGTTGCTCTGCATTGGCGGGCTCTTCTAATGGAACTGGATCTAGATCCAGATCTATACGCCGATCAAAGTTTTCGTGTCAATTCATGTATAACTGTCTTCTACAATCACGGTAGAGCTGGCTTCACTAACCTACGTCCATGGTAATGACCTCCTCGTGTTCGGTCATTTGTACAGCTATAATACGGTGGGGGGTGGAGAGGGAAAATGAGATACGCTGAAAAATTAAAACAAATGGCCCGAATTAGGATGCTCGCTTTATGTATCGAACAAAGACAAAAATATCCCTCTCTCCAAATATAAAATAACACAGTTCTGCTACCGTCCATCCATACACTATCAATACATCATATTACATAATAATTTGTTGGCTTCACTGTAGGTGATAACCTTGCGTATGATTCACTATACCATCTACATATTTCCATAGTGAGCAATCCTCACAGTCCGTTTCAGGGCGGCACTCTGGCATTGGATATTCCGACTCTGTCTGGTTGAGAATGCGATCGATGACAACACTAATGCGATGGGCTTGGATATCCACTCGCCAGCCATTATATCCCACTGTGTCCCAGACGCAGGTTCGGCCAATATGACATCGGGTTTCGATGGCGAACCCTCCTAGCCAGCAAACGCTACTGGGTCCAGAGCACACACCTTCAAAGATCGGGTCTGCGGTATTACCAAATTGCCAAATTGGATATGTCCATTCAGGTCGTCCTTTGGGCGGTAAATGCAGTCTCTCAGCGGCAACGCGATCACCAGGGGTTTGAAATGTAACGGCAGGGTGGCCAAAGGTGAGGGACAGCAGGGATGCTATACCACCGCCTAAGGAGTGTCCGGTAAACCAAATGGTGGAGTCCGGATAGGATTCGATCACATCATAATAGACATCCTGCACGAATTAAGAGAAAAAGAAAAGGTGGTTAAAAATCGCTTTCAATTTCAATGGCAGGCATGGCACACTTACCATTGCAGTACGATAGTAGAGATTTTTGTCTAAAACACTGTCCCTCAAGCAGTCCTTATTGCACTCATTACGTTGACCAGTAAAGCAATCGCATACTCGTTGCCAAGCTGGGAAGGGATGTGCACAACAACAGGAAAATAATAAATTATCATTCAATTTATCGTTGCCATTGGTTGGTCCTGAAACAAGAAAAAAACCATTAGCCACCTTCGATTGAGCCACCACAAAATTTTGAAGCAAGCTCGCAGAAAAAAGCTTACCAGGCCAGACGCCGGCGCTTGTGCCCTTGACAGCAATGACAAACAAGTTTTTCTCATCGTTACCAAAAACTTGTACTCGGACACCATTGTCACTATATCCATACGATCCATTCTATGATAGATAAAAAGTTCAGCATGATGATGATGCAAGTGGCGGTGTTCTATATCCATTGTTCAAAACGTACCACTTTCCAATTTTCATCCATGTCCCTCCAATCAGTTCCTTTTTCATCCGGAGAGTATGCATTGTTCGCCATCTGGGCCAAGGCAAGGATAGTTTCTCGGCTACGAACATTGGGCAGATGTCCAAGGTGTGGTTGCCAATTGTATTGGCGTTGATCGAATACTTCAAACATGGATCGTGGCGTGCGTGCGTCTTTAAGTTGCTTCACATAGTCACTAGGTGGTAATAGATATATGTCTGCGTAGCTGTTCAACTGGATAGGTAAAGTGGTGGCGGTCGTCATTTCGGTTCGCTCTAAAGAATATTCCTTTTCAGGATTGTGAATGTACTGGTGTTGTAATGTCATGGACTGTAGCTGATCGCCAGATGCCTTGGAGAGTGGAATTTGCTTCTCATGCATGGCATGGGTGGCTATAACAAGGCCAATGAGTACAATGGCGGCATATGTCTTTAGCATAGCGAAGGTGAAAAGCGCTAAAAAAGGTGACAAGCGGGATTCAAGTGTTATGATCATTTTTATGACATAATTATATACCACATGGCCAATACGATGTCTGTGTGTGTGGTATCACGTTGCAGGAACTACTTTACTTTGGGGAAGAGTGTTTTTCTGTAAGAAAAAATAAATATTTAAGGAAGTCGGTTCAGCGCGCAACTAGACTTACAGTTATTGTAAGTAATCTGTAGCTTAAGATGCTGTTCTGTGGCCCCCATCTTTCAAGTGAAAGCCAGTGTTTGTATTATTGGTGCTTGACAACACTTTGGTCGACCCCTTCCCCTTGCTACCATATCTATCAAAATATATAAACGCATTATTAAATGTGTCTTGCCAATCGATTGTGGTCGCTTATTATTGAATACTGTCATTCGCGGCAGGCGTTTTTTCACATTCAGGATTCATATTTTAGCGAATGGTAAGAAACGGGATGTCATATGGTCATAAATATGATCACCCCAGGCTTTCATATGTCATTTGATAGGTGATTGCCAGTATACCAACTTTTACATTTCCAGAATCATCCAAGATTTGTAAATAGAATACAAGAACAACAGAAAAGTAACAGAGAGGAACATGGTTATCCATATATGACTTGAGCTGTTTGGTTGCCACGACGGGCCCAAGTCACGCAATGCACCCTACAGGCCTGCTTAGAGCCTTTCATGCGTCAAAGCCTTAAGATGAGTTGAGCGTGTGCAGTGGGATATACTTTGGCAATACGAGTAAATCGCTCGTTGTGAACCGGTGTAACTACTGACATGCTTAAAATAAGATGCACAACTCAGAATCTACTCAGGTCGCGGCATGGTTACTCAAGCTTCCAAGATTAGCTTTTCTTTCAAAGACAATTCAATCTAGCAGCCATGAAAATGAAGATTAGTCCCATCAAATACGCAAAAACTATAAACAAGACTTCCATTCTAATTGGCGAGGATATCGTAGGTGACACCATAGAAACGTTGGAGGAATGGTACAGTCATCCTCATAAATACGAAATTATGCAAGACGCTATGAAATTTAAGGAACACCTCAGGTCCGCGTCTAGCCTTCCTTACTGGGTGAAGTTCCTGGGCATGCACCGCGATGAAGTCGGCATGTTCCACGGAATAGTCACACCCATCATCCGTTGTTTCTCTGACTATCTGGCTTATCTCATTGATGATTTCGAGAAGGGAGTGAATGGTACATTTAATCACCCTAATGCTGGAGTGCCGCCAGATCTAATAGAGACGCAGCTGGGAAAGACCATTCTCAACGAGTTGCGAAACACCACTTTCTCCAAAGATTACGTTTTTTGCCACAACGCACTCTATTATAAAAGCTTTGTTTTAAAAGACAACAAGCTTATTGGTATTCGAAACTGGCAGTACGCAGGATTCTATCCACCCGAGTTCGAAGACATCATCCACAAGTATCTGGAGGTTTTTCAATTTGAAGAGTTTCATGCAAAATTCGTCAAAAAATCAAATCAGCCGTCAACTTCATCGACTCATGATCTCAATCAAAATGCCAACGTAGTCTGAACGTAACTCAATAAAGTTAATGTAGGGTCGAAGAAGTTATCTAGGATTTTCCATAAAAGTGACTATGGACTTGGAGTTTGCCTACGGTGAAAATCTTTTGCGTTCTATAACGAAAGCAGAGTAATATGAGAGCAGCCAAGAGCTAGCTAGCTGAATATTGGTTGAGCGCAAATATCCCGTGTGATGAATGTGTTCAAGATACCTTAAGAAAGTCTGACTTTAGCACGAAAAATTTAAATTTCGTTCCCAAAATCTCAGTTAGTGCAACGGCTATCTCCAATCTTTCACGTTCACTGGAAAACTCGGTGCCGAGAGACTTACAACTCTTCACAAGTGCATTCCAGCTTGTCAAGTGCTTCGCATTTCCCATTTTCCCAACATGTCTTTTCTGCACCTCGTCGCATATGGGGCAACCATTCTAGCATTTTGCTTCGTCGTTCTGAGTTTGGGTGAGTCAACCAACAACCTGTTGATTGCCTGGCATTGCCCTAATTGTTTTCTAATCATGTGTTTCAATCACGGTAGCTTGCGGCTTGTACTACCTAGCCGAGCTTGTAAGTAGCGTCCTCACCTTGATCATCACTCCATTGTTGTTAATGTCAAACGGTACCTAGGTCGAAGAATACACAGTCTTCACGAAAAAGATCATAAAATACGCCACGGGGGTACGTTCAGGGTTTTGGATAGGGAAGGACAGGTGCCTGTATATTAACCTTTGGGGGTGTTTGCAGACGGTGGTGTTTATACACGTGTGCCTATGGATTTTTGACCGGAAGCCATTCTTTCAAATACTGTTCTCGCTTGCATGTCATGGAGTGTACAGTATGAACCTACAGACATTTCCATTCATCAGTCTCACCAGCCCGCCATTCCTTGCTAGTTGTGGTACGTATCTGTCATTATTCTGGATTCTGCTTATCTTTTCTTGCTTACATTCTCGGCGTTTAGTACTCGTTTTGATTGATCATTTTGTATGGTTCCAATACTTTACTCGCCATTACACGCCTTTCATGGACATTGCCGCCTTCTTTGGCGTATGTGTCTGGCTCATTCCATTTGCTTACTTTATCAGTCTCAGTGCAAATGATAACGCGTTGCCACTCAGTGGTGAGTTCAGTCACTATTATCACGATCAACCCATTTTGGCAAACGCTAATTATTCTCACAGATCCCGCGGCTGCAGACGCTATACCATCGCAGCGAAAACAAGGTCTGTTCAAAACGATCCTTGGCTATGTTACTAGAAGGAAGGATGACTCTCTTCCATCTTCCCATATCAATGTTCAGGAGTACAATATCACACCCAATGCTGGTCTTTCGTCATCTTTACGGAATCCTTATGGCGGCGGTGGTCTTGACAATCGCAAAATGATGTAGATTTTATTTGCACTTGTCATCGTTCGTATCACCTTTTTTCATACCATCATTAATTGTATAGCTCTTCACATTGTCTTTATATGAAAAAGGAGTAGAAAGTGCTTTTGAAAACCAAACCGCCCGATTAGAGCCATCACATAAAAGGGATATTCTAGTGAATTGTCACTGAAGCAAGACGGCTTACAATCACTTTTTTATTTGTGTGATTAATATTTACAGGTGGGCCGAGACCGAGCTAAAGCTTTTGACTGCAACAGTCTACGCTCCTGTTGCAAATGCATATCAACCTTTATGCTTGTTCCCGTAGATTTGGGCAATATTTACTTCAGTAGGCCTGGTTTTAACGCCAAGGTCCGGATGCGGTCAAACAGTATGTTTCATGCCTAGCACCTTTTGAGATGAAATAAAGCTTGGCAAGGAAAAAAACAACGAGGAAAGATAATATGTACAGTGCTGCCAACTATCTTGTGATGTGCAGGAAGGTTCAATGGTTTGCGAGAGGATGTAGAGTGAGACATGTGTTCTTCGATATTCTTTTTTCTATAGGATAACTTTATTTGTTATCATGCGGGGATTTCTGTCGATCAAAAGAAAAACTCGACTTGAAAGACGTACCTGTTGCCTTGCAACTACAAAACGGCCACACTAACTACCATTGATGTTTCGAGAGATGTTATCATGGTAGCTGCAGCGTATTTCACTTGATGTTGAGTATGAAAATTAGGGTCATTGCTATTGGAAATTTGAGACATTATATTTTTTTGGATACATTTCGGGAAGACCAATGGAACAACGGCAGACGTCCTTGAAGAAAATATAAATGTGGTGGAAATGGAGTTTTAAAATTGCATGCATGCACTTTTCTTGATAAAGCTGTCACGAAGACGCCTTTGACGAAAACCATGGAATCTACCGGGAGGAATTGATGGCAAGTTAAGCGCGTTATTCTCTGCTGCCTCGAACGATAGATGTTTGGATAAAGCTTTTTCATATATTGGTAGGGTTGACCCCGAAATTGTCTTCATTAGGAGCCGTTTTCTAAACGGCACTGTCCCTCTGAGACATATATACCAATATAATTAGCTACTAAGCGCTACAGAGCCGTACTTCTCGTCAAGAGCAACCATATCCTTGGAGCCATCCATATCTTCCTTTACTTTGAATCCAAACAACGGTGGGATCTCCGAAGGTAACATTAGAGTTGAATGGAAAAAGCCTTTTGTTCATTTTGGGAAAGAACAAATCCAACGATAACAGCCTCGAGTATGTTGGACCAACATATGGCAAGCATGAGTAGGAGGGTTGGCCCACCATAGTGGGCAACTGCATGAGAATAAAAATGTCCGTGTCAACGCGCCTATTCTAACGATTTTGAAGAGAGCGTTCTATCAATAATGTCGAGAATAGAGAATGAGATGTATGGTATGCTTGCATGAACCTTCTTCAGCATGAGTCGGGTTGTCCATAAGTGCATTCCGTGATTGCATGACAAAGCTTAATTTGTTCATCTTGGTTAGTGTCACTTCCCAGTACATACAGTTGACACTCGTCGATCAACCTTGAGGGTGAGATCAGATTCGATCTTGTCCATATTGACCAAACAAACCACCCGCATGGAAGGATGTTTGCTGAAAGCTTTTCCATTTACGTTGGACCGTTATTTTTTTGAGCACAGTGGGTCGATATCTTTGTGCTTAGCTTATTGATCGAGGCGTTTTGATTAGTGTAAGGTAACCCAAGCGAGTGACCGGGGCCAATCTGACCTATAAGGTTTTCATCCGTAGTCCCCTTTTTCCCGCAGCCTTATCCAGAGCGTTTCAACCTTGACTCCCGCGCGCCTGCACGGTACTTTTGTTAAAAGATACCGGTAAGAGAAAGCATAGGTGAACCATCCGAGGTACCGTAAGTGTGTACAATTTTTTTTTTTTCCTTCAAAGCTACAAACGGACTCGCGTGTCTAGTTTTCCTGCAGTCATCTGCAACAAGACACAAGCGGAGGTACAGCGGTCCTTGGTTCCTTCCAGTTTGTGTGCGCCGAAGTCTAGGTTGAAACAGGGCACGATGTTACTTGTAAATGCACGTAAACACAAGTACTTGCCCATGTGGGTGAAATGGTGGGATGGGACCCCAACTCCCCTTAGCTGCCAACGTATGTAAAGGATGTCGCGATGGGAGAATGAATCTGAGTTACGAGAGCCTGGCTAGTTGAAGAGTGTAAACCGTGTTCCCAGGGAGGGAGACTTGATTACGTGTGCAGAGGGAAAGTTTATTGGTAAATCAGTTACTATCTAACACATTTTTTATACGGGTTAAGCTTTATGCTGGCGATGCCATATCTGGTTACTTCTTTCACATTTTGGTTGTTCATGTTCACATTTTTATTCGCCATACTAAGGGTCTAAACTGATTAAGGGTATATTGCGATGACGGAGGTGGATAGATCATCAGTTGATAGAGGTGAGCGACTGCACGCGATGAGTTTGGTCTGCACGTTGTATACATTGTCAAAAAGTCATTTACAAGATGATTTGTATTACGTTTTAATAAGTATACCAAACCAAGAGAGTAGGTTGGTTTGTAAAAGTGAATTTTTTTCTTTTCAAAAAATATTAATATTTGGGAATTGATAATGTATCTAGGCTACCAACAGCACAGCAGTCAGAGCCTGGGATGAGTGGAACTAAAATTAAACCATAGAATCCTTCTTCTCATCGACAACGACAGCATCCTTGTCATCAGCAATACCCTCCTTTTCTCTCTGGGCTTGGACACGGTTGACACCTCCGAAGATTTCATCAATTTCTTCAAGGGAAACGCCCTTGGTTTCGGGAAGATAGAACCAAACGACAATAGCCATGAAGATGTTGAAACCAGCAAAGACAAACATGGATTTGTAGGAGAGTTTGGTGAACATAGTAGGGAAGGCCTGGCTGAGGGCAAGGGAACCGATGTTTTGGAATTGGGAAGAGATACCGACCAACTGGGCACGAACGTTCATAGGGAAGATTTCAGTAGTAACGATCCAGACAGAAGCACCCCATGATGGGCCGAAAGCGAGATAGAAGAGGCAGATAGCCAAAACCATGACGGCAGCGGCACCAGTGTTCTTAGTGATGTTGTCTCCACCGAGTCCGACTGGGATGGCACCAGCAATGATAAGCATGACGCACATGAAAAGAGCACCCCAGAACAAGGCTCTTCTACGACCAATTCTGTCAATCCACAAGATAGCAATCATAGCACCGACCATCTGGACGACGTCTTGGACAGCTTGCATAGTAAGAGCAATGGAAGAAGAGGCGAAAGCAGCCAAGTAGACTTGGGAACCGAAGTTGTTCATGGCGTTGTTACCGCAAACTTGGTTGAAAAGATTGAGGAAGCAGGCAATAAGGAGACGGTGACGAAGAGATTTGTCGACAAAGACTTCGCGAATGGAAAGTTTGGTGGTGTTTTCCTTTTCCCATCTGACAGCTTCAATGATATCAGCCAATTCCTTTTCAACATCATCTTCAGCGGTACGGAGGCGGTTGAGGGCATCACGAGCCTTCTCAATGTGATCATGTTCAACGAGCCATCGAGGTGATTCAGGAACGAACCAGATACCAACAGCAACGATGGATGGGATAACAACTTGAGTGATTTCGATCAAACGCCATTGCCATTCGCCCAATGAAGGGTTGCTGGTAGCTCCGATAGCAATAACAGTGGAGATAAGAGCACCAAAAGCCCAGGTAATTTGCCAGATACCGACGATTCGACCACGAATGGTGCGGGTAGCACATTCAGACATATATGTGGGAGCAGCGTAAACGAAAGCCTGACCAACACCACTGTAAAGAAAAAATGAGTATATGGTACTTTTGGAGCGTTGTTTCATGGGTAAGTGAAACTTACAGAACAACTCTTCCAGCCCAGAAACCAATCTTATTGGGTGTGAGAGCCATAACCAAAGCAGCGACAACGATAATAGCAGAACCTAAACTCATAGACTGTATATCGATTAGTTGACCTGAAGGCAAAGAAACAAGTTTTTTTTATCGCTCTTGTTTCTTCAACTTACGAGACGTCGGCCCCAACGATCTTGGATATAAGGTGCAACAAAGATAGCAAGAATAATAGTAGGAACGGTATAGCATGTTTGTAATGAGCCTTCTTCAACGTCGCTGGGGTTACCCATGAAGTCCTTCCATTTGTCGATGACAAGAACAGATGAAAAGGTGTTACTGTCGTAACCAATATACACTTGGCAGAGACCTGCGAGGATTGAGGCGACGTAAAGTTCTACTTTGCCCATGTTGATTGATGTATTAAAGAAACAGTGCCTGGAGCTGTTCACTGATCAAAGCTCCTCCCATTTATATACATTCGATCAGCTCCCAGAGAGTTCAGCCACCTTAAAAATAATGTTAACCCGATTCGTCCCACTCAGGTTGAATGTGGGGATTAGATAAAACGGAAGTAACGTAAGCAAGCTTTCCGGTGAAAGAAATTTTTTCGACGTAAGATATTGGGTTGTCAACCCCACACCACACTAAATATCCCAATCTCAGATAAGCTACGCACAGATCCACCACTCTACGTTCACACTAGAAGAAAGCCAAATGTTGATAAGGTATAGCTCTATAGCAGCTTTTCAAAATACTTTGACTGCATAGAACCTAGCTGAATGCTTTTGATGCAGACTTTTTCGGGCAACTCCACACCCCACTCTCACCTAATCCAGTGTTTGCGAAAACCATGATCTCCGCGGCCTTTCGGGGACACAGAGCTCTTTGATGTGTCGACAGTAAAAGCGGTACGTAGCAGTAATTTATATATTTCAGATACAGAGTATCCCATTACTTCACTTTACATTCCCATGACTTGTGTACAGCTACCTACCCGCTCTCATATTTCTCTAATATAGCGCTCTATCTCACCTGTACACCCCCTCCACACTTTTTTGATACTGCCCCCACAGTTAGCAAAGCCTCCTCGGAGACACCTTATCGTGGCTTGCTGAGATTACCTAACCAAATAACGTCGGAGAATAGTCATATGATATTTCGCGTTGTAACCGTCAACAAGAGGATGTTGATGATGACTACGAAACGGTATGGGACGTTGTGTCTGCATTCTGTCTGTGACATACCTCGAAAAAAAAGTCCCATCCAAAGTCTGTCATCCCGCGGACTCAACTAACCTTTTCTAATCACTCCCACCGCTTAGAAATTCGAACGAAGAGTTAAAGAGAACACTTACATATTGATAATATGGAAAGTTTCAGGGATTTATTCAATTTAATTCCGTACAGCATTTTCCTTGCCCCGCCTGCAAAAAATTTTTTTTCTCATACTCTTTCCAACACCGGCCCCGCCCAGCACTGCCCTGACCCGCAGCTGCCCATTTTGAGACACCGTTCGCGGGGGAGTGACTTGGTGGCTTTAATGTTTGATGTGTACATAAACCTCAACACAGAATTTACCTGCATATCGCAAGATGCCTGACTCAAGTGTATTACTCTGTTGCCATAGGGGAGTCCATGGGCTTGGTCTACGGAAGAAGAACGGATCAGAGCAGCGGCAAACGTGAAACTCGGCAGGGAGTTAACCATACCTTGGTGGTAAGAGGAGCCGTCCATTGAGCGGTCAATGGAAGGTCAGACCTCGGTACGGTACGGCACGGCACCGATATCATTGAGCCTTCTATAGCTCTTTTCAAAGCAAGTTTTACGATACATGGTGTTCAGTGTTTACCTCGTGACATGCAGCTAATACTACTACCAAACAATAACCCACTGGCTACTGTATTGTCCATGCTTCTTTACTGTATTGTACTAAGCGAGTTTACTTCCAAGTTTGCTAAGTTTGTTAGAAAAGCAAAAAATGCAAGAGTGAAGAAAATTAAGCTATTAGAAAGCCTGCGTAACAACATTGAAAGAGAGAATAAAACACCTACTGTTAGGAGTAACTCTTCTAGTCCATTTTTGGAGTCTACATGACTTTGGGTAACAAGGACACTACATGAGCGTGGTCAACCGAAGGAAAAATATTCGTGATTCATATTCCCGTATTTTTCCTATTCACTGGAAATGAATTGCCTTTGATTTGAACGTAAGGGAGATTGATTCGAATGGGTTTAGTCAAAAAATATAAATGTTCTACATAGAAAAGAGGTATGCTAATAGTCTGAATACATAGTGAAAAAAAAAAAGGACGCTACAAGCACACATAGCTAAGACCCTAGAAATATATTTCTTCAAAACGAGCCCACTTATTCCCATGCTTCGTCATAACCAGGGGGTTTACGGGTCCAGGCGTTATGGATAAGTGGGTCGCCATGAACAGTGCATTCCACCGTCATTTGAGCGGCTTTGAGATAATAATGATCTCCTTCAGGGGAGAACATTTCATCGGCCATAGAAAGCGCACGAACAACCTTGACGACGTGAAAGTCCATGTTCTTGATACCCATGTCCCACACCTCAAACCATGGATTCTCCTTTGCAGGAGATGTCGACTGGTAGTTGTAAATCACTGCGCGGTCAAACTTTGGAGAGCCACGGGCTGCGTACCACTGAGCAAACTTTGCAAAATACGCACGAAGTAGCTTGGCTTGATCTTTGACATGGAGTGAAGGTAGTAGAATTTGAACAAAGTAGACGGAGGTCAGCAAGTGAATGAGGTAGAAATCAAGTAAAGGCTTCTTTCCAGGTCGTTGAGAAGCGGCATAGATGTCCACAGAAGCTATATAGAGCTCTTTTATTTTAGCATCAATATCTTCTGCGTCGGCTAGAATCAAATTAGAAAATGCTTGAGATGGTGGAAATGACACATATATCTCCCTTACCTGCAACCTGCCACTGTGCAATATGCTTCAGCAAACTCTTGCTTTCCTCGGGACTGGAGATATTGCCAAAGCCGTCAGTAGTTGGATCGTACTTTCGGGAACGTTTGAGAACAGGGTCGTTGCGAATATCCTCCAAGATGTCATTGATGGATTTGCCTTGCAAGTGCATGTACTCCATGTCATTCAGTTCTTGTACGCGGAACCCTTTGTCCTGTCCATGAACGCAAGCCATAGCCAGACCTTCAGCAGCGACAAGCTTTTGTGAGAATTCAAGGCCATAGCAAAAATGGATCAAAGGGTGGAAAAGTCCAGCAAACAAGTTGTCCAAAACGGCCTCCTTGATGGCATAGCTGGTAAATACTTCCTCAATGGACATGGTCTCTAGTTTCTTATCGAAGAAAGCAAGGTACGAGCTATAGGCTTCATCTTCAAAGAGGTAATCCGTGAAGTTCTGGTCAGTGATCTCATACTTGGGAGCAATCAATGGCTTCTGATACGTGATGTGGATGTCGTATATTTTCCTCAATGCCTCTGGTGATGCGCCTAATGCAGCGGCAGCAAGCAATATATGTGGATTGTGATTGTGAAATTGCTTCACGTTGAAGAAGATATGACTATAGGCGGGTAAGTAAAAGCGCAACATCTCATACAGGGTTTCATCATGATACATACTATTTTTTATGGTTGTCCAGGAGCAGCTCTTCCAGGACTTTGCGAGACTCCAAGGTGATGCCAGGAAGAGAAAAGCTATAGGCATGTTTGGTAGAGAAGAGCGAAGCGTTTTCAATGGTCATTATAAGTGTCTCTTGAACGAGGTTGTGATGCTCTACGACGGATCATCAAGTCTGGTCTTTTTATAAAAGACCAACAGCAGTATGTTAGATCTGAAAAGTGCATAGTTGAACCGGGCTGTTGTTTTACCGTTACAACTGAGCCTCGTTGCATATCGCTTCGACAAGCTGATGTAATAAACAACTTAGCCACTCGTTTGACTAAAAATCTACTAGCATTGCTGGGGCTGTGGCTGCCGCGAAATGGAACCGTCTCACTTTAAATGTTGCATAGTAACCATTAACCACACCTTATAAAAGACGCTGGGTCAAGATGTTGACAGGAGCCTACGGAGCTATGTTAAGGGCAACCATGGTATGCGAGGGTCAACGTGATTACTGATGAGAAGAAGTGGTAGAATTCAACATGGAGAAGTTTCCATATTGGACATACCTCCCCAAAGCTTCATCAAAATAAAGGGTGTGCATTACACTTTTGTAAAAATATGGGATATGTTTATTCCTTGCATCAACGTGAATGCAGTGAATGATATTGTCAACCGTTCTACGGATATTGACACATTTATGCGTTCAAATTTTGACGCTCATGTATCATGGCAAGAAACGCCAGTTCAAGCAAGGTTGTTTTTGACGTCAATGGCAACTTGCGACAGAAAACATTCAAAAATGTTACAGCCCGGAGAACCTTGAAGTCACTAGACCAAGCAATGTTTTAGTCTGATATGTGACTTGATTTTAGTCAAACAATTGGATTTGTAGTGAACTGATGGCAGAGAATGAGAACACTCTAATGGATATCTCAAGTGAAAAACAATTACTTCCTTTTTAGAATAACCTTAATTCTTTTATGAAAGAAGTAGAATAATTTGACTTGTTCCTGATCACAAGTCAACGAAACCACAAGCGCCTTTAGCATTGCCTAAGTATGAATCGACATTGATTATGCTGTGCAATGGAATAGCACTTAAGACTGTGCCGTATCGGCCATATCGTATGATTATCTTCTGACATGCAAGATACACACCGGCCGAAATTTTGCGATGTTTCGGGACGTTAAGCGAAGTAAAAGTACGCTAAGGTAAATTTGATGATGGTAGGGCGGCGGCCGTGGAGCAGCAGCACATTGCGTATAATTCTATTTTAGTAGAAGATATCATGCTTTAATGAGTGTTTTATGGTAATTTGTACAGGGAAGGAATGACTAGAATTGGGCCTACACACATTAGGAGCCCCATCAAAGACGATGACGACGTAGAGAACACTGCGCCGAGTTACATACACTACTTTTTCATGCTCTTCTCTTCTTTTGGTCAAATAGAACAGCCCTCAACTTAACAAAACAGATCAGAAGAAATCGGTAGCCTTTTTACGTTTAGCATCACCATTTTTAGCTGAAGCCTTTCTCTTTTTGGTTGCAGCATGGCCGTTGGTCTTTGATGCTTCGTCCTGATCGCCATTTTCGGTCGCACGGATCTTGATGGCTGATTTCATGGGCCGAGCCACCTTCGATTCAATAGCAGTAGCGACTGAGGTTATTGGTCGTTGTTTTTGAAAGCCTGAGAAAAGCAAGGATTTAGTACGACATCTTAAAGGCAAAGGTGAGTCGAAAGAAAAAACTTACGGCGGACGGTGTTCTGGTCAAGAACCCACTGCACCTTCTTCTTCTTGGAGATAGCAGTGACCATCTCGTCTTCGTCATCAACAACAGATGCAATCTCTTCTTCTTCCTCCTCGACGACTTCAACCTCAGGTTGCTTGGCAGCAGCCTTCTTGGCCTTCTTCTTTTTTATCTTGGGTTCCTCCGCAGCGGATGGCGCTACTTCGGTCTCCAGTCCACTAATATCTATGGTGCTGGAATCTACAGAGACCATTTTCCCGCCAAGCAATCCATTGTCCTTCCTTGTTCTTCTCGTGTCCTTGGGTTGCTCTTCTTCTACGAGTTCGTCGCCAATGATATCGCCAGCGGTGAACTCATTGGTCCATCCACCCTTCCTTGCTTCCTCATCATCTTCCTCCATATCCTCTAGTTCTTCTTCTTCTAAGGCATCAACAAGGGTTGGTGCTTCTTCGTCGTCGCTATCGCCTTCTTCTCCTGGTATTAATTCGCTGAAGCGCTTTCGAAGTTCAGTCAACTTCTTTCTATTTGGGTTGTATGTTTCGGGGTCTTCTGCGGCCTTGCCTAAAGCTTGTTCCAATGACTCAACATCGTAAATGAAAGGTGGGCGATTTTCATCCTCTGGATCCTCGTCCTCACTCTCTTCTCGCTGTATTTGATTTTCAACGAACAAAAGCTCTAAAAAAAAGTGGGATGAGTAGACCGGATTAATATGAAAGATGAATGAATCGGACACTTACCGGCGGCAAACTTTTCCAATATTGGGATAAAAGTGTTTTCAGTGACCTTCTTTGCTGTGACCTTGTTTGGAGTCTTAGCAAGAAGATTTATGAAGGCATCCAACAGTTCGGTAGTTGGAATTTCGATATCTTCATCTTCATCCAATGTGTCTAGTTGTGCATTCACCACCTTTTCGAGTTCGCCTAAATAAATATCGGACAAATGGAACCGAATTGAATCGGGGATCTTATTGTTTGTAGGACTGATGAGCGAGAGAAAAGTAAGTACAAGGCGGATCAAATAGGTCTGTGTCGGTGCATTGTTGTTGGCTTACTTTAGTGGGCCGTTTTTCAAAAGTTCTGAGTAGTCATCAATGATGCCTAAATCCCAGTTGTGCTCACTGATATACTTGAATGTGTAGAATATAACTCGTCTCAGCAGCATATAATATTTGTCCAATCTGGGATGGGAGTAGGGTCAGATTATATGCGAGGATATTAAATCGATACATACAAACAGGGGACTTACCGGATACGATCGATTCCATGCCACTCCTCACAGTGAATTTGCCAGAAAGCACCCAAGAAAGCGATTGCATTTTGTTGCTGCAAGCTCATGATGAGCGATCCTAGAGTCTCTGATAGAGATTGCTGAATCAATGGTTTGTCCGACATCCAGAAACCTATCCATTGGAAGAAAAGCGGTCAGCTACAAAGGTTATCCAAAGGTTCAAATCATTCACTAAAAACGTACAGTAGAAAAGACCCTTCCAAAGCTTAAGGAGGTCCTTTTCACTTAATTCTGCCTTGGACGACAGGAATTGCTGGAGAGAGCGAACAGCTTTATCACGAGTTTTCTTCTCTGTAAAAGTACAAAAAGAAAGTCATTAGCAAGTGGATCGGTGAAGCAAGCTGCAATGTATTGGACAACGATGCAATGTACCGTTTGCTGCTAGCTGCTTTCCGAAAGGCAGAACGATGTCTGAGTCTGTCATAGTAGCTGCTGACATGGTGGTAAAGGAGAACAGGCTTTAAAAAGCTAATTTTTTTTTTTCTTCTTCTTTTGCCAGATTAACGGCGGCCAATCTCCCGACAAGCCACTGCAGCAAAATGTGACTGTTGTATTGAAGTGGAGGGCCAACCGACCAAAAACCTTTGAACCCGAAAACACAATAATAACTCGCATTGTCTCCCAGTTATGTTTGGTGCATTCCGTTCAACCTTTGTCGCTCAGAGCGGTCTCCTCTGGTAATACTGATGAAAAACTGTCATACTCCACTACTGCATTGATGAATATACTGATGGCTTTTGTCATGGCAGGAAAAATCCCTTTAGAATGTCGGCCACTCGTAAAGCTAACGTTCGCAAGAGACTGAAGGCTGTTGACGACGTGATTGCAACTGTTTCGGCCTCAGGTGTTGAATGCAAAGCATTGGATCAGGCTATGCAATTGCCGCGCGAAAGCGAAATGCTCGCAAGAGACAAGTACTCTGTGTTCAGCCGCCACAGCAAGGGTCACCGCAAGTCCCTGCACAAGGTCCCCAAGTTCACCAAGAAGACCATCCGCACCAGTCCTCCTGGTTTCTAGATCGTATTATGTGTTACCAACTCACGTTCTTTTCAATTCTTCTTCTTGAGAATCTAATTATCCAATTCAAACCTTCCATACCACCTTGTAATTTTCGTCACAACCACCATCTCTCGACCCTAGATTTTTTTTCTCTCTGAGACGTTATTCTTTGTACATTACATCAGGAAAAATTGATATAAACCAAAACATAAACTTGACCTGCGTCATTGCATTGTCGTGTTTCGCACGCCTCGATGTACGGCGGCGTACAGCAAACATGAGTGTAAGGTAGTTTAAGATATCTTTATTACAACATTTAAATGGAAGAAAATATTTGTTCTCGTAAGCAAACTGTTTTACATCTTGGCACTGACAATGACGCCACCATCAACAACAATAACAGCTCCATTGGTATATTGGCCAGCGCGAGATGACAAGTAAATAGCAGTACCGGCAATATCTTCGGGACTACCGATACGACCAACGGGCACACTAGCGACAATGATATCACCGAACTTCTCCAAGGTCTCCTTCATCATCTTGGATTGGAAAGAACCAGGAGCGATGGCGTTGACGGTAATATGACGATGACCGAGCTTGCCAGCAAGATGCTTGGTAAGTTGGTGGACAGCGGCCTTGGAAGCAGAGTAGGCATAGGTTTCGTGGGCAGGGATGTTGATACCGTTGATGGATCCGATGTTAATGACACGGGATGGGACGTCTGCGGTAGCCTTGGCCTCCAACAAAGGCAAGCAGCTGAAAATGATGGAAAACGGGGTTAATTAATAGAAGCTGGGCGAGTTCTGTCATCGATCGAGTCACTCACGCTTGAGTCAAGGTGAAAATGCTCTTGACGTTAAGGTTCATAACCTTGCTGAAAGCAGCGTCTGGGTATTCTTCAATAGGGCTTCCCCAAGTGGCACCGGCGTTATTGACGAGGACATCGAGATCTGGAAAAAGCCGTATATAAGTATCTACACTTTGAACACACGATAAGAGTGGTACTTACGCTTCTCGCGCTTGCCAATCTCAGCAGCCAATCTCTTGACATCTTCGCTCTTTTGGAGGTCGGCAGGGATAGGGATACAAGAGCCAGGGCCGAGTTTGTTGAGCTTTTCAGCAACCTAGATAACATAATCATTAGGAGAGAAACCAGATATTTCTCTATCCCATCACCTTTACTCACCTCGTCACAGGCCTGAGCAGACCGGCTGCTGATGTAGACCTTGGCACCACCTTGGACGAAGCCCTAAGAATCCATGGTCAGTTTCAACGGTTGGCTTTAAGGAATACGACGAAAGAGCAAACTATATCTTACAGTGGCGATCATCTCACCAATGCCGCGAGATCCACCGGTAACAAGAACAACCTTGTCTTTAACACTGAAAAGCTGGTTGATATTCATTATAGAGAGTAAAGAGAGAGTGAGGTCTATCATTTAGGTATTTCTGCTCAGTCATGGATTTGCTGAGTGTGACTGCCTCCCATTGAATTTCCGCGATGCTGCCCCACAAAATGCTTTCATGTGTTAGCGGACTCTTATTGCCAGTTTATGGATTTACTACTGCTAATATCTTGGAATATAACGAAGATGAACATTATCGAGTAAAGATGTAGTAGGATTAGCCTCTACGGCGTGAGGGGCAGTCCAGGGCTTTTCAATTGGTTGGATATCAAATAAAGTGAACACCGCCACCAACGCAATAACCAATTCCATGGTTGCCAAATGTCTGCCAGGACACACTCTTGGACCGCCGCCCTGAGTAAACAGAAAGAAAATTAGATACCATGTAGACTGTTTCAATTTAGCCGCCATAAACACTTACAAATCCCCAGGCCATCTTGTCATGGAGTCGACGTTCCTCTGGAGTGCATTCAATCCATCGTTCCGGCTTAAACTTGAAAGGGTCTGGCGTGGGACATGAACGTAGAGCTGCTACTCTGGTCAGAGCAATAAAGACGGTCTTCTTTCTGTAGTAATGACCGTCAATAACCAAGTCCTTTGTCAACTGTCCGTCCAACAGAGAAGCGACAGGTAAAAGACGATTGGTTTCTTGAATGACCGCATTGGTGTAGGGAAATTGCTTTATGTAATCGTCATTAAACACTGCAGACAGCTCTTCTGCCGACATAGTGGCCCTTTTCTCGGGTGGACCAAATATGCTATCCGCTTCCTCCTGTAGCTTCTTCTGAGCCTCTGGATTACAGGCTAGCATGTAGGCGATATTGTACAAAGAATTAGAGGTAGTGTCTACAAAAGCAGCATACCCGTTAGATTAGATCAGATCATGCCAGTGATTGCCATAGCATTCACTCACCATAACCTGCAACAATGGCTGTGATGAGGTTTCCAACAATGTCGTCGATGGTGACACGCTTGGCAGCCTTGGTGGCCGTTTTCAGATTGCTTTTTTCATTCTCTTCTTCTTGTGCGGCGATATACAGCGACTCCAGCATAGTGCTCATCTTATCTTCGTTTTGCTTGAATTCTTCAGGTGTGTATTCCTCGATAATTCGCTTAATAGAGTTCTTGAGATCAGTGATGGTTCGGTCATATTTTCGATCCATGGAGTCGCGTATGCCATATTTGTATAAAGGGATAGGTGTGATGGCGCGACGACGGATGACGTCAAACACGATTTTGAGATCTTGGAACAATGTAGGCGAGAAATGGGTGTTGTTCTCTGAGGGGGGGGGGATGGTTAGTGTTTCGCAGCCGTGTACTCAGAAAAGGGTGGGTGACAACATACCGTGAGCAAAGGCAAAGTCAATCATGACGGAAAAAGCGTACTCGCGGAACGGCGTAATATCGATTTTAAGATCCTTGGGGTTATAGAAGACGTTGGTTTGATGGCTACTCTCCTGTGAAGTGATACTTGGGTAGAATTTCTCGTTGAGCTCTTCCATGGTCTTTGAAATTTCTTGTAATGCTGTTCTCAAACTGACCACGTGCTTTGTCATCACAGGGCCAGCTTTGTTGGTCTTTGCTTGAGTCAACTGAGGAGCCATCCAGTTACGACTATGCCTCCAGCGCTCACCTGAGAGAGGCTGTCATGAGCGTTTTACTGCAGATCATATCATATGTGGCAACATGTGGACATACCTTCCATTGAGAACAACCCGGGGATGTTGCAGTCCTCAAAGAGTTTTTCTGTATTGGCGGAGCGACGGATGTTATATGGTCGTTCCTTGAAGACCTGATCAATAGCAGTGGTGGACGAGAGGACGACGATGGGGAACGGACCAACATAAGCTTTATATTCTGTACCGTATTCCCTGCGGAAATCCAGATCAATAAAAATCAAAGGGTCAACACATCCAAATCGAAAGCTTACCATGCCCAGTTTTCGAAGTTCGCAATTATTTTGCTGATCGATAACTGGAGAGCATTTCCTAACACTGGGAGACCAGGGGGGTAGGGTAAGTCCTTTCGGCCTTTGTAGCCTGGAGGAGCGCTATCGTTATATCGTCTACGATACCATCTAACAGCGATGGAGATAGATACAACGGACACCCCGGCGATAATGACATTGTTTTTTGTAGTTAATTGTGAGGCGGATTGCCAGATGTCGGTAGCACGTTGGGTGAGGGACATGTTGGAATGGAGGGAATGCTTGCTTGCCGGGCCATGAGAAACCCAGTGTCCGCACTATATAGGGAGGAGCTAAATTAGGACAGTGCACTGGTGATTTGACTCATACGCGCCGAGGAGACAACAGCTCTTCCGGCAGCGAGGTGGAGAAAGGTTAGAATTCCACAACAGACGTTCCGCAGCATGAATGAGTTTGCTGCCGAGGTAGAGGTCCCATCAGACTGTAAATCATAGCAGCTCCCAGTTTCTCAAAACTACACCACAAGTGGCTCTGGTTCGTAAATGTTTACTTTGTGGGTTTGTACAATGTTCAGCTACTGGTAAAAAAATAAATTGACAGGTGGGAAAATAACAGCCGAAGGTAACATGGAGGGGGAATATAATATTGGAGAATCTATCAGTCGTCGTCAAAAGGAGAGTAAAACCGCTCATAGCTTTCCCTAGAGCATTCTCCGCCTTTTCTTGGATCAAACAAGAACTTGTAACACGCACCATCCGCACATAATGCTACCAAATGAAATGGGGTCAAAATTCCATAAACAGTTGCAAAAATAACCAGCATTCCTTCTTACCAATGATACTATTCTTTTGCTCTCCAAATCCAACGACACAGCGAGTTTCGGACGATATTTTCGCATGGGCAAAGCTCCATTCGCTCGAAAAATACTTTGGCAATAAATCTTTCATAAATCGAAAACTGCTGCCGCGGTTACCACTGTGAGTGAATCCTTGAGGGGTGGAAGAGGTGCTAGTGGTGACTTCTCCATACGTTGGGCCACGTGGTGTACGTTCAGCAGAAGTGACAACAGAAGCATCCAAGTTGAAGATATGAATGGTTCCTTTATCAGACGAGACACAGATCCGCGTCGACTCCTTGTTGAATGCGATGGAATATATTTCGGCTCTATCCATGCCTCTACGAAGTTCGTTCAGGAGTTGACCTGTCGCTGTATCGAATATCCGTATCAACGTTCCTTTCTCACTGGCAGTTGCACATTTCGTTCCATCAAAGTTCATAGCCAGACAACTCAATTGTCCAGAGTGGGCTGCAATAATACTGACGTTGGTGGTGGTTGACTGCATCGTTTTGAGAGCGTTGTTATTGGAGGATAGGACGGCGGTGGTAGAGTTGATCTTGTTCAGATCAACCACTTGGATGTGGCCTTGTTGACGACCAGGAAAAGCCAAGATGGCATGTTCTTGAGACGGAGAGAGAGCCACCAAACCTGAGGTCGACAAAGGGACAAATTTTAGCCACCCACGACATTTGTCCAACGTCGTCATGTTCATTCGGGAAAACTTACCATTTGGGTTATCAATGGTTTCAAACGTATGAAGTTTTTGAGGATTAAGGCTGAAAAGATAGACAAACACTTTGTTTGCAGTGACCACAACAAGCCTGTTACGAAACAACATATTTAGCATAGCTTGCTTGCCAAGGAAGTCTATGATTTGCCCTAGTCACTTGCCTGTCTCTTCTAAGCTTCACATTCCGCACATCACTTTTGTACTCGAGCTCAACCACCGATTTGCCTTTAATGTTATCGAAGATGATAGCTCGATTGGGAGGGTATCTTGGATTTCTACCGCCTCCTACCAAAGCGAGATAATTGGTACGATAGAGCATCTCTACGATCGACACACCTCCGTCGTCGAACTCTGTAAGGGTGACCCCCCAAAAAAAACGTTGGTTGAGCTGGAACCCACCATAGGCTACAGGTGTAGGATCTTACCTTTCCTTGTTTGCTGGACCAAAGGGTCAGCATTAAACACACGGAAGCCATTACGCAAGCCTACAGCGAAGCAACCAAAGTCCTGCGACATGAAGCGTCAGTAGCGGAGAATAATGCTTAAATGAGAGGATTAGGACGAACCTGGTTGAATCCAGCAAATAGAAGGCCCGAGGCATCGTGTGGAGAAGACGGTGAATGGGTCAGATTCATTCACTTGCTTGGGGAGAAATGTAAAGGGACAAGGCAAGTAATAGCTCTCTGACCAACCGTTGGTCTTGGTCAGTGCTGCCCCGTCAGGTCAGGTGAGCGATAAGTTGGATGCGTGGCTCAGACCACTTGCCCTGATTTCCTAACAGACTGCTACCAGCTTATAAAATCAAATGTACAACAACTCCATGTAATACTACTACGTTTATTATAAGCGTACGGGTTTCGATAACGCACGAGAGCTGGGATCTGTGCATTCCAGTTTGAATAAATTTTGCTTGCCTGTTATGTTATGAAAATTGCCCTACCGACTAGCATAAAGTGATCTCAATACCTCATAAGGGAGAGAACAAAATTGTAGCAGCAATTATGTTGAGGTTGCTACACCGGCTGTGGCGCATTGTAAATTTGCTGGCCTTCACCTGTCCACACCAAATGTGCGATCCAATACAGATTTCTGCTTGCATTGGTATCAGGTTACCAGACTGTGCGAACAATTTTCAAAAATCAAGACGTGATGATGAGATAACCTTTCAACCATTCTCATAATATCCAGCTCACAAGCATAATAAGGGCGAAGACACTGCTGTATAGGTTGGAATAAAGTAGGCTTCTTTTGCCGTGTATTCACTGGAGATGGTGGGGAATGCTTGGTTCCAGCAGTTGCTGACGCAAGTCCATCAGATCCAATAAAATGGAAGCTTACATACCCACTGCAATATACACCCATGCAATATAAAATAGAGGCTTCTACACGATACTGGAAGATAAAAACCTGTTTTACTTCATTTTGGCAGAGTTCAACATTTGATAAGGAGCTTAAACTTGTATGGTATAAGCGCGCAAATTATTTCTCATAGGACTGTACAGCAGCTATAAATATGGACAAAGAGCGAGTAATTTAAATTTAACCTTTAATGACATGATCGCCAGTAATATGAGATGGGGTTGGACTAGTGTTGGCGGATGGTAAAGGGTGTGCCAACATGTCAAGGTGGAGATCGGATGCCCTATAAGCATCTTGTTCTGGTACTGCATCGGTTGGATTCCTTCGTCGTAGAGTATCATCTAGTCCAGGTGATACATGGCTCCCATTTTCGACAACATGAGGAGCGACTGTATAGCTGGTAGATGTAGTCTCTATTTGGTCATAATCAGGTGCAGAAACTTCCATGGGGATGGTGGTGGAAGGGCGAGGGGAGGATTTATCGATATTCTTGTATCGCTGAGGATTGAGCATGGATCGAAACCCAGAAGCCACTCCTTTGACGCCCTTAAGCTTGGCTTTGCTACCTCTTCGGAAGTATCCAGTGTTAGTGGAATCAACAATGATTCTGCCCTTATCATCTTTTCGTAGCAAAGTGCCGGTAAGGGATTCGCCAGAGTCGCGCAAAGTGCTTTCGGGTATATCAAATACAAAATCATCATGGTCTTCTGAAAACATGCGAATATGTTTGCCACGAGTTGAGTCGGATGGGATATACGTTTTGGCAGTGGCGGGTACATTGGGTAGCTGTATGGTTCGAATGTCTCCCAGCTCTTCATCATCGCCAGCGCCTCGAATATGCGTCTCAGTCACGGCGACTTGCTCTTCCACTGGTTTTTCGGTTTTCTCTGCACTCAATAACATAACTCCATAAATGAGGAAGGCAACTCCGATAAGGACGAGAACGATGGCCCATGCTGGATAAGTTCCAATTTCATCCATGTAAATCATTGAATTGATCAAGCCCATACAGGTGTATGTTCCATAGAAAGTGGGAACAACCACCATGGAAGAGTGAAGCTTCAAGCTTGTGTTTAAGCAGTATACCTAAAGAGGCGATTGAGAAACAATATCAACATTCGAGGTAGTAAATGTGGGTTAGAAAACTTCGAAAATGGTAGAGAAACATTCACTGATAGTAGTTAGATACTTGCTTGTAATATAGCAGTTACTAACAATGCGATTAGAATGAAGATGCTAATAGAGTCGGTGAACTGGTTGTCACCGGTCGATACAGAAATGACAAATAGCTTGACCCTGAGAAAAATGGGATACTTTAGAAACGAGACGGGAATATCTAGAAAGACATTGATCAAAGCTACACTTACCCGCTCTTGGCAAGTAGTAAAGTCTCTGAAGCGAGCAGTCCACCGACAATGCTCATACATATTCCAACCAGTTTCTTCATGGTGTCGTTAGGGAGGTCTCGAAGAATGTATAATCTACTTCGTCGTCGATCATTTGAAATAAGCCAGGAAGCATAGATGGAGAAGACTAATCCGGTCAACGTGATGAGGTTCAAGATTCCAAAGTATACTGCAAATAATGGCCGTAGGTAAAGTGCTTTGAGAGAGTCTAAGGAGAGGTTTGCTTCGGCTGCGGCAGGGTAAAGATCAATTAGAGAATGAAATAGAAAGGTTGGTCAGGCTCAAATCAAATGAAATGAAATAAACACTTACGATCATCGCCGCCGTTGATGCCTCCAAATACAACAATCCATATAACACTGGCTACGACTACAAATGTGCCAAGAATATCCTTGCGCTCAATATTTGTGCCGACCAGCATTTTTGCAAATATGAAGTTGAAAATAAGGGCCGCACTACCCAGGGGAGCAACCCACTGTTTCAATCAAGAGTAAATAAGAACACAATGGTCAGTACGTTAAGATGACTACACTATGCTTCGGACAAGTATGTATACCTGAGTTTTGAGATAGTCTATGAAAGGGTGCGTTAGTAGCTATTCATTTAGGGCCTGCCTGGCTGATTTTGAGGAATGATGGTTCAACTTACTCAGTGCAATGGTGCTGCCAATCAGTTGACTAGCGATGTACAAATACAGGCCAAAATGCCACATTGGACGACCACAATCATGTCGCTGTTCTGTATCTAGTTTTTTTGCGTTTCGAACGTGATCCAGTTTTAAAAGATTCAATCCTAACGCATTCAGTGTGCTTGCACCTAGCGATACTAAGAATCCAATAACGAAGTCGATTGGAGTACTGCCTGTCATTGTTGCATAAGCCGAGAGGAAGGAAAGTGATCAGTGGCCTGTCTCCTATGTGGGTATTATCGGCCGTACAAGGAATGTATGGAGGAGTGAAACAGAGCGACTGCAAATCGGAAAGAAGAAGATAGCTGGCGACCCCAAAAAAAAAAGAATCAGGAAAATAAAAGAGTCGCTTGTATGACTGATCTTTTTACAAATCTATTTGCAAAAGTAATTACGGAGCAAACCTTTCTTGTGAGAAAAGGCAAAAGGGAGAAAAAGGCGGAGCTGTAAGGGGGCGAAGTGTCTGGTACAAAAGAGGTTGCAATATTCTAATAACACTATGGCGGGATGTTTACGAATTCCTACAGTATTTGTCGTCGAAAATTCTAAAAACCGTAGGTGAGGGTGTCGACAAGAATTCGCTGGTGCCAAAAGGAAACAGAAAAAGTAAGTAGCCGTAGTCCTGTGTGGTTGAAATTTCATAAAATGGGTATGCCGCTTGCATTCGTACCGGCTCATTCGGCACCTTCTACCCATTTTTCAGATGGAAATCAGGAGGACTTATAGATATGCAGGTTTTTGATACACATTCGCTTTCTACCGACGTCCAATATCCCCAGTGGTGGTGGTGGTGGTGGTAGTCTATTCATCTGCCACAGGGAGCAAATTCAATACTTTCATTGACCTTCCCCCTTTCGGTGGGTAGGTTATCCCCTCTCCCAGAAAACCCAAAAATGAAGAACAACCAGCGTAACACCTGATCATGTTTAAGGATATTACGGTATGTCATTCCTTAACACAAAGAAAGAAAAAGGTCAAAGGTTGTATGTACATGAGATAAACGCATGGTATGCCTAAATGGCATATGATGCAATGAGATCAGACAGCGGGGCTAAGGAGTTTTGATCAATGAGGGAAAATTCTTTGGAAAATACTATAAAATGTTTGCAACTTATGTCGAAAGCCAGTCGTTCATCCAGTGCTTGGATTTGTTCCAAATGAGAATGGTAAATGTGGGCATAAATGCGAAGCAGTCGCTTGTAAATAGGCGAGATTTTCTTCATAAAGTCTTTGCTGAATTCTTCACCTGTGAACGTCCATTAAATTAGCAAGCCTGCCTGGATACTACATAGATCAATAGCTTAGATACTTGCCGGGGTGGTCTGGTACGAGGTGATCATCTTGTAGACTCCTTATGACCCAAGAGCGGAGAAGCTCCGTATAATGAGGCGCTGATACTTTGATCGGCTTTTTACCATCCTGAGCCCAAAAGAATTCGTAACTGCAACATGGTGAGTTACCCAATCTACAGCATGACCGCAAGCTTAGGCTACTTACTTGGGTCCTGCTGTCATGGAGGGACATAAGGACGGCGTGCAGTAGCTTGATATCGTTCCATAGAGTGCCATAATATGTTGAAAGAACTCCAGCACTGCAGATAAAAGTTGGCATGATAAGCGATAGACTATATGTGATGCATGGATTCATAAAAGCACTCACAGTTCACGGTAACCCAATCCTGCTCACTCTCACCGTCTGGTAGTTGTGATATGGATCTCAGGTTATCAGTGCTTAGCATCTGTGCCGCCTTTTTACGCATGGATGTTAACGAATTCGGGTTCATGCTGGGTGAACTGCTCGACGATATATTTTGATCTGCGTCGTCATTGACGTTCAATTCAGGGCTGTTCAAGGACCGTTTAGATTGGGACCTGTGGAAAGAAAGTAGAGCATGTCAGACTTGCTACAGTTTATATTTCGGGGTCAGCAAGCTAATGCAACTGTTGCGTACCTTGGCCATTTTGGACTGGCAGACATGACCTAGGTATAGCGGAGCCTGCTTGGAAAAAGATTAGCCCTTAAGTCAGTGAAGAACACTGACCCAAAATTTTTGAGAGCGACACACTACATAGGCATCAATCAAGTGTATGGTTAACAATGATATGAACCATTTTTACAAGAAGTATTAATAATGGAATATGATGTACTTTAACCTGGTGGACATAGCTAACGAATAAAATAAAGCAGTACCCAAAATAATGCGAAGACAAAAGGAGTGGACCCATCCTATACATCCATAAAATAAGCTGCAACAGAGGCTCCACTCTAATGCCTTGACCGGTTATATTTTACTGGTAAAGGGTTTCTTGAATACTATTCTTTAACAAGTCCAGTTTGTAAGATCAAAATCAAGGTATACGTAAATGATTTCTAGTGTTTGAAAATTGGGCTATGAAATTTCTCACACGTTCTACCATGCTGACTTCTCCTCCGGGAACGTCCGCATGGTAAAACTGTATTTCCAAAGATGAGGCTTACGGATCAGCACTCGATCTTTTCAATGGAAGCATGACTTGAGCTTTATGTCGGATTGAGTCATGGACAAAGTCTATCTTCCTCCGCCCATGGCATAGTTTTAGGTTAAGAGTTCTAGATGTCAGCATCATTTAGAGGAGAGCGTCAGTAAACGGGTGTCTTCATCGTCACCTGAAGGGGTTTGAGCTGTCCGTAATGCCATTAGCAGGTTCTATTGAGGATGCTATGATGATGTAAGCTTGGTTAGTTGAGGAAGATGTGGCAGGACAAGGTTCCGACTCCATCTGAATATTTATCTAATTTGGGCAAGCCCTTTTTTTATACCCTTCATAGCCGTTACAGTATATAACTTTTGGATTTTCCAGCTGTTACAAGCTTGTATGAACCAGCGGCCTCTCATACACCTTTGGACTTGAAATTGCATTGCTTCCAGAATGTCTGATCCTAGTCTCCATGCCATTCCATTGTCATCCGATCTCGGGACCGACGACCATGTTTCCAACGCCGAAGTGTCGACTCTACCGACTTATACGGTTCTACAACTGAAAAGGTGAGGGACGAGCCATCCAAATCAACGTAGCATTGGAAAAATACTAAAAAGTACATCAACAGACAGGCCGTGTTAACCGTTATGGCAGCTTTCACATTGACTTTCACTGGATGTGGATTAAATTTTGCGTTCGGTGTGTATCAGGAATTGTACGAAACGTTAGGAGGACCCTTTCAAGGTGTCAGTCCAGCGCAAATTGATCTCATTGGAACACTGGGAGTATCGTTGATGACCATTGGAGCTCCCTTCGCATCGGCATGGGCCAAGACATATGGTCCATGCAGAGTCACTCTGTTGGGAGGGACGCTATTCGCTGCTGGCAATGTTTTTGCGTCCTTCGGTACACAACTCTGGCACTTCATCCTCGCGCAAGGTGTGCTGCTAGGGTGCGGGACATGCCTTACGTACATCCCCTCGGTGACGGTGGCCCCTGCTTGGTTCAACAAACGACGCGGCCTGGCGTTGGGCATTGCTCTCAGTGGAACAGGTGTGGGTGGACTGGTGTGGGCACCTACCTTGCGAGCGCTCAACAGCGCATTTGGATTTAGAACCACGCTTCGAATAACGGGTGGCGTCTCTTTCATCCTCATCTGTGGTTCGGCCTTTGTATTAAAGTGGGATCCAGAAAGTCAACGTCGCAATGAAATGAACGCTCAAAACAAATTTAAAATCCCGCTGGTCAATTGGAACATTGCTCGTAGTCGCCTGTTCATGATCAAAGCAGCAGCTGCTACTCTTCAAGCTGCTGCTTACTATACCCCGATTTATTTCTTCTCCTCCTATGCCAGAGCTCTGGGTTTCAGCGCTGTGGCTGGAGCCAATTTCATCGCCATGAGCAATGGTCTCAGTGCAGCTGGAAAGGTGGTTCTTGGCCATGCTGCCGATCGCTATGGGCGACTCAATATTTTACTGATCTGCACCTTGATCAGCTCCATTTCGATCCTTGCACTTTGGCTTCCATCCAGCGTACTTGGTAGTGGCGCCAATGTTTCAGCCATCTTCATTGTGTTCACTATCATTTATGGTGTCACAGCCGGTGTCTATGTGTCTTTGTTTCCAACGGTATTGGCCGAGATCTTCGGTGTCCAGCATTTCGCCAGTATCAATGGATTTTTGTACATGCTGCGTGGATTAGGTACTCTAGTTGGGACCCCGGTGGCTGGAGCACTTATTCGGAATGGTTCGTCGTCAGTCAGCAAGTTACCCTCCAGCTTCACAAGCTGTATCACCATGGTTGGCGTTCTTCTCATGGTGTCAAGTGGCGCTGTGCTTATGGTTCGCTTGGAAGTAGGCAAGCGAACAGGTGCTTGGCGGTGGAAGGTGTAGGTTCCCATGTTTTGTAGTTTTAAATCCCTATGTATCATAAGCAAATGGTGTTGCATAACAACACATGATAAAAATGTACATTTGTAACGCCAAACATTGTAGCTGAGCTGAGCTGAGCTGGGTTCTCAGCAATATACATTAATAGGAGCTGAGGTTGGGATCTCTGAGATGAAAAGAAGTACTTTACCACATATGGTAGTGGATCCGTAGGAAGACATCGCCCCTTCGTGATAGTGAATGGCAATGGAGGTTCCTCCTGGCCATCCATCCACAATGAACTTTGTGTATGAAGTGCCCGTACGTGTGCAAGTGATGCGATGCAGCTGAGAAAGTGTAGAAGTGAAAATGTGGAGAGGGCTGCAGTGTCGATCGCTATTATGTTGACCGCTCTTTTGGAGAATGCATTTAAAAAGGGACGGGTAAGGCGCCATCGGCTTTCGACTCGATTCGTTGCCCGAGAAAAATGAACCCACAAAGGGTTTAGTGATGTTACATTTTCTGCATATGTCATAGGCCATAGAAGCCTCGAATTAAAAAAGAAAACCTGATCGTGACAGTTGAAAGCTAATGTGATAGTTTATCTACATGTTCGGACTCTCCTGTGGTCATTATCGCGGACATGACATGGTGACAACTCCGGAGGTCATAGCTGATGGCAGTTTCTTCCTTTGTCAAGCTGAGTGGTGCAGCCCATACATGACAGAGTGAGCAGTGTTATTTTGAGAGAGCAAGCAAGGCTCCATACCTTACACTGTAAAGAGGTAGGAGAAATAATATACCGAATGACAAGCGTTTAAACTCCACGTGAAGACCGCCATGGTAAAACAAAATACTTATCTTAATTGCCCGTTTTTTTTTTTTGTTAAAAAGAAAAAAACACTCGCCTGGACAATCTCCCAGTTCGCCTTTTTCTTTCTCATAGCACACTGTCTCCACTCATTCCTGCTCCTCCAACATCCTCCATTCCTTGAATTCCACCAGCATCGAGCACGGACAATTTTCTTTCTCTCTGCATAGCACAACATACTGCATAATAATCCACACACATGGGTAGCTGCGCATCCACCCCTTCTCCAACCACGGCTCGATCGAAGGCCATTGACTCGGCGCTCAAAGAAGAAAAGTATCGTATGGCACGCGAAGTCAAATTATTGTTATTAGGTAAGGCCCATTCAAGGGGTAGTTCCACATGGGAGATGCATTCTTCGTCGTCTGCATGACTAATACTTCAACGGTTTCTAGGCGCCGGAGAATCGGGCAAATCCACGATATTGAAGCAAATGCGATTGATTCATGCGCATCACTTCACAGACGACGAACGAGAGACGTTTCGAGGGGTGGTATTTGAAAATGTCATGATGTCAATGCAGAACATACTAGAGGCGATGGACCATTTGGGTATCCCGCTGCAAAACGATCATCATGCTGAACTCGTCCCTTTATTTCGAGACGTCCCGGCGATCGAACGAGGGAAACCCTATCCAGCCCATCTACTGGAGCCAATCAAAACACTGTGGAACGACCAAGGTGTTCAAGCGGCGTATGGTCATGGCAGCAGCTATGCTTTGGACGACAATGCCAACATGTAAGTGTCGATTGCGTATCACCCCATTGTAACACCCCTAACCCTGACGCCTTTTTTTTTTATTTGGGTGAACCAGCTTTTTCAATCAAGTAGACAGGTTGTTTATGGCAGGTTACACACCCACAGATGAGGATATTATTCGAAGTCGAGTGAAGACGACGGGTATTGCAGAGACAGTTTTCAAAGAAGGAGCGTTGACTTATAGAATGTTCGATGTCGGTGGTCAACGAAGTGAACGCAAGAAATGGTAACGTAACATAATGCATGTGTGGCTGACTAAAACTTTTTTTGCCTAATTCATTACCATGTCCGTACAGGATTCATTGCTTTGAAAATGTAACCGCTGTGCTTTTTACTGTGGCTATCAGTGGATACGATGCCTGCTTAGTAGAAGACAAAGATTCTGTAAGTTTTTATTTCCGAATGGCTACCTGGGGCATTGTTCAACCTCTTATAACCTGTGTGTGTCACGGTAGAACCAAATGCATGAGGCTCTCATGTTGTTTGACTCTATATGCAATTCGCAATGGTTCAAAGCCACATCGATGATTTTATTCTTGAACAAGATCGACGTATTCAGTCGAAAAATTTTAACGTCTCCCGTATCGAAATTCTTCACGGATTTTGCAGGCGACGATACAAGCCTGAATGATACCAAAGTATATTTCCGCAACCGGTTTGAACGCCTCAATAAGAATCCGGGAAAAGTCATCTACACCCATTACACGGACGCAACGGATACCAAGCTACTACGGCACGTTATGAATGCTGTTAACGACACGATTCTTCGCGAAAACATACAGAGTTTGTTACTGTAACATTAATATCACAGCGGAATCTGTAAAGAGTAAAAGTACAAATAGATAATCTTTCCGCTTTTCAGAGTTTCAGAAGGTTTCATGTAGCATACACAAATGTTGAGAGAATTGTTTTAGAGGCTGTGCTGAGATCACACTTTAAAGAAGTGCGCATCCACCAAGCTTGCCATTCAGACAATATGGTGACTTGTGCGGCCAAAGCATGGACGCTGCAGCATCATGTCACTGCGTCTGTACAAGGGGTTCGGTCTGCCAAGTGCTCCGTATCAGGAAACCTATCTCGTTGCCAACCTACCCCAGTGGCGTTTTGTCAAGCAGGTCCCACTGGAAAAGTCTGTCCCTCTCCAACTTCCCTTCAATGAATACACCATCCTGTTACGTTCAGACAGAGGACGCCATTTTGCCAAATGCAAAACAAACTAATCGTATTTACAAATTGTACTATATACACATTTATGCTACTTCGGTGGTTTCGACCTTCTTCCAAGTGAGCTTCTTCCTCAGCCAAAGTGACAAATAAGAGAGAATGAGCAATACTAAAATGAATTTGCGTCAGTATTGTCGGAGTGTTGCGTTAGAACTTAAATTGATAGGATAAACCTTACCTGGCACTTCTATAAGTGGGCCAATGGTAGCGGCCAAAGCTTGATCAGAGTTGATGCCATACACCCCTACGGCGACAGCAATGGCCAATTCGAAGTTATTACTTCCAGCTGTGAACGATTGGGTGACTGCCTGAGTATATGGAAAGCCCATTAGGCGACAGACCATGAATGTTCCAAAGAACATGATGATGAAATAGCAGAGCATAGGGACCATGACTCGGAACACCGAGCCAATATTGGTCACGATATGATGGCCTTGATTAGCAAACTATACGATGTAAAGGAGAGTATAGCATTAGCTTAACATTCGATGAATGGTGTTCTTCAGGCTCGACTTACCATAACGATGATGGTATATAGCAGTCCGATCAAGGCAAAGGGTCCAATGCGTGGAAGAAATTTGGTGTCGTACCAGTGCTTATTCACCAGACGGATTAGGAGTATGCGTGTTAAGAAACCTGCAGCTAAAGGAATGCCGAGGTAGATCAGGACGGATTGCACGACCGGCCACATTTCCAATTGAATTTCTGCGTCTACATGTCCACCGAACCAAGTAGGGACGATGTTGATAAACAACACACAGAGGGGTGAGTACAGAGCAATTTGCAAGACAGAATTGAACACCATGAGAATGGCACAGTAGTCTGGATTGCCCATAGCAATTTCATTCCAGATCAAGACCATAGCAATACATCGAGCCATGCCGACCATGATCACGCCCGTGCGATATCCTTCCAAATCAAACAGAGTGGCCCATGCGAGACCCGTCATGAGGATAGGACCGACAATCCAATTCAAGACGAACGAAAGAGCCAATTGGACCCATATTTCACGTTGTGAAAATATTTTCGGTAGCTGCTCGTACTCTAGTTTGCACAGAACCGGGTACATCATGACCAGCAGTCCAATGGCAATGGGCACGGACACTGAACTGAATTCGACGGTGGCAAATGCTGGTTGAACGCCAGGCACATAATATCCAATGAGGACACCCACGATCATGGCCAGGATAATCCATAGAGCCAGAAAGCGATCTAAAAATCCCAGTTTCTTGACAAGATCTGAAAACGGTGTCAATGGCGAAATGATACTGTGAATCCGCCTGATATGATCCTACCTTTAGCCCCGACGGCAGGTTCTACTGTTTCGGCGTAGCAATAATCGTAATTGCATTCTGCTGTTTTCAAGCAAGGTTGGTTAGATGAAGACATTGCGTTGACAGGATCAAAGCTGGAGCGGGAAAGTGAAGTTTTAAATAAAAAGGTTAGACGGCAAAAAACCAAATTGGGATGCTTAGTCAATAGACTGTGATTGGTCTGCGGTAAGTGACGTTTAAATAGAGGATAAACGGTAAGAATGCTGAGTCAAGAGCGCTGTGATTGGGCCACTTTAAACAAGCGGAAGCTTAATTTGAGGAAAACAATCAGACACTGTCGCACGTGGCTAACGGAACTCGAAAATGTAAAAAGGCGACTGAAGATCGATCCCTTCACTTGCCAAACATTCCTTTCCAGTTCATTTCACAATGTCAAGTGTGCTCTTTGTCTGCCGCCATAACTCCTGCCGCTCGCAAATGGCCGAGGGATTCGGACGGCATTTGTACGGAACTGAATCTGGAAACGCTTTTTTCAGCCGCGTAGAGAGTGCTGCACTGGAAGGACAAAGCCGACTTAATCCAGATGCTATCAAAACCATGAAAAATCTTCACATAGACATTACTACTCAGTCATCTAAAATGATAGACACTTTTTCCGCCGATGACTTCTCCATCATCATCTCCATGTGTGGTTGTGGAGCTACGGTGCCTGAAAGTTGGAAGCAGGGCAAACGATTTGAAGATTGGAACGTTGTGGATCCCACAGGCGGTAGTGAACATGACTTTGAAGTAGCAAGAAACGAAATTCAAGAAAGAGTCAACGAATTGGTAGCCTCTATAAAAGAAGACCGTGCGCCAACCTATACTCTATACTATGGCGATGTCTGTGCCATGCCAAACAAATGATGTGGGGCCGTGTGTTTTCCATAATATATTTTTATAAATCAAAAATGATGAATCTAGGGACTGACTTTGTACATGTGAAATGACCGACAAGCGATGCTGAGTGTATTCTATTGGCATGGCGAGCGAGCGGGTTATCCGGGCTATTTCGCCATGGTTTTGAATTCTTCCTTCTCTTGTTGAGTGAGCAAGCGTCCTTTCTCAAGTTTCTCTTTGCGTTCACTGTATCGATCGACTAAACGATCAGCATGGGGACGAAGCACAAGCGTCATTCTGAATAATTCTTCAGCAACATCCACCACCCGATCCCGCAAGTCAGACTCCTTCATCCTCCCATTGGAATCAAACTCAGTCCATGCTTTGGGAACAGATGATTGGTTTGGAATGGTGAACATGCGCATCCATCTTCCGAGAAGTCGCAAGGTGTTCACGGTGTTGAAACTTTGAGATCCCCCACTGACTTGAGCAACAGCCAGCGTTCGTCCTTGGGTAGGACGCACGGATCCAATGGACAAGGGAATCCAGTCAATCTGGTTTTTGAACACGGCAGTAATGGCTCCATGCTGTTCAGGACAAACCCACACTTGCGCTTGCGACCATGTGCTCAACGCTCGGATTTCCTGTACCTTGGGATGGTTTTGAGACACATCGTCTTTGACCGGCAATCCAGTAGGGTCAAAAACTTTGACATCAGCCCCAAGTTTATCCAAAATGCGAGCAAATTCATAGGCTAGGAATCGTGAATACGAAGTCTTGCGAAGCGAACCGTACAAAACCAGAACCTTTACGGGATCTTGGCCCATTCCCGACTGCGATGCTGAATCCAACTCGAGATCAGCGACCCAGTCGGTTTGCTTCTCGGAGAGGACGTAAGGTTTGTAGTTGATGTCAGCGGTCATGAGGGAGGAGGTATTAATGGTAGAGGTGAATCGATAGAAATTAGAAGATGGGGACTTGAGATGGGTTTTCAGACGATGAACAGTGAGGTGTTGAATAAGAAGGAACATAAAAGAACTGAGCAGATTAGCGAAGTTTACCTTTTTTCAAATTTTTAAAATTTAGTTACAAACTCCGATGCACTGAAGAAGCAGTATTTGTAAATTCTCCAAAATTTGGAGCTTAAGGCTGTCCCAATTTTACCGCTGAACATCAATGCAAATTTCACTGTATCATTGCGCCGAATGGTTGTGTTGTTCTGTATTTATTACTTTGCTAAGTAGGATGTATGTAAAGGAAGGGTTGATGTGAAATACTTGGGGAAACAGTAAATGATGGTCGAAAAGGTAGGTGTGGAAACATGAGAGGGGGTATCTATGGCTTTGAGTCGATATGCCGTCGTTTACTAGGGCTTCCAAAGAGTCGTTCGTCAAGGGGCGACCGGTGGTCGACAATGGATAGCGGCCGTCGCGTTGGCGTACGTACCTCACCAAGAGGTAGACGAGCATCGCCGTTTTCATCTGAAATGGTGTTGAGTACAGGCCGCCTCGGTCGATCGTCCAAGTCCATACTGTCCTCATCAAAGTCAGGGACAGCTGTTGTCCAGAGTTCGCCGACTATCTTCATGGCAGCCTTGGTTTCGATGGTTGGCGAATCCGGCGTGACTGGTTTCTCTTCAAAGTCTAATTTTCACTTAGGTGAGCAACATGTAGCTATTGTACTGTACAAGCGTTGAAGTGTCTTACCAGTGTCAAACGAGGTGCTTGGAGCCATGTTCAGTTTGTATTTGGGATGCAGCGTCCTCATTTCCTCAAAGCTCATCTCCGAACCGTTTTCGTTATCGTTTGACCGCATGGCTGCTACCCACTCAGGTTTACCGCGTGAGTCCTCTGATCGAATGATCGTGGACTTTACAGATGAAAACCACTCCATGAATCGATCCGAACTGTTTGGAATGGAAGAGGATATGCTTCTTGAACCCATGTAGTATGCAAAAGAAGCACCGTCCGCATGGTTGTTCAGGGCGGCGGCGTCATGGTCACTGCTGCTGGACCCTTTAGCTTGAGGAGAAGCAGAGGACTGAGATGTATCATTATCTGTTCCCATCTAAAATAGAAAAAATAATGTTTGAGTAAAAAACCTCTGTGATTTTCTCAAATATAAACGGCGTCTTTGAACTTACATCGTCTCGAAACACAGCAAATTTAGCAGGAGATGGTTTGGAGGTGGTTTTTTGCGGAAGGATGGAACCCTTGAACATGGATTTCTCAAGTACATTTTCCTTGCGGCGGTAGACATCGGATGCCAGTTTCTGACTGGCGGCAGGGCTGCTGATTGAAGAAGATCCACTGGAGGTGTTGTCCGACTGCACGAATACCGAGAATTTTTCTCGAGGAGCCGACATATCCAGGGCGTCATGTAACGAAGGTGGGCGAATGCCAGCATTACCCAGTGCCGAAACGGATTTCTCGCCCAGAACAGACCTTGATCGCTGGCCCGAATCGCCTTCTCTCTTTTGCTGTATCCGAACCTTCGCGTCTTCGAAATGCCGCTTCAGTCGCGCGACGGGGCGTGCGTTTTTAGCAATCCCTTGCCGATACGTGGCCAGAGCATCATCGTACCTACACAAAGCCGCACAACGTCAATACCATTCATCCCAAAGACTTTCCCACCGACGACCGTTTTCCTGACGGGTTTACCTCTTATTCTCTTCTTGGATCTGGGCATATTCCTCATAGTAACGCGCATGGGTCAACCCAATACCATGATCGGCTAAAAACTTGAAAATAGCCTGCCAATCTTCGGCAAGACGCGCAAATTTGGTCCAGCAAATAAGGTACCGAATGTCGTGTTGGTACATTTCGTCCTGCTCGAATCGTCGAGTGGCTTCTTCCAACACCTCCACCAGCTCGCTATTGGGACCTTGTGTATGGCACGCCTCTATGAAGTCGATATACACAAGATAGGGCTCTAAAGGGTCGTCTAGCTCGTCGAGATGCTCCACAGCCGTGTGAAAAACAGTGCGCTGTTCCTCGAGATGCTTTATTCGGTCGTGGTCGTTCATGGCGAATAGATGGGCCAGTTCCATGGCTTTCCGACCTTGGCGTTTTTGAGTGATATTTTCTTTATGGGACTCAAATGCACTGAATTCTGGAATAGAATCAAGCAATACTCGCCGCTCAGTCTCTGACATTGCATAGTTGTCCTCTGGCATTGCAGCGGGGGATAACACAGGGGCCGCTCGTTGACAGTGCGTGAGGGAGAAAAAACGTCAGGCACGTGATGTTGAGCAGCATTTTACATGTTGCATCTCACCCTAAGCGCGTGCTCTCTTCATTTCTTTTTTATTTTTTCTTTGTGAAAAGAGTACTGTATTCTCCATCTATGGCATCCGATGTCGACAAGGTTTTACAAAAAAAAAAACATGGCTATGTGCAAATAATAAAGATAAAAACGAATAGAGTGGTTATCGGGAGATGGGCTTGCCAGCCATAGCATCCAAAATTTCCTGCTGTGAAAGTGTCTCATAATCTATCAAAGCCTTGGCAAGTCTGTGCAATTCTTCCGTATGGGTCTTTAGAATATGTCGTGCCCTTGACTCGGCGTTCTATAAGAGTTTAAGTAAAATGCCCAAAACCCCCCCCCCCCAGGGTAAAAGCAAAGTAGTTAAAACTCACCACAACGAGAGATTTGATTTCTCCTTCAATGATCAACTTGGTCTGCGTGCTGAGAAGCTGCATGTCGTCGTCGTCGTATTCAACAGGGCCGACCTTGTCGCTCATGCCATAGTATCGAACCATACGCTTAGCTACATCGGTAGCTTTGACAATATCGCTATGAGCACCACTGGTGACATTTTCTTCGCCAAAGATCATTTCCTCGGCCACACGACCTCCCAAGCAGACATCCAATTGAGCCAAGAATTCCTTTCTAGTGAATGAGTCCTAAGTGGAGAATGTCAGTGGATGGGGCCCCAACTTGTTATGCCACTGGATTTTTTCACTCACCTTGTCCATCTCTGGAAGTTGAACGGTCATACCCAACGCAGCTCCTCTGGGCATAATGGTAGCCTTGTGAAGTGGCATGGCTCCAGGGGTATAATAGGCAACTAACGCATGTCCACCTTCATGGTAAGCTGTCAAACGCTTGCTTTCGTCCGTAATGACAGCTGATCGTCTTTCAGCCCCCATCAAGATCTTGTCCTTTGCAAATTCAAGTTGCTTCTGGTTGACTTCACGAACGCCTTCTCGACTAGCTTGAATAGCAGCCTGGTTGACAAGGTTGGCTAAGTCGGCTCCGCTGAAACCAGGGGTACCACGAGCAATGATGGACACGTCGACCTCACCGGCAAACTGGATACCTTTCATATGATGTTTAAGAATTTGCATACGGCCGCGCACATCGGGAAGAGGGACATTGACATGGCGATCAAATCTTCCAGGACGAACCAAAGCCTTATCCAGTAGTTCTGGGAAATTGGTGGCAGCAATGAAAATCACACCTTCCGTTTGTGAGAATCCATCCAAGTCAACAAGCAGTTGATTAAGCGTTTGCTTCATGTAAGTCTGATCTTTTGGATTTCTCTTGGAACCGATGGCATCGATTTCATCAATAAAGACGATACTTGGCGCCTTTCTACGAGCAGCAGCTACAAGCGAATGAAAAGAGTCAGTACAAGCACACACGTGTCCATTTGGAAAAAGGTGAAGGATACGTTACCGAAGAGTTCCCGAACACGTCTAGCACCAACGCCTACATACATTTCATCAAACTCACTACCGCTCATGAAAAAGAACGGAACCTCTGCTTCTCCCGCTACAGCTCTGGCCAATAAAGTTTTACCCGTTCCAGGAGGACCAGTGAGTAAGACGCCTTTGGGCAATTTACCCCCCAATTCTGTAAATTTCTGCGGATTCTTGAGGAACTGAACAAGTTCTTCCAATTCATCTTTGGCTTCGTCACATCCTTGTACGTCGTCGAACTTGACAGCTTGTTGTGAGGATGGTTCATACTCCGTTTGTGCCGCTGTGGTTTTCAGTAAACCTGAATTTTCCAATGCGAGGGAAAGGAAGGTCAAAATGCAAAACGCATAGGTGAACGTAATACCAAGCCATCGCAAGGCTCTCCAAAATATGTATCCTCTGGCTGTAAGCGAAAAGAGGGTGTCAATCCATGGAACACGGTCAAGGAAATACACACTGGCGGGGCTTTTACCTTCTTCCACGACCACATATATTGGGTTGGCCTTATGACCAGCACCATTCATTGTAGCTTCATCTATTCTGACGTGCTTTCCCGTACCAGCCAGGGCTGCTTGCAGTGCAGTTGGCGACAAGGCTGGTTTACCTGTGTGATGCGTCAGTACCGGGGCTTGAATCGATGATGTAAAAAAAAAAAAAAAGGTGCCGGATTGGCCTGAGATTATTTATCAGATTTTTTTACGTACCAGCTCCGGTCGTTTCCAGTCGCTGAAGAACCTTTGGAAGAATAGCTTCGGAGTGACCAGTCTGGGCCAGAGCAGCAATATAGTGTTGCCAACATTCCTCATCATGCGTAAAATTGCCTCTCTCAAACCTGGAGACGACGGCTTGAGGGTTTTTTGAACGCATCAGTTCCTGACATGAACGGGTGAGTGACACGGTACACACAGATATGTCCATTATACAGGATAATCACCTTGTAGAGCTCGCTCTGCTTCCTAGGGTCATGAGGCATGGCGTTAGCATCATGCTCCAGTTTCGCCAACTTGCGCTGATTCAATATCCGTGCAGATCCATTGGATGATGAGAAGGCGTCCCCAAATAGGGTGCGGGTTTGGGTATGTCTCGATGCAAAGCGACGATGTGGAAACGATGCAGCTAGTGTGCCTATAGGTGTGTTCATTGAAGTAATTGATTTTGAAGCTTGAGCAATGTCGTTTGCAAGGGTCGGGTTGGTTCGCAACAATGAAATAGCATCAGACACCGCACGGTTCAATGACCTTGGATTTGCATTTTGAAAAACTTCAGGCAAGTCCTTAAGCTGCAAAAGTGCATCGATACCAACGTCAGCTATGGTAAGTCATGGCATGACCTGTTGTGTGGGATGTGAGTTGCTACTTACCGTGAGGGTTTGCATGCGGCTGGCAATGTTGCTCATACTCTGTTCTGAAGCCGACAATGGGTTTTTGATAAAGGCTTCGCCATTGACTTGCTTTGATATGGATTTAGGTGATCCTCGAAGGGAATTAAGGCAAACTGAAGCATCTGAAATGAGCCCGAGCAGCTTTTTTATGCCGGGTTAGCGGATGGACGCCAATAGAAACGGTGTTTAGCATTGAGAACTTACATGCTGCGTAATGGGTGACGATGATTGTATGCTCATGATGGGTTCTCTATTGACGAACACGCACGCTCACACACTACAGAAGATCAACTTCCTCAGCAGCGGACACCATAGGACGGAAATCCAACATTGTTTGGCAACAGTCACGTGCTTTTGTGTGTGGGGGGGGGGGAAGAGGTGAAGACAAAAAATATGCGACTCATATTCGTCGACGACGAGAAACACAAATCCCCTATAGTATAGCACAACAGAGAATAAGAACTCAACATATGAGAGAATAATAATAATAATAAGAGGAATGAGTAATACATTATGAGTGCTGCTAACTAAGGAAACAATTAGAAGAACAAATCAAAGGCTGGTGAGAGAGCACATCTAATAAACAGGAAGAAAAATGTCGCCGCCATCAAAGGGTTTACAATAAAGCGAAGGAGAGGGCTATCCAGTCAACGCAAGAAATAAAAAAAAGGAAGGTGAAGTGATCTTGTAAAGTGGATACCACGGGTAGTAAGTTACAATAGTAGCGTTTGCAAGTTATCATTCAGGACAATATCCGAAACCGCTGTCATGACATGAGCCAACTGCTTCGTGTCGGTGGCATCTGTGAAATGTGGGTACAACTGTTTCTTTTCAGAACGATTCAATCGTTCAAAGCGTTTTCGAAAGTATGTTTTGGTCTGTTCCAAGTCCTCGTCAGGTCCTATGATTACCCGAAACCAAAAATTAGTACCTGCGACCATCAAATCCGTAAGCTTCCTACCATACGAAAATAGATTCCTACCTTTGTAATCTGGAAAGTATTTAGACACCGGCGAATGTTGGATCTTTTGTGCAAAGATGTCCACTTTGTTCAAAAATAGAATCATCGATGTGTTGGTGAACCATGACGAGTTGCATATGGAGTCGAACAACATGAGCGCTTCATGCATTTGATTCTAGGAAATCAAAGGTTAAAGGATGGTTTCAAAATCTGGTATTAGAGATATATCTGGGGAATCCCACAGGGGTTGGTTTTTGCCAAGACCACATACCGAATCTTTGTCCTCCACTAAGCAAGAATCATATCCGCTGATGGCCACGACGAAAATAAGAGCTGTGACATTTTCAAAGCAGTGTATCCTATGATGATGTGGGTTGAGTCTCTCGCATGGTAGCAACTGGCTGATTCGTTTTTGGGAAACTTACCATTTCTTACGCTCACTTCGCTGGCCCCCGACGTCAAACATGCGATATGTCAAGGGCCCAAGGTGAAAGACAGTTTCCACAATGCCTGTTGTCTTGATGCGACATCGTATGATGTCACTGTCAGTTGGTATATAGTCTACGGCAAATAGTCGATCCAAATTATGATAAAAGCTAAATGGGCAAGCAGTGAGTAGGTCAGGTCCGTGATGTAACTGGAGATGCTTGGATACGTACTATGTGACATTGTCGTTAAGTGCAAACGTGTTGCCCATTTTGTAGGATTGCTGAACACCCGAGTCGTTCCATAAATCTTTCATGGGTTGAAGGTAAGCGTCTGGGTAAGGCTGACCCTTTTTGACGACTGGGATATCGTGAAATAATGGTATGTAGGCCTAAGTGGAGGATATTAGCATACAGATCGAGAGAGGACCAGCCCAGTCGCCGAGTAACTAACCATGTTTTGTGGATTATTCATTTCAATACGTAGAATCTCCATTGCTTCAAGCATGGATTGCATACTGGAAACTATATTTTCAAAAACCACTATTCTGTATGCTTCTTTTTCTGAAGAGCTGAAACCAGCAGCGTGTATCAGGCGCATTTGCTTGAGAACAGTGGATTTGCCGGATTCTCCAGCACCTTTTTTTTTTTTTTTAAATCGACCGTTATTATTTCCGGCAACAGAACACAAAATAAAAATATTCGATAAAAAAAATCTCCCCTACCTAACAAAAGCAATTTGACTTCGGTCTTGGCTTTTTTCTCATCGGCTTTGAGTTGTTTGTCAATCTGCTTACTCCGGCTAGATTCGACATTGCCGGAACTGCCACAATTGCCCATGACCGTGATGCGTCAATCTGACAGGAGTGTGAGAAAAGATAGGGTTGGGATAAAGGAGTAAAGGAAATTGTACTCTGTGACAGAGGAAAAGTGGAGAAAGAGGAAAAGAAAGAGGTGCAGCAAGAAAGAGTAGTCGAAAAAGTCTCTTCTCTGCCAGCTATCGAAATGAAGTACGAACCGGCTTTGTCTCACAAAAAAAAGTGACGCCTTTGTTTCGGCTCAGTCAACCGATGGTTAGGAAGAGGCGTCTGTAGCGAGAATGGTTATGGAATTTTCTAAACTACCTGTCTATGGAATATGCTCTATTAGTAACCATTAACAACTGCTTATTCTAAAGAACATTGGATATAAATAAAACTTTTTTATTTACGTTTAGACATCCAAACTTTTTTGATTTTTCAATACAGCACTTTACCATCGTCTGGGAAGCTGCACCTTGTCACTAGAGCTGAAACTTCCGTGCGCCATGTAAGGAGTAGGTGCGTGGGTGATGGCATGGCATGATTTGACGATGCATATCCAATGGGTTTTTTATAGCCATCAACCCACTACCACGTTACATTGCACCAAGGCCCCCCAACATGCATACTGAATCCAATATCATGGATCTCATCTAAACATGAAAAATCGTCCGGTTCTTTGTACTACTCTACTAATAAAACGCCATAATAAGCCTGCAGGATCTGAATTCTTGAGTGGTGCATCATATCCTTTACCCTTAACTTTAATCAACATACGTGGATTGCCAGATGACCATCCGCCACGGGCACCTCTTTGTTGACAGAGCTACGTTATGAAAACACGTACGGCATGCAGGTATTTGTTTCATACTAATGTCCTTCGAGTATGGTCAGTCAGTGCCAATTTGAAATCCATCCAGTGAGTGAGGTGGTGTGATCCAGTGTTCTTTCTGCTGCATTCTACTCATGTCAAACGTGCCGAACATGGAGCATATTAACTTCATTCGACGATGGGTCCTGTTTCTCTTCTCATCAACCCTGCTTTACCAAGAGGTTTCAGCTGGCTTTTTAGGTACAGGGTTTGGTTTTGACAATAAGGCACGTGTTGGTTTCATCACGTGCCGCTTTTAGATATTTTCACCTCTTTCGTTTCATGCTTTTGTTATTCAAACCAACAGGTTTTGAAACACTCTGGAAAAATCTTTACCGTTGCAACAGAGAGCGTGCTTTCTTTTGAGACGCACTTCTGGTGTCGGAATAGCGGCACCGTGGTGGCGTCAAACACCGTACCTTCCAATCTCCACCGACGTCAACAGTTTGCTTTGCCCCCTTGCTGATCCTTATGTTTGCGTCGGTCGTATAAGCACTGACTGGTGCATGTAATTTCGTTTGGGTCCCACTGCAGGCAAGTTATTTTATGACCGTGCAGACCACGTGGATGACGGATCTAATGTCAGAAAATGGCAAGGTAACAGGATGGAATGCTATAAAACTTCGTCTCAGCTGAAATCTAAGTAAGATTATTGAAAAGCTAAGGAGCATGTGGAGGGTCACAAGGGCTGTAGAAGTGTGCGGTTGTCAAAAAAGCCACTGATAAGTAATGGTGTGCGTTGCAAGATCCTATTTTATAGCGCAGGTGAGTGTTTTTGCATTTCATTTCCTCAATGTTTACAACCAGTTTTTGTTTTGATAGCTTGGCATTTTCAATTCAGCGGCAGAGATGCGAATGTTCTCCGTTCCAAGAGTTTTTCCGTTTCTTCTTTGTCTTGAATTGACAAGCAGTATCTTTTGAACCCCGAAATGATCGGTACCTTATCGCTCCAAAACCATATGGCCTTCCCCGAGGCAGACGCTACCCACAGCTTTAAAATCGCAAATCCACTGGGGCCAGAACTTTATACGTAATTAAAAAATTTACTGCATACAAGCATGTAAGTATTTGGAATATAATATTATTTATAACGAAGTACAAGAGATCTTAGGGGGGATATATACAGATTTAATGATAATACTTTTCGCTAGTGGCCATTTCCCACTGGTGATATTCACGTTCACCAAAGATGAACTCCATCTCTTCAAGGGACTTGCCCTTCGTTTCCGGGAAGAAGAAGAAGACACAGACTCCCATGATGGCACAGCATGCGCCAAAGAAGATAAAGGTACCATAGGTGATTCTCACCAACATAATGGGAACAATTTCACCCACAACGAAGTTGAAAAGCCAATTGGCAGCCGTGGTGACGGAAGTAGCCTTGGAACGAATGCGAAGAGGGAAAATCTCGGCAGGGTAGATCCAGCCACAAGGACCCCAAGAATAGGCAAAACCAGCAACAAAGAGGTAGATCATAACAATAGCGACATAAGAAGCAGCCTGGTTTCCACTGATATCAATGGATTTATCTCCATTGGGGAGGTAGACCGTCTTGGCACACACGCCAAGGACAATGCCGGCGATCAGCATAGAAAAACCCATGACAATGGCTCCAGAGATCAAGGTCCAGCGACGACCCCATCGATCGACCCAAAGGATAGCGGGAATGGTAGCAAGAACGTTGACAACACCATTGATACCAGTGGCCAAAAGTTGAGAGTTGCTGCCACTGATACCAGAGGCTTCGAAAATCAAAGGAGCATAGTACATGATGGCGTTGATACCGGTCAATTGTTGGAAAATCTGAATCAACACACCAAGGAAGACACGTCGGCGAATGGTACCCCGAAGAAGTTCGCCATAGGAATGGATCTGGATGGCCTTTTCAAGAGCAATTTGTTCGCAGATTTCATGATATTCTTCAATGACATAGGGGTGGTTGCGATCACCGTTACCGTGGAGCTTAGCAAGCACCTGAAGGGCTTCCTGTTCACGGCCTTGTTGAAGCAACCAACGAGGAGAGTAAGGAAGGAACATGGTACCGAAACCAAGAATGATAGCAGGCACACATTGGAGACCCAATGGGACTCTCCAAGTGGCTGTACCGGTGAGATGGACGTTGGTGGCATAGTTGATCCAGAATGACACCATGATACCGATGGTGATAGCGAATTGTTGTAGGGAAATGAGACGACCACGGATAGACTTGGGAGCCAATTCGGATTGGTAAAGAGGGACGACCATGGAAAGCATACCGATGCCTACACCCGCAAAGGGACGACCGACGCAAATCATGGTATACCCAATTGAAGCGGTTTGAACGATGGCGCCAATAACGAAGATAATACATCCGACCAAAATGGTACGCTTTCGACCAATACGTTCGGAGAAGGGACCGGAAAGTAAAGCACCCACGAAACAACCTGCAAGCAAGGTAGAAACGATGGTGGAGGACTGCAACGAGGTGAATGCTGTCTGTCCTTCTGTCATGTAACCAACAAAATTCTCCATCGACAATACACCGGAGATGACACCGGTGTCATAGCCAAAACAGAAACCACCAATGGCGGCAAAACTGGTCACGGCATACACGAGACCGTTAGACATGATAGTGTTGTTGTGAGAGGGAGAGTGTAATCAAGTGAAGAGTAAAATAAAATAAAATAAAAAAAGAAAGTAGGTGGAAAAAAGGGCGAACTACCTCGAGTGATGAAGACTTCGTTTTATAGCCGGGATACATCTTAATTTTGTTTTCTCCCAGTACATTCAGCCACCCCCCACACAGGAAGTTTCCCCACAATGGAGCCAATCAGTGGCCTGTTCTTCGTGCGGTAAACTGTACTGACAATTACCAGCCCACCAATGAAACAATGGACGGGACGGAATTATGTCTAATAAAGGGAAATGTACAGGTGGGTAGATACAAATCTCCCCTCGCTAGCTGCATTGGGTTGTACAACGTGGAGAGCCCAGGTTTTTTATCCTTCGCACCAAGGAGTAGAAACATTTCATTTCATTGGAATTGCTATTCCTTAAAAATAATAGCATCACCCGTCCAACTAGCCTATTTCTTGTAGTGAACTACGTCGGTGATGAAAATAAGCGCTAGTGATGCGTAGTAGCTTGCCATGGTGATGCACGGCGATGATTGAAAATTCACTCAGCTATCGATCCGCTCTGCTAACATACAGCCACTGCAATCTATACTTTGTTTCTTCACGATCGATGGCTATTCGTATATGTCTTTTCTACGATTCATCGTAGTCATCATTGCCTTGATCGTCTTTAGCGTGAAGATGCTATCACTTGCTTTTGGGAAAGGATACCGAGCCGCGGAACTTGGAATGATCAAATATTATTTTTTTTTCTCTTTTTTTTTTTTTT